GGATTGCTTGATACATGATTGATCGATCCTTATAGATGCACTACTATAGTATGTACCACTCACGGTTGTTCCTGACTCCGAGTATGAAATAGTGAGTCGCTTTGGGCCAGTCTTGGACATATTCTTAAATCTACTAGTACTGTATGTACGTTACAGCCTATACCGCTTCAGTAAGCTCAGTAACAATTGAGACTTGAAACAGACGCATACGATACAATACAGTATTGCGTCATGGCGACACACGAGTCGTGATACGGTGGGAAACAGATCGTCTTCCGACGGGAAGCCACCTGGCCTAATAGCCCGGTTGATTGGTCTCGGGCTTTAGATCTCGGGGATCACCGTTGAATGGTTCCCGATCGTGTCCAACGTTACGCTAACCCTCTCTGGACATCGGGTCCATCGTCACTATCGTGAACAGAGAGAATCTCAGAATACTGTATACATTATGTAGTATTAGGTATACAAATATACAGTGATACAATATGTAAGAGATTCTTGGAATCATGACTTGGCTCCCTCATAGGGTAATATGCGTAGCATTATGAGAGTGATCACTGATTACATCTTCGAAGTGAACATTGAATAGTGAAATAGACCCGTAAAAATACACAAACCATAACCACTCCCGTCCATGCTTACTGTACTGATTCGGGATTTACTGTTGTTCGGATATGTAGTGCTACGGGGCAGATCTTAGCATCTCACAAAGTTCATGATTTGGAATCAGGTAGGTAGGAACGCAACCTTTGTTGTCGTTGGCTGCGACCGCTGAAAATACAGTCCATACGGCCTCATTCAAGGTGAGTATCCCGCTTACTACAGCACGTTTGTCACAGGCAACAGCGTCGGGTTTCATAGCAGGCCGACATCTTCTGTTTGAGCCTGGTGCCAGGCTTATGACGGCTCAGGATCTTCACATTTGAAGATACACGAGAGGCTGGTAGGACTACGTATCCATGCGTCCAACGAACGGGCTGAACGCATCTGACATTGATCGATCGTACCCCGAGCAAGCCCTAAAGAACCCCGACTTGGATGGAAACCTGAGAAAAGGGTCATCAGACTACAAAGGGAGTTGACCGAGGGTCAAAATGGAGACTTTTATGCATTGCAGTTGTTCCTGCTTCATGTGTCTATTTCTTCATCTTGCGGTCGAGCCAACATCAACAATTTCCACCAATTCAAATACCTGATCTACTCAAACAACTCTAGCACATGCTTTTGTCCCGAGTTCCGTTCAGATTTTGACTCCTCTATGGAAGATCGTTGTCAAAGCTCGGGAATCGAGCCTATCAAGAAAATCAGACTCATTGTTGATCTGCCCCGCTCGTGACAGTCTTTCTCGTGTGGAGCTCCTCAGGCGCATAGCGAGGTCCAAGCTGAAATGTACAACGAAACCTTCGAGTAATCGTGCGGTCCCTGTTCCGCGAGCTAGTCTGCGATGTACACCGGAACCTACCATTAACTGCATGGCATGTCATTATTGAGTACTCAGTACTGGCACCTAATCATGCTCTGAGCTGAATATTGGATCTGCGTGATATTTTGTGTCCCCAAACTTGGCCCAGAGACACGTACCCCCTCGATCAAATCGAGAAAGAATAGGCCGAGTAAACGAGCTTGGAGCGTGATACTGTCGTGGAGCACTCGATACTGATAGCTGCCACTTACAAAGTATGATCAACACCGTCTTTCCTCGAATATCCTCACGATCGACTATTGAGCCCCCACTGAACCACTCCCCACCTGAACGCTCAAATATTCTCGGCACCTGCCACAATGTCGACCAAACTTTACATGTGCCCACTGGGAATCCCAACGATGTGGACCGTGGCTTGTTGACAGAGTATGAAGATCTGACTGATCGCAGCATGAACGAACGCCAAAGCATGTGCACCTAGCATCAACACAAGTGTGATTCTTCCACGCCAATCGGCAGACATCAGTTGCACTACCGTCCTGCTTTTTGTCCCGTCCGGTGGCTTCGGGGATGCTTTGACGGCCAATCATGCCCGTGCGCAGCAGCTGGATTAACTCAATCTAGGCGGGTCAAACTCAATCGTCGCGGCGGATGAACGTATGGATGAACTCGTGAACGCTCGAGTTCTTGATTAGGGCCAATACTTGGTCCCGCGCCTGACCGACGGTAAAGTATCACAGTGACTCGGGTCCGCCTGTGTACTGTCCGTCGAGAGTTGCTCTTGGCCCAAGGACATGAAGTACAGGCCATTGATCGTCGGCCTTGATCCGGATTGGGGGTTGCTGGACCGTTCGACTCGTTGTACAGTGTACACTGTGCAGTACGTCTGGCTTTGGCCCGCTTCAATGAATAGCTAGATTATGAGTTTAGGGACCGGTAGTGTCATGCTAATCACGTCTGAATCTGCGTCTTACTGACTTTGCTTCCTTCTCAACTGTCACAGCGTGCCACGATGCCTAGGCAATGTTCGAACACCCGTTCCTTTTTTCTTGTCTGGGCTCCTGGTCTGTTTGCACTCTCCTCTCAACATGCTGTGTCATGAGCTGATCAATGTATGGAAAAATCCAGGAATGGCGTAAGTCAAAGCATACCCGACTCTTGTAATACCGTACGTGGTAGAGACAGAATCTACGATGTCGAGTAGTATGAGCATTGTCTGATGATCAACCTAATTATTCGCTCAGTGAAGATCATACATCACCAATAAGCGACGGAGCGGAAACTCGAGGCTTGTAAGCAAAGGTTATCAGTCTAATTCACTGGAATCAAATGTCAGAAAAGTGCTGCTGATCTATCATGCTTTCTGACGGCTCTGTATCCCGACCACGGGTGTGGCCCAGGGCTGTCTATGTCACATCACTCCAGTGAACAATGGGTCTCGAGCCCATGAGAATGAATTAATACAAAATGTGAATTTCCCATCAGTCTCTTTCAAATGAACTGACAGCGTTGAACACTCACGCAAGTTAGGACATCGGGTGAGAGTGTAACATCTCAAGCAATGGGGAGAAAACAAGGTGGAACTTGTGTTGAGAAGATTTCAAGGAGCTTCTTTGCAGTGGCTCCCACCAACTGTACTCACTGACCAGTACTGGTAGTATACTGTTTCTCACTCCCTATAAACAGTCAATACACTCAGAAGTACCTCGGCACATTTTCCTGCAAGGTGTATATGTGGCGCTCCGTATTGCGCTGCGCCACGAATTCACTTAAATTAGTAAATAATCTCGGCAACAAGTCCTCATGGAAATAAGGCAATAAGCCACAATAGAAAATGGGGCCATGAAGCGACAGTCCAATGCCCTCAGATGATGGCTCCATTCGAGAGACTCATCAAGTATTCAAGACAATATACAAGTCGGTGGCGTTCATATCTCACCTCACGACAGGTACAGCCGAGTAAAGCGACAGTTTGGTTCATCACCTGCGCCCTTTCATCTCTACCATTCTGAGCCACTGGAGAATTGCATGGCATCATCACTCAGTGCAAAAGTACTGGGAGCATCTAGGCCGATGCAGGTTCATGCAGGCAGACTCGCAAGTCTCAGCCCGTTGACCATATTCAAAAATCATGGCAGGCCACGAGCACAGCAGTCGTTCCTTGAAGCCAACGTTGGAATGTCTGAGGAAGAACCAAGTCGATGAGGACATGGCTGCAAGGGATAGTCAATTGAGTCAAAGTTTCGGTGGATGAAGGTTCAAAGATGACAGGGTCAGTTGATCCCGCACATGCAAGGTATGACTAATGGGGACTCTGTCAATGCTGTTGTTTATGAAAAGAAATTTCCCAAAACAAAGCATGCTTTCTCTCTCGCGCCAGTCAAGAGCGTGTCTGCGACCTCTACGTGATGAAGCCGGAGGATCCTGCATGTACCAAAGCATTGATGCGGTTCCCACGCACCGGGTCAACGAGGCCTGCTCTGGGATTTGTTGAACGATGTCTTGTCCTTCTGGTAACTCCGTGCTGAGACCTACGGATCTCGCGGTCGATCTGCCGATTGGAAGGCTGGAGATTCCATGATAGCCACAGGTGCTCACAAATCGAGAGGATCAGTATGTTGCGGGAATACGGATATCTCGAGAGGCCCCTATCCCGGACAGCGCAATAGTCAGACGACAAATGGAGTGATTTGTCACTGGAATTTTCCATTTGCTACTTTGACGGCTGGATCCAGTCCGCGAAAGAATGGCTTGGCTGTACTGTCGTTGTAGCTCCTTGATTCAGGACTCGGAACTGTCCTCCTTGTACCACCATGCGCCCTTGCTGTGGCAAACGGCTGGTGCATCTAGACAACGAGGAGCTCGTCTTACATGTAACGGCTGTGACTATGACTGTGACACTCAATGTGAGTATGTCTTACACGTTCAATACCCCTTGCCTTGATCATGGCCACGAGGTTTTCATGAGGTCACATAATAAAGCGACTCATGTTGCACGGTCCTGAGACATCACGAACCACAACAACCTCGTAAACCGAGTATTGCGAAGCGACGGTGGTTACCGCAGGAATGATGATGGAACTGCTTCCCAACGACATGGGAGAAGGCAGGCCGAGATCGCAAATCCATAAGACTCGAAGGAACAATGTAGTCGCTCCGACCGAGGCCGAGCTTCTACTGTCAATGCTATGGAGAGTTCGCATGGAAGTTCCATCGCCGACAGTTGTGAAAACTGAATCGGCTTGATAGGTTACGCATTAGAAATTGACCGTTGCCCGGCGATTAATCGTGCCTACTCAAGTGCCTGGTAGAGTTGCTGGTAGCTCGGACCTTGTGAACTCCATATGTTCTTGAAGCTAACAAAGTCTCTCTGACCTGCGCTCTCTGGGGCTCAAGACAGTCTGTGGAGATCATCACCTTCAAGGTCATCTTTATTCTGACAAGCTATCTAGTCTTCGTGCAGCGTACCAGTTTCAGGGCTACTCGACCGAAGGGTCGGACACACGAGCCGATATGTAGATATTCCGCAGACCAAGACGTGTAAGCCTGTAAGGACCTTTGTTGGACTCAATTAAGTCTACGCATCTCGAGCATCAGAGTCCACGCGACAGAAAACGGGCATTGTCTCAATCGGACAGTCAACCTCGACAGTGATACCTCCGTCCCACGTTTTTGACGCACCCTCTTTGGAACTCGCAAGTCTGCTCCATAATTCCCACTTTGCTCCTGCTGGCAGATAAACCTGAGACGTGCGCTGTCCAGCCTCCAATACCGGGGCCACTAGGTATCTCGAGCCAAACATGTACTCAGTTTCAACATCCCATGCTCTGGGGTCATCAGGGAACTCGTAAAACAAGGTACGCATCACAGGCGTACCCTTTCCATGTGCTTCTCGCATCAAACCTCGTGTGTATTCTCGGAGATGCTCTCGGACCTCTATGAAGTTCTTGCAAATTTCGTAAATTTCTTCACCATATGACCAGATCTCATTGTTGGAACCGCTTGCAGTTGGCTGACCCTCGGGCTTCGGTTCGCGGTCTCCGTGTAGACGCATTACTGGGCAGAATGCACCCCACTGGAACCAACGCGTGAAAAGCTCACGGAACGCTGGATCGTCGGGATTTCCACCGTGGAAGCCACCAATATCGGTGGTCCACCAAGGAATACCAGCGAGACCCATGTTCAAGCCCGCGGCAAGCTGGTTTCGGAAGGATCCCCAAGACGACGCGATATCTCCACTCCAGACGAGGGCGCCGTATTTTTGGCTCCCTGCCCACGCACATCGAAGGAGATTGACAATGTTGTCTTGACCCTCGGCCTGCATACCTTCGTAAAAAGCGCGTGCATACTCCCTAGGGAAAATATTGCCAATCTGCAGGTTACTGCCAGCGTGATAGCGGAAGATATCAAAGTCATAGATGGAATACTCTGGCTCCGCCTCATCAAGCCAGAACACCTTAATGCCTCGATCATAATAGTTCTTCTTCGCTTTGCTCCAGACGAATTGTCGAGCTTCCGGATTAGTCGCGTCGAAATGCGTGATATCTCCATCGCATTGCATGGCCACTCGTAGCCCACGATCGTGTCGGATTAGAAGTCCGCGCTCAAGCATCTCAGGGAAATTCTCGGAGGCGTTTTCCACGGTAGGCCAAATCGAGACCATCAGCTCCACCTTGAGTTCTTGAAGCTCCTTGATCATCGCATCTGCGCAAAAACAGGTGTTATTCACGTCTGAAAAATGGGGCTCCAACTGGTTAGATGGCATGGGCATCGAAAGAACTTACCAGGGTCAGGCCAAAATTCAGGATCGAAACTCCATTCACCTTGGTGCTTCCAATGGAAAAAGTCAATGACAATCAAGTCAAGCGGCACCTGACGCCGGCGATACTCTCTGGCAACGTCCAGCAGTTGCTCTTGGTTCCAATAGCGGAGCTTGCATTGCCAGAAGCCAAGCCCGTATTCAGGCATCATAGGGACATAGCCTGTGACTTTGGCATAGGCCTGCTCGATTTCCGCCGGCGAGTCACCCGCGACGACCCAGTAGTCTAAGCTGCGAGTGGAGTACGCTTCAAAGCTCATCACATTGGTACCAAATGTCGCTCGGCCGATCCCTGGATTGTTCCAGAGGAACCCGTACCCACGCGAGGAGAGAGCAAATGGAACGCTGGCTTGCGAGTTTCGATGAGCGAGCTCCAGATCTGCGCCTTTCAGGTTCAAATATGGTTGCTGATATTGTCCCATTCCAAAGATCTTTTCCCTGGGGTCCAGTGATTCAAATCGAAGCTTGAGATGATAATCGCCACCAAGAATCGGGCGTAGCTCGCGAGCTTCAACTAGGAGGGCACTGCATTTGGGATCTGTTGGATCTTGCCGGTTACGGGCGTATTCTTCAAGGAGTGTCTTTCCATGGTGATCATAGACGATGACTTTGCCGCGCTGTGAGATTGTTGCCCGGATTTTGCCATTGGAGATGCTCGCATCTTTCCCATCAGGAATTTCGATCTTGGCGTGGGAGGCACAAGGCGGGAGAGTCAGGGCCCAATCTTCCGTTGGCATAGCAGGGAGCTTAGTTGCTCGCACACGAAAAGCATTTTCGCCCCAGGGCTCAATCCAGAGCGTGTGATCGTCAAAGCGAAAGACAAGTCTGCCGTTGTCATTGTATAGCATGTTGTGCTGGACACCCTTTTTGACAGGGAGACTTGACAGTCAAGAGCCGGAAGCTTCACGGAGAGCGTAAAGGGTAGCTTTATGTGTGAAAGATAGCTCAACACGTTTCACAGGTGAGGGGTTGGCCATTTGAGGAGGAGTTTGCTGGGCGACGATGAGACGTCATCTGGCTTCGATGCTGGCTCTGTTCAAGTTCATGCCGCCAATAACAACGTTGGTCGTACCACGCCCCTCCATTGCGTTGATTGCAACGGAAGAATAGCACAGATGACAGGCGAGAAATGGTTGTCCATTTTTCCGAAGGAATTAGCCGGGTTCATTCAAGCGGGGGAGAGCGATGAATTTCCGTCGGACGTGTGAAACGATTTGTCGAGGCGATCTGAGATGATGCGCACTGGCTTAGTCGGGAGAGGCCCCGCTCCGCCTCATTTTGGTCTCCAACGGCGATCGTCCGCTGGATTTAGGAGGCACGAAATTGTTCAAGTTACGCTTAGAATCAATCACTTTTGGCGAGATGGTATCCAAGCCTGCTCGACGTCTTGATGACCCACGCATCTCGATGATTATGCTCCTCTTCGTCGCATGTGCATTGATGCTCGAGAAGTCCCAACATTGTCAGGCCTGCAGGTGCTGAATCAGCAGATTGCACTGGAGCCCTCTGAGGTGCATACTACCTCTGTGTGCCCGTCGCAGTGAGCCAGGTTCGTTGGCGAATGTCAGTCGCTACATCGCTGCCCCGTCGAGGCCGGCCGTATCTGTCTGCGTTGCTGCAGATAGGGCAGATTTCTGTGCCACATGTCCGAATCTCCCCAAATTTCTCGTCCTGGACCAAGGGAAATTCATCTGGCGCATTGGTCAACTGTGGGCAATTCGCGCATGCTCGCCTTAGCTCAAACACTGATCAGAGCCATCTGCCAAGATGATACGATGCCCAAGAGCCTCACTCATTGACACTCAGCGTAGCTACTCAAAGAGATTGAATCGTGCCGATAGCACCTGCTGACTGAAATGACACTTCACGGCGGCGCCTTACGCGCATTCGAGATGATAGGACACTGTCATTAATCTGAGGCCCATGTCCATTCAATTCATGCTCTAGCCGTGAGCTTCAAATCAATATATGTGATGTCATTTCGCTTGGTGCTCCCGTCCCAATTTGATCTGGTCATGTTGGAATATAGTAGAATGATTGGGAGGTTTACACTTGACAGCCAAGCAGCGAGTTGAGGTGGGAAGTGGCCCATCCCCCACATACGCTAATCCCGAAAGGGCCTTCACGCGGGAAAGCTCTCGCGGCCGTCTTCTCTCACGTCAAGGACGACTCCAGACTCACATTTGGAATCTCTCGATCCACATCTCGGATAATCATCTCGTCTCGCGCACGGCTTGCCAGATCCTCTCTTTCCCAAAGTGCGATTGAAAACACTAAGGGTGCCGGAGTTCACCCTCAAGCGCCGCAATGGATATGGACATCGATCTTGACCTGGGCCCTGACCCGGAGTTTGAACAGCCCCCTCAGCCGATTCTCCCTGTAAGTGATGAATTGCGACGGCCAAAGAGATGTTCTTCCACCTATGACGCAGTCTCTAACCTCATATACGATTCTTTTGGTACAGGATGCATCAACTCACGACGCAATGGTCGATCCCCTGGACGAGGAGGCCATGTACGAAAAAGTTCATGTGCGCGGCGTGGATGAAATGACCACGGACGACATCAAGCAATTCGCAAGCACACATTTTGCAGACGAAGTGCCCTCGCGAGTCGAATGGATCGACGATACGTCCGCTAATATCGTTTATTCCTCTCCGGAGATTGGTCTTCGGGCTCTTGCAGCCCTGACCCAGGTCAGCGAGGAGGAGGACACATCCGCTCTACCTCCATTACGTTTACGCTCCGCAAATAATTTGGCGACCTATCCTGATTCAGTCTTGCAAGTGCGGTCTGCCGTAAAATCAGACAAAAAGCAGCCGCGTGCTCACGAGAAGAGCCGCTTCTACTTGATGCACCCAGAGCACGACCCCCGCGAGCGCTTGCGACAGGAGATTACCGACCGGCGCCGCGATAAAGAGACAGGTGATGGTGATTATCGACGACGTCGATTCGACGATCGGGAATTGCGCCGGCGCAAGGACCGAGCTCAGGATGACCGTTTCGATGTGAACATGTATGACGACCAACCGGAGGCCAGTCACCAAGCTGACTCCGAACGTTGCCGTCCCGGAGATAGGAGAAAAAGAGGCAATATCGAGCTCTTCCCCGAAGACGAATCCGCTTCCGGGCGACTGCGCAATCGCAGTGCATCACCGGGCCGGGACACACTCGACGATGCGGACCACATCGACACGAGACGCAAATTCCGTGAGCGTTCACCACAGACCCGTCGTCGGAACGAGGGGAAAGAACTTTTTTCCTCTGCGGATGTCGGTTCCCGTGAATTATTCCCGAATAAGACCTCGTCAAGCTACCTCAAGAAAGACCTGGCTCCTGGCAAGCCTAGTAACCATCGCCGCTCTGACGCCTTTGACGCCGCTGATGAAACACCCGACCTGCTTGGTCGGAGAATCTCAGTGCCCTCCACAGAGAGCCAATCCGACAAAAAGAGACGCAATGTCGAATTGTTCCCTGGCTCAGGTTCTGGGCGAGTGGATCGGGAAGTAGATCAGGGTTCTGCTCTGCGGAATGCTGGGTCAGGAATTTCCATCAAGGGCCGCGGCGCGTCGGTTCGCGAATTGTTCCCCAACAAGTACCAGGAGAACACGGGCAAGGAGTTGTTCTCTGGAAAGCTCGAAGGTCGTGGCGGTCGTCGTCAACGTGCAGAGGATCTCTTCGGCTGAAAAGGAAAGGCTTCTATCACACTTTCTTGCTGTCTGGCTTTCTTTGGGTATCTTTCGCCTTGCCATACTTGAGCATTTAATTTGACGCGACGGGTTGCATCTTCAAGCGGCGTTGTGGTGGAACTCATTGTCATTAGTGAAACCTGCAATTTAGCATGAGCTTTCGACACGAAAGCATTCGGGAAATTTATCTTTCTTATTACTTCCAATCCACATCATGAACAGGAAATATGGTAGCGTAGCCGTACCAGGTATTGAGCTTGCTTTTTTTTTTCGAACAGAGGACAATAATTAAGACAATTTGATCGATTAGGTTACAGTCACTACATTATAATAAAGTCTTCGTCCGGGTCCATTAACCCACTTCCAGATGTACGAGCCCTGGAGCCATTAAACCTAACCGGAAGTACGCCCCCCCCCCCCGCCAGCTTTCGTTGATCTCAGAAGCAAACATCAACTCACCTAACACCTCGCGACGATGACACAGTCAGATCAAATAGACACTCTTGCAAGCGCTCTAGTTGCTCGGTTTTTGCGGACCAACGCATTCACTGATACATTGCGGGCTTTTATACGCGAGGCTGGCCTGCCCCCGGGCGTGGGGCAGACATCTGGCGATGACACTCATAACATGACGATCCAGAGCTTGTTGGTGGAGAAGAGAGCTTATGACGAAACTGTGAATTTTGAGCGGCTGGGAAATGGCAATCAAGAAATTGTGTCCTGGAGGACTCCTGGTGAGTGAGCGACTTGAAGGTTTCAATCACGAGGGGGAACAGGCTCTGTTGGTAGCAGCTGCTTGACGACATTCGAGATCGACTTGCCAGACTCATGAGCGATGAAGCTCGAACTCTTTTGCTGTTCCTGAAACGGTCGCTGATAACTCTTAGCGCCATGCAAGCCGATCGTCATTGCAACTCCCACATCTGCGAACTTGCTCGCTGCGTCAATTGAGCTCTGGCAAGATCCACGTTGGAGTGAAGAGACAAGCGGCGACTCCGGACATGTCTCATCGAATGGAGCACGACCATTGCTCATCTCCACGGGTGCAGATAGGCAGATGCATCTTCTCGATATCGAGCCAGAGAACAAGCACGTCACTTCCTTCTCCGGTCTATCAGATTCTCCAGTCTTGTCCTTTGTGCCCATTCTTCATGGTCGTTTCATCCTCATGACCAACATGTCGGGGCATCTGCTCCTCCAGCGGGGTTCGGAGATCGCTTGTAGTAGAAAGGATCATGCCAAATATGCCGTGAAGGTGGTTGTGCATGAGGAAATTGACCACTCAAGTGCCTCGACGATACTATGGATTGCCACAGCTGGCTGGGACGCGACAGTCTTCTTGTACCGGGTAGTCATCCGACCTGAAGATGGAGACGCAACACCGAACATTCGCGATCCTGTCGCGCGTATAAATCTGGCATCAAATCCGGAATCATTGCTATTTGTCCGTCACGTCGACTCTGGAGAGCTACTCCTATTGGTCTCGCGTCGTGATTCCAGCTACATCCATTACTACCAGGTGCAGCCAACACCAGAGCCGAGCTCCCAGTCGTCGCAGAATGACAGCAACCAGAGCTCGACACCGAAAGGCACAACTGAATGCCGTTTACTCGGAAAGCAAAATCTTGCACCTCATTCCAATGCATGGGTCGCTTTTTCTCCGTCGCACATGGCACTTAGCCCGCTGGATCCGGGTCTTCTTGCCGTGGCCACGTCTTCAGAGCCACACATGAAAGTGATTATAGTTCGACTGCTGTTCCCATCAGCGCCCAGTTCTGGAAATGCTACGAGTTCTACGACAGAAGCTGCCGTGACCCAAGCTTCACAGGCTCTTGAGGCACTCGCTCTACAGAATCGGGAAGATGCCGCGATCTTGATTCAAGCCAATACGTTCGCGCCCCAGACATCATATTCGACGCCGCAGGTTGCTTGGCGCCCGGACGGCTCGGGAGTATGGGTGAATGGTGATGATGGCGTGGTTAGAGGCATTGAGATCAAGACTGGCAAGGTGGTCGCAACACTCAAGCAGGGTCATGAGCCTGGGTTCAAGGTGCGCACGATCTGGGCTGGGTTTGTTGATGTCCCTGGCGAGACAGGACGCAAAAGGGAAGAATGGCTGGTGAGCGGTGGATTTGACAAGAAATTGATTATCTGGAAGATTTGACAGATGAGTGATACAGAAGTGAATTACGTGATTGGAAGCGATGTTGAATATGAAAATGAGAAAAGTGTCTTTGTGCATTACAGAATATTCGAAAGTCCAGGCTATAACTACGACAGTATTTCTACTGACAAGCAATGATATGTCGCCCTCCATCGATCAACACACTCGCCATTGAGAGGCGAGGGAGCAGTAGATATATGAAGAGGGCAATTGATCTTGGCACGTTGAAAAAATCCTTCAGCAGGCGCGCATAAAAAGAGCACGTTGCTGTACACACATATGCCGTGAGTGGGGGGAATGCTCATAGTGATGAACGAGGGATTGGGCAATGAAAAAGGGATTGGGGAGATAATGCTCAACTGGGCTGCAAGAAAGCCAAGCGATTCAAACCAATGCAATGGGAGGGAGGCATAGAGAAGCCTTGCGTGCACCGAGAGAGAAAGCAACGTCGTTCCGATGTTGAAGGAACAGCTGCAGGGGTATCGAATTAAGCCTGTTGATTTCTTTGTATCCAACAACCTCAGATGGATGTACCGCGCAAGGAATAAGCAGAAACCAGGCTCATTCGATTGAGACAGCGAAACCGTCTGTTCTAGGTTCATTGCACATAATATTTATGTTCTCTGGCTCCTTGCGCGCTCAGAATTCCCCATATCCGTAAATTTTCATTTTCGATTCCGTCCACGTTTATGCGATCTCACGCTTGCCCTCCTTGCGCTCCTTCTGTTGGGTTGTTAGTTTCCAATGTTACACAGAATATCCATACTTCGCGAGTGGAAGACCCCACAGGTCGGAGTTTCGATCAACGTACCAGGGCCTTGGCGGTGCCGTGGAGAGCGTGACGGTGGTTACGGCGGAACTTGGGGTCAACACCCTTGAGGGAAGGGTAACGGTTGGTCTTGGGCTTCTTGATACTGTTCGGACAAAGCCAAGTCAGTATTTATTGTCGAGTAATTTGTGACGCGAAATGCAATTCAGTTCCCAGTCGAGCTTCTCCTGAGAAGGAAGCATGAGCAATCTTCCGGCAGAGTTGGTGCGCAATGCAAAATGATCAGCCATGTCACATTCTCATGGTGGGCGTCTGGATGGGCTCTCAAGTCTTCGCTCCTTCAAGTGAGCCTCGGCTGAAAAAGAAATTGCATTCGCTGGCTTGGTAATTTGGACGTGGTCTTGCGAGGTTGAAACTGGCGAGGTAAAATACGCACCCGTTACGGTGAGCCTTCTGGCTGCGGTGGTGCTGGGACGCGTTCTTGGACTCTGCAAAGCGCACAAGTTGTCAGCGATCGTGGTAAAATCGACATCGAGGGGTGCAGCGTTGGCGATGCAGGCAGCTGGTCGATCCGGAGTACGTACTGGCCATCTTGACGGTTGCTGTCGATTAACGTGGACGGGATGGTGAAGTGGGAGCGTGCAATGTCAAATGCGAACCCAAATGGATGGGTTCGGCTAGGGTTTTTTCCGTTTGTGTGGGATCTCGCTTACCGCCGCGGGAAGGTGGTGCACGGACATTACCCCCGTGCCGTGGCCGCTGACTCTAATGCTATTGATTAGGGATTGACGTTTGAAAAGCTCATCTATTGTCGAGACGTTCTACTACAGCGTAACGGTGTATTCCCATCGCAGTTTGCTCAGCATGCAGACTTCCCAGCGTCAACAGCATACCATATCTTCTTCGCATTACCGTGACTAGCAGGCTGAGGAGCGTGTCTATCACGTGATCTTTAATTTTGAGATCATGTGATGAGCCTCTTCAATTGGCTCCCTTTGAAGTTGATCCATGTACGGCGAGGAACCCTCGCTGCTCGTAACTACTTATTTCAGTAGGAACAGAAATACTTTCAAATTTCAATCCAATGATACTTCACAATCGATCAATTTGTCCCACTAGTATGCCTTCAATGCGCCCGGGTAAAGATACTTGATCTTGGCTCTGCTGAGTATGGACATCAGCATCGCGGAAGACCAATAGTGCCCTAGCGAATCTGTAGGTAATAATACAGAACTTTCGCTGCTGAGCACCTCTGAAGCTCATCAGCATACTCCATGTCAGATCAAGACTCCTTCATTTGTGAATAATAAGGATTGACGAGCCGGCTTGAAGCAGTCAAGTAATGGATGCCCCAATGGTTGCCGGGGGCCGGTCCACGTGACATTACGCGCTAGGGAACAACCGGCGCTCCGACTTCGACCTTTGCAACGCAACCTTCAAGAGGGATACGTCCGGCATTTGCATCCACCAGATCATTGCAAAATGAACTCCTTCCGTTTCGCTCGCTCTGCCCTGCGGGCTCGCTCCGCCTTCAGCGCCCCCGTCCAGCGCCGTGGATATGCTGAGGCTGTTAATGACAAGATCAAGCTGTCCCTGACTCTCCCTCACCAGGTATGGATCTCTGAAGCGGTCCTTGGAGACACCATATCACTTTTCGGGGAACGTCATATCTAACTTGTCTAATCACCACTAGACCATCTACCGCTCCACCGGCGTGTGCGTTTGCTCTCCGATATCGTACGATCTCGTCGCATACTGAAAATTTACTGACCAACTACGCGCGACTACAGTACCCAGGTCAACATTCCCGCTGCCTCCGGTGACATGGGTGTCCTCGCCAACCACGTCCCCTCTATCGAGCAGCTGAAGCCCGGCCTTGTTGAGATTGTTGAGGAGGGTGGTGCTACTAAGCAGTACTTCCGTATGGCCAACCTTTATCCGCCAACAAAAGAATCGCATGCCTTCGACTCGAACATCGCGGCTAATTGTCAATCTTTTTTACAGTCTCTGGCGGTTTCGCCGTCGTCCAGCCCGATTCTCAGCTGAGCATCAACGCCGTCGAGGGTTTCCCCTTGGAGGAGTTCAGCGCCGAGGTAAGCATTGGTTCACATTTCTCTGCCAAGATCACCTGTTGTGAGCCTCCTGTTAACCTTTTCGAAACAGGCCATCCGTGCCCAGATTGCTGAGGCCCAGAAGATTGCTGGCGGCAATGGCAGTGAGCAGGACATCGCTGAGGCTAAGATTGAGCTTGAGGTATGATGGTGTCGAATGCTACCAAGTCTCAAACTACTGGCTAACTTCCCTCAACAGGTTTTGGAGACTCTGCAGGCCCATGTTAAATAGATGTATATAACCCTTTGATCGCTTTAGCTCTATTTTGAAAGTGAAGAATCACAGCAACTCTGTTCTGTTGAACGCTCGTCCTGTATTTTGCACCTGACATAAACGGCATGTGGTGAACGCGCCTGCCATTCTGAAATACGGTCGAGCCTCTCCCCCCGTCTTCGTTCAGTCAACCTCTCCCGTTACCTTCTCTCACTCAAGAAACAAATCAATTTGGTCCAACCTTCTCGCTTTCGGTGACGGTGGAGATGGAATCTATTAGAGCTCCCCTGGGGAGCATTGATACGCGCCTGAAATCGGCGGGTACGCAACATGAGCTCTTTTCATCAGCTATCTCCTCTCTCGCACTCGATGAGCCTCTGCTACCAGTCGAACTTTCACGCACACCCACTATGAATCACGAATCGAGAACCAGCCATCGAGTCCAATTCGCACTCCATAGAATTTCGGACCTTGCTCTCAAGCTAAATGAGGAAGAACCGTTCCCTCGCCTCGAATGGGACGTCGCATTGGACAAATTCTACTCGCTCGATGGCCTCAATCAACCAAGAGTTCCTCGCAATACTCCGGCATCTTTGAGCCGAGTTGGGAGCTTCGATGATCTTGAGGGACTTGACGGAATTTCTCAAAGACGCGCTGTCTCCGCGCCCCATATTCTATCGTCACAGGGTCCATGGTTCGACGGACAGTCGGATTATGACTTGTCACGCCATTTCAATGCCAAACAGCATCCAAGCATGTTGCGCGTATTCCAATTCTCGGCTGACGACGAAGCCAGCTCGCTTTCAAGTGTTGTTCATTCGCCTGAGGTCTCTCGAGACGTGAGCATGGACATGAAGGCTGAAGATCAAGTTAAAAAGAAAGCATCACCTTGCGCTCAGCAGCTCGCGCAGCGTTCACTTCGTCCTGTTTGGCGTGAAGTTGGTGGTGGCCATTCAACTCGGAGACACGCTAGGAAAGTCGATCACTCTTCTTGGCAACACAGGCGAAGAAACTCGAAAAGTTGGCGAGGCTCCAGCTATTCTCTTCTCCGCAAAATTCGGCCAACCCAGGATTTGCCAAAAAATGCATCGGTTCGACCTCCTACCCCTCTGTCTAAAAGGTCCATTCACCCTGCCTCGAATTCGCCGTCTTCCAAGTGGGAGCAGACCAATGTCAAAGCCGAGGCTGGCCCGATCCCCATACCTCGAGCCAAAACTGTGTCGCGTCTTCAAAGCACTCCGCCGACACCAAAGGAAGACGTCACCGCCGTTACTTCGAGCAATCAGGCATCCGACATCGTGCGGCTTATACTTTCCATCCACTTAATCTGGAGCTCAGGTACAGTCATTGCTCAGGCCAAGGTCATCAAATCCATTCCTGGCGGGGACGATGCCACCACGGCCGTTCCTGTGATTCCGGGGCTATCTGAAGACGACGCGCGGTCTGCCTCAGATAGTTCGGCAGGAGAGCAACTCATGACCTACCGCCTCGTGATTTTATCGGGCCTCTCCGATGATGCTATTGCTGCTCTGTATTCGGTGATGGGTAGTACGACGACCTTCAAGTTTGTTGTGTTGCTCCTTGTCGTGCTGCAGGCAGTCTGGCTGCTCATTCGGAAAACTATGAAGGCTGGAGTGGGTCGACTACGCCGATTTTCGCCGCAGAAGACTTTCTCACAATGAAGCAACTGGTCTTTTAATGAATGCACCTCCAGGCTGGCGGAGGTGCGTCTTGTTCAGCGCAGCTCAAATCTGCTTTTGTCACTGGCTGCTCTTTCTGCTTTTATATTTACTTACAATCCCAGACAGCGTTGCAAGTTGTTCACACAGGTGCCGTGCACCTTGCGCGTTCGGTTGTTCCTTATTCCTCCAATCATGACTAGCGAACGCTTACTTTCCTTAACTTGTCCTCTTGCTAATTGGTACCTTATTGATCCCGAGTTTACATGTGCTAGTTGTCAAAGGCGGCAATCGGTCGTTATGGAGTGCACCATTTTCAGAAGCAGAGTGATTGAGTTGCATATGATGCCTACCAATCCTGCAAGCCGACATTAGCTTTGCAACCCACCAATTACCCATTTAGCTAGCCCCCCCAAAAATTCAAGTCTGGACCACCTGCCATGGAACTGATAGAATATGACTCGGGAAGTCTGATAGGAACCGTGTACTGTCAGAGGTTAGAACAGGCTCGTGTGTACTTGGCCGCTTACATTTGTTGCTCGGCAAAGAAGAGGGTCGAGACCTCGGGTGTTGCAGTTTCCCAGTGGGCATCTGGCCAGAACCTCTCTGTCATAGTTATATAAGGCCTTGGTATGTGAGATTCATCCAGCTTGCATGGTCTTCGGTAGCATCATGTCTTCCTAGATAGAGCTCTTTCGTGATCAGATGAGAAGCAGGAACAGGGAATTGACAGAAAAGGAGGTGTGACCCCATTCCTTTCCCCGGGTCCGCGCTACCTACAGTATAATGATTGGATTTAACGGGAATCATTTCGCTCGGCATCACGGTCACGTCATCTAATACTCCGCATTATCGAGTTTATAATAATAACCGGTGAGTTTCTCAGTAATCTAATGTTCATATTCACGAACACTGGAAACGCAGGTTATTTCATTTAGGCTGTGATTTAAACAGAATCCAAACAGACTGAGGCAATGTCGGACCGATCAAACAATAACGGGCATCGCGATGGTAAGCCCATCTTCTATGCATTCCTTCTCATCAACACACACTTTGTCAAATACCTCTACTAGGTATACCCTGATGTGGCATGGCTCGTAATCCGTCTGACAAGGGAGGGAAAGGTGCTCCTCTCCCACCCCAAATATCAACATCTGACAAAACCAGATTCGAAACCGAGCGTCGACCAGTCCAATCTCAACAACCCAGAGAGCTCTGCGAGCCCGTCCTCAGATCGCAGCAAGACCGTGTCTTCGAGTACCGCATTCATGCCTCAATCTGGTAAAGCAGCAGGCATAGTGGGAAATACACCCCGTCAACAGGATCACGACAAGACAGAAGAGGACCCAGATCAGCGTCGGCGCGAAGATGTGGCTGGAAGTGAGCGCTGGATTCCCATGGCTGGGAAACCTACGAAGACATCTACGCTCTGATGTGTTTTCATTCAAGACAATCTTAACTCGTGTGAGATTTGATATGATATAAATAATACCAGTGTTGAAGAATGAGACTCCTTTGTCTCCTGCTCAGCACTTTATCGAGAAATTCTACCTACAATTTATTTTCAAATGGAGATTGCTGCATGGGGGTCGAGTCTGCGTATCGAGGCACGTAGTATTACAGACTAGCCCAGGTATACTACATTCATTTGAGCCACCTCGGCAAGCTGGAGGCTGCTCAGCCTGGTACCCAGGTCTGTCTGGACAACTACCTAGATGGATTATATCTGATGGCTAGATGATGTGTCTGAAGTACTTGTCCCCTACATTGTCAGGATGTTAAACCCGGAATGGAGACTACTGAATGACGAGCACAAGGTCGATAGAGAGACAGTGCATCTCATCATGTCGGTGGTACGCGTTTGCCTAGCAAAGGTGAAGAATCGTGTATTTTTGAGCTCAGGGGTACCTCTGATTCGTAAATGGCATGACCTGAAATGAGATAGAAGACACCAAAATAAGTGACAGTGACGTCCGTGTGCTCTATTGAGGTTTTCTATCAATCAAACCGTGATTGGCACTAGAATACGAAACCGGAACCCTTAACTTGGTAGAAGCATCATCTCCGAAAACAAATGGAAAACACACACCAAAGAACAAAAAGAACTGATGAAACCAATGACACAACCAGACCCAGACATTCGTTAATATAAAACATCATGTTTCCCGATAAATTCAACGAGCAATAGCATCAATATCAGCATCGGAAAGGGGGTAGTCGCACCAACGAGCAAGGCGCCTCCTTCGTCAGTCCATCACGAAAGAAGGACCTACGAGAACAGAAGAGACTAAATACAATTGAAAAGAAAAACCACAAAGTGAAAACTTCATTAGACATGACGCATGACATGCTTACTCGAATTCCACACCGTGTTGCTGTCTCTCTTGCCTGGCCCTTGCTCGCTCCGCACGCCGCCGCCGACGGTTGTTCGCGTAGGACCCACTGGCTTCTGTGCCAGTCCACGTACCAGGTGAGGTGACGCTACCTGGGCCGTAGGGCATACTGGATGGCGCTGGTGGGGGAATTGGAGGTGGCGGGGGCAGATGGCTGATTTGTGACTGAGAAGGATGGAAAGACGAAGGCGGCACGCTGGCGGACGGTCCACCGGGAACTGGTAGTGAAGCAGCCGCAGCTTCTTGCTCTCGTCGCATCTGCTCAGCCTGTTGCCGCTCCAGTTCCTCAACGCGCCTCCAACGATCGTAGTCTCGACCTTCATCGCCAGAGAATGAACCGGCGCTGCTGCCTCGGCGTCGCGAATTCCTGCGCTCGCGACGCCGCGCTTCTCGCTGAGCTGCGGCTTCTTCTTCAGTCAGTCGGCGTAGAGTGACATGCCGCCCGTCATTGTGCATCTTCACTTTGACAGATACTGGCGGTGACTCAACATGGTCAGATCGCTGTCGGCTATCACCCCGGCGACGACTGCCACTGTTCCGACGACGGTGAGAGGCAGCGCCTAGTGCAGAGGCCACTGCGGCACCAGCTGCAATATCCTCGGTTCGGTGAGAATATGGTGAATGTGGACGCTCCGGGGATGGTAAATCACCGGACAACTCCTGGTGTATTGGAGGTAAGGGCGGCACATCCGACGCAGCACCAACAGCACCGCTTGCCATGGGTTCTGCAGTGAGCAAAGAGCTACCCGACATAACTCGTTGCGTGGCCGGGTGCGGTCGAGGTGTCAAATCAGTCGGTGTGAGCTCACTATCGGTATAGGAGCTTGGCTTTCGTCTCTGGGGATATGGCCCCAGCGCTTCCTCATGTCGTCGACGCTTGCTGTTCGCTCGTTGAAGAGCCTCATCTTCTTCATCCCGACGACGGATCTCATCCAATCGACGCCTCTCCTCCTCGTCTTTGCCCTTATTCCGGCTGAAGAGTCGTTTGACGGCCGCAATAGCCCCGCCTCCGAGCAGTGCGTCCCTCACTCCGTGGGATGGGCGGCGATCCGGATGCTCGGATAGGTAGGTGCTGTCGTAGTAGTACGACGAACCAGGGCTTTGAGCTCTGCTGGGAGCACGGCTTGGAGGGCGAGCAGTGACTGGTGGTTGGGTAGGCTCAGGTCGACCATCTTCCAGCCTGCTCAGCGATTCTTCGGTGTAGCTATGGCTGCGAGAGTGAGCAGGTTTATAGCGACCGACTTCACTGTCGTCTTCTCGCTGTCGCCGACGATCCCACCATTTTTTGGCAAGCAATCCTGCTCCGGCCAGTGCGCCGAGCTCGAGAATCTTGTTGCCCCATCCTCCACGACCGCTCCGGGAGGACTCGTCGGAGTATTTCTCGTCGAGGTATGACGATCGAGATTCTTCGTACGCCTCGCTCGGTGGGCGACTACGGCCTCGTCTATTGAAGATCGAGGCCAGTCCTGCCCCCAAGGCACCGCCTGCTAAAGCATCGCCAATGCCGCCGCCACCTCCACCTGCTGCATGATGATGTTCTTCAACGACGGAAGGGCCGCTGTACCTGCTTCCGTGCTCACTAGCCAGATGGAATCCTTCATCGTCATACAAGTATGACAGAACAAAGTATATCACGAGGAATGCAAAGACTGCAATCGAATAAAGAATGAAGAGGACCTTGGGGGAACCATAGAGTGTGAGACCCAGCGGGATTTGAACAATACCTAGAATGGCCAGTGCCCTTCCCAGCCATCGATGTATCTAAAGATGTCTCAAAGTCTTAGTGTGTTGCTTTTGAATTTGAGAAGTTATGCCGCAGAGTACATACCACGAGCTTGAGAGGGACATGATGGCGCACTCTTTTGCTTTCTTTTCGATGCAAAAACCACCCCCAAAAGACCTGGAAGACCACAATGACGTAGATAGCAAGTCCAATCCCATGATGGGGATTGGTCAGGCTTCGCTTTGGCCCGACTGCAAACCACCCTAGAACAAAGACCACGGTCGACAAGAGCAGTGTGAGAACCTGGAACCATGCATGAAGCTTGAAGGCCCAAAAGGGATTCCATCGAGAGTAGTACCGGATGGTCAAAAGTGAGATCGGGACAAGACCTAAGAAAACAATGGTCGCAATAACACCATGCGCGATTATGAGGGTGTGGTATTCGGGCATGTCCTTGAAGCGATTGCCCATACCTTCAGAGTGTGTGAGCATATGCGCATCTTGAGAAAGTTTGCTGAAGAATTTGCGAACTTACCATTGTATCGCATCGTTTCGAAGTTCAGGCCCATCAAATTGGGCAGGAGAAAAGTATCACGCTGCGTATCCCAAGTGCCATCTCCCACATGAAGAGTATTCGAGGAGTATGTGCTGCTCCCCGCAGCTGTCAACCCCGGGTTGGACATGGTGACGATTGTGGAATCCTTTCGGTGGACTCCGCTTAGGCTCTGGAATGTTGGGGAAGCCGGAGAAGAAGCTTCCAAGGAGATCTATTCAGATCTCCCGATCCGAAGAATGCACCATGCGACAAAACAGAGGGCTTTATTCGGTCGCGAAGGAACAGCGAACTCAGGATGTGGATCAAAGTATCGTAGCCAGTAGTGTCGTGGTTGGGGTAATTGGGACGTAAGTGGAACACGGTAATCAATCGATAATCGTTTACCTGATGGCACTGCGATGGTCAGCTGGGAGCTCGAGAGAAGCGGAGAAGAGAGCGCTATGTCGCACAATTGAAGACGGTCAAATCTGTGAATTTTTGATGAAGTTGGCAAACGCAGCGCCCTCGAGTCACACAAGAGCAACAACACTCGGTCAAGGTGATCGCTGTCAACTTCCTACTGTTTTGGGCTTAGGGTGCCAGCACATAACCAGAGCAACGGGCAGTAGGAATTGACCGCCTTTCTCCTCACCCGGTTTCATCGCGCCATATCCCATCTGATTGCGATTACATCATCTGATCTTATCTCCGTCCCTCACGTGTGGAGCTGCCCTGCTCGGTCTTCATGACTCTTGGACATTCATGGCGTGCGCATAGATGTCAAGGAAGGATTCATAGGGGTATACTTTGTTGAGAAATGGAGCGCTCTCAACTTGAGATATTTGTCCGGGCGCTGTCACGGTGAGAGGCTCATTCGAGATTAAATCTTCATAGGATGGCGAACGCTAATCAGATGGCAGACTGTTGGGATGGGCATAGTAAGTTCATGTACCTGACATGATCCGAATCATCGTGCAGGGAATTATTTGTCAAAAGTCAAAGGCTATTCATACTTATAACTGAAACAGCATGGCGAGTTGGTCCTTGTCGTTCTTTCCACTGCCGATTTCCATGTGGCGCCGGAAGTCGACGGCCGGGGTTTCTATCGACTTTAACTTCATCAACCTGTTCGGCTTCACGTGCTACAGTATATATACTGCAACATTCCTCTACTCTTCAGTTATTCGCTCACAGTATGCCGCTCGACATCCTGCTGCAGCCGAGCCTACTGTTCAGATCAATGACCTGGCTTTTGCCTTGCTTGGGATGATCATGTGTTTCGTTGCTTATGTGATGTTCTGGCCTCGGCTTTCAGGGCTCCATACACCCCGCCGACAACGTGTGAGTTGGACGATGAGGGCTATCTTCAGCGGCTGCGTCCTTGCTCCGTTGATAGGCATCTGTGTTGTGTTGGCCCGAAACCCCAGTGGCGGGAATGACCCAACTACTTGGGCTTGGATTGATGTCGTGAGTAGGACCCTTCCTTCGGTGCTTTCATTTCCCCTAGTGTGGACGTCCATGGACAATCGCATAAGGTTATACTTGGAATGGTCACTTATGCTCTGAGCCCAGATCTACACACTGTCATATGATAAACTTGTCGTCACGATGGTTAAATATATTCCTCAAGCCTGGTTGAACTATCAAAGGCAGTCAACAGTGGGATGGAACATCTGGACCATCCTTCTCGATATCACTGGCGGCGTCCTCTCTCTGCTTCAACTGGTACTTGATTCGAGTCTACAGAGTGACTGGAGTGGTATCACTGGAAATCCAGCAAAGTTGGTCCTCAGCAACATCACGATCTTCTTCGATGTGATCTTCATTGTCCAACATTACATCCTGTATCGGGATCGCAAGACGGGTCCCGTCTCTGATCCCACTACGCCACTGCTTCAGGGACCCGATGTATCAGTTTAGAATGTGGGTTTGTCGGGGCAGACTTTGTCTGCTTGTGCATATGTGTGATGTCGACACCTATAGACCAGGACACGGATGGGCCATTTTGGATGGGCAACACGGGGAGAAATTGAATCCTCCGCACCGTCTGCGTTCCTAGGACCATTGTATTGAAGAGCGCAACAGCTGATAATGAACATATTGGAAGGGGTTATCATTGCACGAGTAGCGAGGACAAACGTATGTATCAAAAGACGTGAAAGGCAATGACTACATTTTTTTTCTGCACTAAGGCGGAACTTTTTTTTTTTCAAGCCTCTGTCTCCAGGCTTCCGTGCTTGAAATGCCCGAGTATAACCCCGATACTGTCACGGCTGCTGAACTTATCTTGGTGCCTTTTGCAGCTTCGATGGACGGGGTATGTAGGTTTGCGCGTTCCAATACTGTGTCTTCGGATATAAGGTCAAACTTCGAGGTCTATCTCCGACCAGTTCGTCATGGTTGGCCCCCCCCCCCCCCCCCCCCCCCTCCCCTCCTCATGGCAACTCGTTCGATTAGCCTCGCGCAGGTCACTCTCCAATCGTGATTATTTCAGATGATGCACGCGCAGTGAGACCGCGTACTCCTTCGGCGTCACTTGCTTGTCGCAATGCTGGTGTTGAAGCAAAGGATGAATGATGCGGCTCTGGCTTAATCAGCCTGCTCAGACCCCCGGCGGCATGTCCGATCATGACTCTCATCCTCCAGCCAAGCCCAAATACCGACTTATCCGTTTTAGGGGGGGGTCTCGCCGCTCCGACTGGTGGCGTACTCAGAAGCACATTTGATTGGAGTCACGGCCTGCTAAGCACTGGATAAGTGGATCCATACCAGTCACCTCATCTAGCCGTGGGTCTCGACAATGACTCGGTTGGAAACGTCGGTCTGGTGGGAGCAGGAGAGAGAGGGTTGCATCCTCTGCAAAGTTTCCTTGGTGTTAAACCAAGCCAGGCAATCTCCACGCTGCAAGCGACGCGCGGTGCCAATATGTGCACAATTGCTGATCAGGCTAAGCCTTTGGGATCTCAAATTGATCCTTGGCCAGTCTTTGCCGTCTTATTGGCGTAGGACTCTGCCGTCGGTACTCTTATTTCCGCCGGTTGAAGTATCAACCCGAGAGCGACCCGTCTATACAAGCCAGGTGCTGGGGAATTCTCGATCCTCCGCATCCAGTGTCTTAGATATCTGCATGTTGGTTCTGCTTGTGGCCTCACGCTGCTTCTATCCAGCCTCGCCGGATACTACTTTGATGTGTGGCAGTTGATGCTACCCTACGCTGCTGTTGCTCTTGCTGTTGCTTCTTCACTTCCCCGCGGTCAATCAGGCTCCAGCTGATGAGCATGGCTCTCGGGATTTAGTTGACTGTCATTTCATCTTGAGTTGCCATACTACCACAGAATTCCAATCCGAGAGGTAAGCTACTGCCTAGTGCCTACTGAACCAGATTACAGATCCTAGCATACATGGAATGCAGTAGTCACTAACTAGTCACTCGTTACGTTAGTGGTAGTACTAGTCGGTAGTTACTCGGTACTGGTAGTACTACTACTAGTACTAAATTACCAATTCAGAAACCTCATAGAAGCATTCCGAAAACACGTATGGGGGATCTCTGCAGCAAGTGGAAGTTAGGACCCAGAGAATCCTCAATGCACGAGCATTAATAAGATTCATCAGGAGCAATTGCTTCTGCATTCAAGAGGCTGTGGAACGGGTGATTGTCATGTTACACAAAAGAACCTAAATTGGCCCCCAGTCCACGACGAAGAGCGCATCCGTGTCCGATGCAAACTCCGCAATTCCGCACCCGTGCCAACGGTTCCGCGGCAACGAGAGTTTACTCGGTTCTATTCCTCATCGCCAGATTTGACCGAACAGGATGTAATTTACTGATACCCTTGTAGATGGATTCCCCCCTCCATCCTTGTAGGTGCACTGTCCCGCATATGTCTATAGTGTCACTGTCACTGTGATAAGTACTTTTTGCGTCATTGCCCAAAGCAACGAGACCAAAGATGTGATCTGGCTCGGCTAGTTATGTTGGTGCCTCCGGTCAGTAGTATTGCAGATCGATTGATGGACAACCCATGGATGGGATTATGGGTCTACGGATTGTCTCCTTAGTCGACTGACTCGAACTTCCGTGACCGTCACCTCTAATTCGAATACGGATACGGTAGGCTTACAGTTCTGTACAATTACTGATGATGGGACGTGTATGTAACATAGCCGTCCATACAAGGTGACCTCAGTCAATATCAAGATTGAGTGCAGGCCTATGTACCCGTATCAAGGTATAGCTCTTAGTCATACACTTATACACTAGGTATACTTAGTATACTGTACTCAATACTGTACTCAATACTGTACTTGAACTGTCTTGATTCACCCCACTGCCAGGGCCATACCGTTTTCCCAAATCATCCGACTATCCGCGGGCGCCGTCCGGGGCGTGGCTCGGGGTGCCCGTGCCCTAATACAATGATGAATAATAATAACATCAATTTCGTTGAATGGATGGACGGCTAAAGACCGAGCCTAGCGTGCCGGTGGATTTCGGGCTCATCGCGTATGGAACCAGCATCCTCACCAGGTATCCAATCATGAGGGACTCATCATGATCGGGGAGACTCAACCACGCCTGACTCTTATGCACCAGCAGCTTTTAAAGTTCACAAGTCACCATCACGACGAAAGACGGTCGTGCTGCTCAGACATGTACCCACCTCATGTACAGCAAGTACTGTACGTTACTGTACTTCGCGCCCGGGTCACGGCATCGATGGTTCACCGAGTTCAGTGCTAGCACAGGCTCACTGTGTACTTCTGCACCATGTCCCGTCCAGTATATCCACTGTCTCACTTTTGAGCTCGGGAGATGAAAGTGGCATATTGGGGTACTCTAGATGCGGACAAGTAGAGTGCAAATACTTGCAATCTGTGGCCAATCTTCAACCTTATATGGAACAAGTTCACAGGGAAGTAGCCTGTGGCGATCTATCCTCTCTCTCTCTCTCTCTCTCTCACTTTCAACGGACAGACAATGACAATCGCCCAGGACAACCGTCCACTGCTTCTGCTCAGCCTTAATTAAGATCCAATAGGCGTTTTGCCCTCTAGCAGAGAGCCTCCTCTTCCGTTGATCATCACGTGGGGCCACAGCCCACTATCGATCAAATGAGAAGAACAGAACCTAATTCAACGCGATTCACCCTCTCCCGATCATGTCCCCGAGCGCCTGCCAATGATGCCTTGTCGTCCGACCTGTCAGCCTCATCAAGGTCTGAATCATTCCAAGTCGGCCGTCTGACTGATTGGACATTTGGCATTCAGGTGCTGAGCCTGCCTAGACCCCAACCTACGTGGATCGTGGGAGCCATGGGGGCGGGAACGTGACAAAGACACACGCATATGTACCTGTAATGGTCTTCTTTGTCGAGCCGATAATGTCCTGACCGTAAGAGGATGCTGGTTAGAGACCCTGGTTGTCATGCACCCGACGGACTTCGGTCTTGGTTTAGTGTTGGTCCCATTCTTTTTTTTTCCCTTTTACCCTACAAAAAATATCATGAATCCCTGGCCTGCATCCTGGTCTCGTTGATTATCTTTTCCTCGCAAATCAACGTCCCGGTCGCGGAGCGACTCTCCCTCTCTCTCGTGCTTGTTGTGACGATTCGCTTGATTCCCTCAATATCGGGTCGGGCAATCCTCAATTCCATTTCCTCTTCAGGCTTTTATCCATCTTGATTTTGATTTTACTGTATGGTTATTATTTATTTTTATTTTTTTTTTTTTGGATGGGGAGCCCGATACACTTCATCTACCAGGCCAGGCCGTCTTGGAGGGCATCCTTGTCTATTTCTATTCTTAAGTTCCTCGCTGGTCCTGTCTTCTCGATTTTAAGCCACTTTGCCCGCAGATCATCCTAAACAGATCCGACTTAGTCTGTTCTCCTTCAGGACGCCCAACTGGGAAATTGTTGCGACAGGAGTCTTTGCCTCGGCTTCCTCCAAAGTATATAGACGCGACACTTGACACTCGACTCACCCACAAGCACACTGACTGTTTTCCATCAATGCGGTCTCCTGCATCTCATGGCATCTTCATGATCTTCCACATTTGCACCTGTCGCAAAGATTCCACCGGTGACTGACTACCTAAATTTCGACCATCGATCTTTCACTTGGAGAACCTGCCGCCGGACTTTTACCTGACATCGATCCTTTCCGTCGCAAACTTCAGCTTCCACGTTGTCTGGTTTCTGGAACTTGACTAAAATTCCAATTACCGTGCTGGAGTGAGGTGATCAACACCTCGTGCAATAATCTCCTTAGACGACCTCTTCCAGATCATCATCGCGCAGGGCAAGCCGAGCTTGTCCATCGACTGGAGCTCATTTTGAAACTTGGCACAATCTTACACCCAACATTTCCGACTCGTTGAGTTGCAGCCTGGCAGCACCTCTCGTCCTCCAGCTTCAATGCGCGCCAGGTATTCTCCCACATCTTTCCCGCTAGACTATAACAGAGAGAGCCGCGCCTCCTCCGGTCTCGTTGACAAGGCCCAGTCGGTTCATTGCGAGATCCTTCCTTCCACCAGCAGTGCTTCCCAACAAGCCTTCACTATGGATTTTTCACACTGGAAAGGAGAGGTAGAGGGCGTCGTCACCTTCAACAGCGTCGAACTGGCCTCATTAGAGTCGTGTCCGCGTACTACTGGACCAAGCTTAGCATCCACAGCGGCAGGCTTGTCCGGACTAGCCATCAATGCTCAGAGCTCAGTACCATACTCCCAACCAACACAGGACACGGTCACCTTCATCGCACCAGAGAGTCAGTTATCAGACCGAGAGTCAATCACCAGTGATCCCGGACAGTCTCTGTATTCGTTCTCCGGCACCTCTGCTGATGTTGCACTCGCTCCCGCGACAACCTCGTCTTTCCACATGGATCCCTACAATTATACCTCCAGATGCTCACAAGCTGCAATGCATGCGCCATTCCAGAGTGCGTCTGGCGGCTACACCCCTCAACAGATCAACAAATGGTGCATGGAGAGTGAGCCCGGCAGTAGTAGCGTGTATCAATCAACTGCCTCATACCCAGCCATGAACCCTCTCGCCGTGCCGACCACCGGGCTGATTTCTACTTGTTATCCTGCCTTTGACGAGGATTTGCTGAACGAGTCTGCGTGGTCTTCTGTGGCGCCCACGCACCTCTCTCTGGGACCCGGCGTTGCCGAAACCACTCCGACTTGCTCCATCCCCAACGCCAGTGCTCCCATCGAGTACGGTACGTCTTCGACTGGCCCAGCACCCAACCAGGCCTTTCTTTCCCCTACTCTCGAGCCCTTCTCCAACCTCAGTACCTCTCCAGCCACCACGATACTCTCCGAATTTGAGCCGTCATCATCCTGTCATCGACCATCCTCCCCTCCCTCCAACTCGGCCGATCTCTCTCTCTACGGAATCCCCGCGGGAGAAGGGGTTTGGCGATGCGCTCACCCGGGATGCACTTCACATGCGCTATTCCGCCGGGGCTGCGATCTTCGCAAACACTTCAACAGGCATCGCAAGCACCTCTTCTGTCGACATGAAGGATGTCCACAATCTACCCAGGGTGGCTTCTCCAGTAAAAAGGACCGAGCTCGTCATGAAGCCAAGCACAATCCGGGGGTGATTTGTGAATGGGAGGGCTGTGAGCGAGTCTTCAGCCGGGTGGACAATATGAAAGATCACGTGCGACGTATTCACCGTCGCAAGGGGAGTCAATAACCCATGGCAGTTGGGTGGCCAAAAGGTCTTTTTTTCGGTTTTCGATTTCGATTTTCGAGTCATACACGAGATAACGAGATACCTCGGATTGGAGAGGTCGAGAACTTGATCTCTGACCCCTGGGCACGAATACCGTTTGCATAGACTCATTCGCGCGTCTTTTTCTCTCTCTCTCTCTCTCTCTCTCTCTCTCTCTCTCTCTAGCCCGCGCCCGGCGCTGGAACCAGACTATTGGGCGAATTTTGATCTGGCTATCATATCGACCAGCCAGGATATGGGCATGAATGCGGAGCAAAGGAGTTTTGACTTGATTCACCACCTTCTTAGAAAAGGTGGATGGCATCTCATTCACTCTTAACGACCATGATACCTCTTCTCCACTATACAGTATACACTGAACCAGAATACAATTCATGTACTTAGTTTTTTTCTCTCTTCCACCGGTTTCTATCAATCGACTGAAAGTTCTGAAAGCACAAATTGAGTAGTACCGTGCACCTCGTTGAAGGTCCCCCGTGTATCAGGAACCGGAAAACATATCAAAGCACACGCTCGCCCTTAATTTGGCCTGGATTCATTATACAAGGAAAAGAGCAGGGCATGGGCTCCAGTGTACAGTGTACAGTGTACAGTACCATGATGTCAAGGTGAGTTTCATCAGCCACGTAGACGACATGCACCACCCACGCATTCTCTCATCGAGGCAACCACCAGGCAAATCAGACAGCTTAATCCGTGAGCAATCCCGATACTATCCCACGCACTCTATCCAGCTGGAGATGACCACAAAGTCGCGCCCCAACACAATCACACCATGTCCATGTCCATGTCCACACCCCTCACTATACCACTCTCCCATGAAGTCAGCCACGTCCCGAGTCGACGCCCGATTCGGACCCCGAGTCCCAGGGGCCTTCCTTTCCGCATGCGGGACCGAACGAGGCAAGTCTTCGCTGCAGATCTTCAAGCCGATCTGTAGCGCGCCTGGACTCCCACTTGTCCCCCCTCCCCCTCCCCTTCCTCCCGACCAAACCCAAAAAAAAAAAAAAAAAAAAAAAAAAAAGGACAGGAATTTATTTCCACAGCGGCAAAGTCCGGGGCAAGGCCTGAGGCTGTACCTTTTGGACGATTGAGGAAATAGATGGTCGAATACACACATCACATCATCGCATATGCATGCATTTGCTGCATGATTGCCATACCCGGATCTATTTTTGTCTTTGGATCTTACCAATCGTCGTTCTTGACCCTGATGTTGGTTCCAACATTTTCTTATTCATGAGCTGTTTGGAGAGCTACAATTCGTAGTTGTAGGGTTTCGGTGGGGGAAAGATGGGATCTGTGGATTTGGAGGGGAATATACTCGTAGACTCAAGACTCAGTATATACATACTGCACTTGGATTATCGACTGTGACCAAATACACAGATTTTCAAATGGTAACAATTTCGGGGTCGGTCAATATTATCCGCAATATGTACCTACCAACTGGCAACTACCACCCAGTGACCCCCAGCACCATCCACAGCCCCTGAGGCAACTAGTCCTATACTACCTGCGCTCAATCACACGAGGTGATCACTCTCAAACTCTCAATATCAATATCAATACCGATACAATCAATCCCCTAATAACAGGATCCATCTATACAATCACGTCCTTCTCAGAGGATCACCTTCCCAAACAGGCAGACGAGAACTGGAACAGACCTTGCTTCAAGCGCTGTGCTCTATTAAGGTTGACGTGTCTCAGATCACCTCGCAGCACCAATGAGATCAGAAATTGGCTATCATTCCAAATGAGTCAGAATGACTCTCGCTTGGTGCATACTGGGCTTGTATTTTGATTTCTGTTGTTATTTTTTGATCTTATTTTTTGATCTTATTTTTTTCCTCCCCCCCCCCCCCCCCCCCCCGCCCAGAATAGCATTGTTCATATGAAAAAGTGCAACGTTGATGCAGAGCCATCAAGCCCGGACGGAAAACGGGATTCATGTCCATACTGTAAGTCCGCAGACCTCCAAATTTGAGCGCATAAGCAAAGTCGTTCCGGTACCTACCCAGACTCCATAGATAGATGCCACCAGGCGTCCAGACCACGGGCTTTACATGTAAAAAAAAAAAGACACCACTGAGGTAGAACCTCCCGGATCCAAGAAAACGGGAATCCATTCGGAAAATTGCTCCCGCCAACATTCTCGTACTGACTCAAAGACTCAGGAAGCCATTTTCTCTACCCATGTCTCCGAGTGTACAAACTATACATACTCGCCGCCACATCAGTATAAACCTGGGTCTTCGATGGAGACGCATACATGAGAGTTGAAGGGATCCCATCTACCCCGGCGGCGAGAGCAGTCAAGCATGGGATGAGGATCCCTCTGTTTCTGATATGTCCATTCGATGATGGTCTATCGAGGAAATGACCTTTGCTCGCTGACCTGGCCTACCGGGCTTAGGTGATGGATCATGGATCATGGCGTCATGGGTGGTCGCCGAGCTATGGTCACTACGGAAAACGAGGGGAAGCAGACGAGAGGTTCGTGCGAACGGGATACTCTCAATCTGAAGGACCGCTCTTCACGGGCCTGCATCGGAATAAACCAAGTGCCCATGTCCTTTGGTCTTCAGTGCGGTGATGTGATGAAGATGACTGGCAGTCTCCTTTGGAATGTGCTGGCCATGCGCTGTAAGGGGTAAGGGCAGAGGCTACAGTGAACCGCACAAGCACGGCGTTCCGAAGGAGGGGGAACTCGGTAGGAAGGCCCAAAGTGAGAAGAGAGCCTACCGCTAGATGGTCAGATAGGCAATTCTAACGGCAAGTAACGAGTGTACTTTCATGAGAGAGAGATGGAGTGGCACACGATAGACAAGGTAAGGTCAAATCAAATCAAAAGTATGCGCTATTGCGAGACGCTCAATGCAGATAGTAATGACATGAAATGTAACGAATGGCCAATTGTATCATCATGCTTCTAACAAGGTAGCTCAGCGTGTGGTATCATCAAAATCCAAGACAGGGACGAGAATGAAAAAAAGTCAGAAGAAAAGACGAAAAAAAAAAAAGAAAGAGAGCAATGAACTGGCCCCGCTAGCAAAAATCGAATCCTAACAGCATACATCAAAGTTTCGAAGTTTTCGCAAATCCACCTAGCTCAAAGGGAAGAATGCAGAGACCGGAAATTCATAGAGCACATGACATTGGGGATTTTGGACGGGGGAGCTAGGTTGTTTCCCAGCCCGACCAGAGAGACGAGTGACGCATTCCGTAGACACGGAGACTATCATGGAGTTTGTTCTGGTGAATTCGTCACGTGTCGAGGTGTCAGATGCATGTAAGAAATGAAGATCATGGTGACGGGACCAAGAAGGGTTTACCCGGAATCGGTGATATCAAGCAAAGTTTGATCTCCGCCGACGCCCGCGAGTACTTCCAATCGGACGTTGGGCCAGTACTTGTCGCAAAACCGGGTCGTCTTTGTTCTTATCGACATGATGCACGCGAACATGTCTGTCCAGACCACTTTGTTTAGTATTTTGCATCACTCAAAATTCTTTTTACATAGTTGAGAAATAACAGATGGACTCACCGTTGAAGATTATCCGGCCGAGGGTACTTGTGTTGCTGATCAGGACAAAATGGACACACATAGCCGGGAGAGTTGTGCACAAGCCCATGTCTCATCATCTCGTTCTTGCGTTTGAATCCCTTCCCGCCGAACCCACGAGGGCACCCTTCTACAGGACAGAAGTGGGGTCGATCTTGCGAGTGCACATTGGCGTGGGAACTGCAAGTTGCAACAAATGAATTTGGGTTTAGTCAGGACACGGTCATCAACTGTAACGCTTATCACAACGGCTTGCAAACTGACTTGAGTAAATATTGCGTTTGAAAGGGAGCGGCAGTACAGCCGAGATGGGTGCACCTGTAGCCCCCTGGAGCGCCGGTTCCATTCTGCGACACCGTGGAAGCTAGAGAGGCCCGTTCGGTCGATCCGGGAGAAGCGACGATCGGTTCCGTCGGGGTTGGATAGCTCGTCAAAGGGCTATGTGCTGCCATGGGAGAGGTTTCAAAGGGAGTCGCAGGGTTGTTCGGTGTCTCCACGCTCGAGTGGGCGGCAGGTGACGGGCCCGAGGGAGGGGGAGACCACGCCAGAGGGCAGACGTGGGCTGCGAGGCAGGGGAAGGATGATTGGAGACATCTTTGAGACTGATCGGAGACAGATGTGAGTACGGACTGGGGGGTATAGACGAAGCAAAGAAATGGCGGACATGAGATCTGTCATGTGGAGAATCGGTCGAGGTGGCGGAATTGGGACAAGACGAGTAAGTAATTTTGAGCCTAGCGGATGAGAACTCGGCGTGTGATAGATTCTCCAGCGCTGATTCTATGGATGGTAGAATCTTACCCTGGGCATTGCAACTAGCGGAGTCGGGTGATGTGCCTGCGGCTGAGGATGGCGGAGATAAGGATTGGATCGAGGGTAGAGAGATCGGGGCGGCCCGCCCGGACGGCTCGCTTGATAAATGCGCCGAGGTTTGCATATGAGGGAATTCTGTGATGGATTGGAGACGGGGACGCTGTGGGGGTGAAACGACGTCGTATTTGATCTTTGAAGGCGACGCGATAGGTGGTAAGATCGTGGCAGGAGGGTTTGTCGGTGGTGATAATGATAATGGACGATCTGATTTTTGGGACACCAATGGCGGCGGTGGTGGAGGAGGAGGAGGTGGTGGTGGTAATGGTGCCGGTCTTTCGTGTTTCGGCGTTGAGGCGAGTCTCCCTGGCTCCTCCACATCTATCATCCGATCATTGTCACTCCAATCTGTTGATCGCGCCGAGACTTGGGCCTCGTATTGAGATCGTGTTGTGTCTGCGGGCTGTTGTCCCGATCGCCCCCAGTCATCCCATGACAGCCCCGGGGCCTCCCGCTTCGGTAGCGGCCAGCTCGTGGGGTCACGAAGCCCAGCCGCGACTTCCGGGTGATCTGGCCCTAGATGCCTCATCAGCACCGAGTCGCCAAGATGGGTTTGAATCTGCGTTTCGGGCAGGTGCGGCTTACGGGAACGGTCGACCGCTCCGTGAGCATTCGCGACATGCGATGCGAGATCCCGCTTGTCGTCGGCCTTGACAAAGGGTGGATCTGGTTCGACATAGTCATATGTGGGCTTGACTACTTCGAGTGGCGGTGACCGCCGCCCGGCTTCCGAGTCAAAGTTTTCGAACATGATCGCGGTGCGCCACCAGAATCCAGCTAGACCATCCAGTCACCCTCTCTCTCTCTCTTCTCTCGCACAGCTGGGACAAAGATGCCACACGGGGTGGGGGGGGGGAAGGGCAGGGCGGACTGCAACGGCTGCGTTGCGATGTTGGAAGCCCGATTGACCGTCATAGACTCCATGCGCGGAGTGCAATGTCAAGGCGACAATGGCAAGTGTGCCAGCAACCGGAGGACTAGATGACCAATCGAGATATATCAGTAAAGACCCGACTCACTTGAGTTCCACAGGCGCAATGGCACCGATCTGGCTCTGTACTTGCACGGCAGTGTTGCCCAGCGCCAGACCTGCACATATATAGACATTCTACGCGCGTCGCACACGTCACACACACCAGGAAAGAAAAAAGTTCGCCGCGATGAGGCTCCGCGCGGACTCGGGATCTAAACTGAGCAGGGAACGATGAGGAGCTCCACCCCAACTCGGACGCTCTGCGACCCAGGTTAAGTGCCCACGAACCTTGCCCCTCAGGTGGTGAGACGAGGCACCGAAGGATCTTCGTGATACACAGTAACCCGGATCAGGTTGGTCTCGGTGACCGACAGATGCGTAGCCATGGATGGAGAGGGTGCCGCCGGTGCAGGTGGAAATTGACAGTAGGAGCCGGGAACTTGGTGCAGGCAGCAGCACCGTGCTGCGCCGGGGCAGGGTATCAAAGCGCTTGAAAAGAAACTTACCCGGAGAACCGGTTGACAGCTGGGCGGAAGCCAGAAAGAGGGGGGCCGGCAACACGAGGAACGGCGTCGAGCACGGATGATGAATAAAATGGATCACGGACGGATTTCGCGGGGATGATTGGGGGCGGAATGAGGCTCAGCGGAACCGCCCATTCACCAACGCCATTTGCGTGAGATCACTGGTGAAGAGGGGAGGAAACCACAGTGTGGACGAGAAAGGCGGTCGGACCAAAAAGGCAGACGAGCAAAAAGGGCGCGAGAGAGAGAGAAAGAGAGAGAGAGAGGGGAGAGAGAGAGGAGAAAGAGAGAGAGAGGAGAGAGAGAGAGGGAAGAAGAGGGGAAACCAAACAGGAGAATTTGTCGAAAAACACAAAAAAAAGAGTCTCTCTTTCGATATCTGTTTTTCCACGTGCAACGGAGTCTTGCGGGCAGGCCAGAATTCGGTTGTAATGCTCTTGCCCAGGTCTCGTTCGGTGCAGGAAAGAGGTGAAGTGAAGGTACCAGGGTGACAGTAGTCGGAGTCACTTGGTTTGGTACAATCACGAGCCTAATGTGATGAGACAACAGACACTGCAAAATAAGAAAGGGTCGAGGCCGGCGGGATAAGAGCTTAGGAAGAGGGAAAGGTAGAGAAAGAGGGAGGGAGAGAGAGAGGAGAGAGAGAGAGAGAAGCGTGTTGTTCGAGCTAGCGAGGCTGGTCAGCAATGGGAGGAGGAAGAAGAAGAGGAGGAGGAGTAGGAGAAGTCGAGTTGCGGAGGGAATGGGATGATGAAATTGTGGAATTATGGGATTCTGGGACTCTCTTCATCCTCCAGTTCTGCTCCAGGATTTCGAGGTGTTGTTGGAGAAGGGCCTGGACAACGCAACCCGTATAACGAACCAGGCCCTCAATTTTATTATGATGCTTGACTTATTCTTTTTTTTTTTTTGGGTTGGGGGAAGATGTTTTCGGAGTTTCGGAGTTTTGAGGGACACCAGGAGGAGAGGCTGGGGTCTTTTTTTACGGCTGATTATGACTTCTATGTTGTTTGTAGTTTCTTCCTCTCTCTCTCTCTCACTCCCTCTCCTTCTCTCACTTTCTCTTATAAGAAGAGGCTGAGGATAATGCTAGTTGATGGTTCATTCTACTACAGTACTAGGAGGTAGGTTTTTCAGAGAGCGATTGGAGACCTGTCATTTGTTGCATGACTCCATTTCGGATGACTTTGTAACCTACGCTTCAATGGAAGTGGACTGATTTTCATCCTCGCTCCATGGCCTCTGCCACGGGGTCTGCGTGGCAGATTGAAGGTGGCCCGTGACTGGCCAAACCCAAATTGGAGCACGCCCCAAGACAAGAGCCGCCTTTTTCTTTCTGTTTGGACCAGTGGCCACGAGGCTGTGGATGGAACTGAATGTGGGAGGGTGGGTTTGCCTTGGGTTCACGATGTGGAGGGAGGAGGGGGTAGGGGAGGTTTCAGCGACTCCTCACTTCCTCAGGAGTCATGAAGGAAACCAAGTGGGATGGATGGCTAGAGAGTGTTAGAGAGACAGCAGTAGTGTGCAAGAGAGAGGGTTCCTGGATCCTTTTTTTTTTCTTTCTGGCTAGGCAGTGGATAACGGGAGACTATTCCCAAAGGGCCCAGAAGCCTCATTCCCGTCCACCTGCAGACTCGAAACCGGGTGTCCCCAAAAGGTGCAAGTTCCAAACCTTCGCGCTGGTCTCCCAGAGTGGGTCGGCCTCGGTGGGGCGCACTCTTGGGCACGGGCCGACAAGAACAACAATGCGGCTTGTGCAGGACATGTCACTCAGAGTCCATGAAAGGTTGCGCAACTTCTGAGCTTCCTCCTTCCACCCACACCAAGGAGACCCTGTTTACCACCATGGTCCACGGAGAGAATCTGCTGGCAGATGGCAAATTAAACTCTCGCAAGACTCGCATAGTCCTGGGCCTGGGCGTGACGCTGGCTCCGAGCGCAAAAGGCGCATGGACCAGGGAAAGCCGCACCTCTGTTTCTGCAGGTCGGAAGGAGAGCCCTTAGAGCCCTTCCGACCTGGTCTCAATGATCAACCCCCCGACCGATTGGTGACTGGAGGTAAATGAGGGGTCAAGGCCGAAACAGAATGACGGGGGGGGGGGGGACTAGTAGACTACTGGCTTATGCTCAGCAGCACAGCTACAGACTACAGACTGTGAGACTACAATGTGAAGGTTGTATCCGGGACAGATACCTCATCTAACTGGCACGAAACGGACAAGGACACTGGCTGAGACTAGTGGGAAATCTACCAGAAAGGGCCTCAAATTTGATTGATTCAGCGCACTCATCAATATCAGCGCACTCATCGATATGAAGAGACAATCATATTCCGAAGGGGCAGATCATCAAAATCGAAAATCACAACCAACCCGAGGCTCCTCGCGGACAGAGGCAAATCGACCAGGTGGAAGTGAAACGACCGAGAATGAGGCTCTGAAAGGGTGGGCCTGGCGGTTCCGAGGCTCAGCCTTGGATCCTAATTTGAAACCCGGCGGTATCGTAGCTCGACGGGCCAGACGGACAGGACCTCGTCAGAATTCCCGAAGTGCAGGTTCGCAGAGAAGAAGAAGAAGAAGAAGAAGAAGAAGAAGAAGAAGAAGAAGAAGAACAAGAGCTGACTCCTGCATAAAAACCCAGGGCTATCTGGTGGCACGGCGAGCCCAGAACAACGCAACAACAATATGTACAAGACACGAGGAGATGGGGGGTGCCGTGAGTCCCCCGGCTGCCCCTCAACTGAGCTCTGGTTTCCCCCCGGGGTTCCAGGCGAGAGAGAAAGGAAAAGTGGGGTTCGAACTTTAGGGGCGGAAGCGATGGAAGCGATGGAAAGGGCCAAGACATGCGAGAAAAAGAGGAATAAAAAAAATGAAAAAAAGGAAAAAAAGAGAAAAAAAAAAAAAAGAAAAAAAGGAAAAAGAAAGAAGGAAGAAGGAAGAAGGAGCGGCTCTCCGTCCATCTGCGTCACCGACTCCATCGTCTGGATGATCTGACCGATGGTTGAGCCCCATCCTTCACACGCTATGAAATCGTCTCGGTCTTGCGCAATGCGGCTTTGATCGGAACGAGCACGGGCATTCCACACAGACAGAGACCAACCCTCTACGGTAATATGGAAATCAATATACAGAACGCTCGAATCATTGAACCACCTGAGGAACAGTACTGGCCTACTGGCACAGGAAACGCAGTGACATACTGTTTCACCGCGTGGGGCAGGCTGACGGCAACGACGGAGGCGGCTCTTGAGTCTTGACTTTGACACTTTGAATCCAACCACACCACACCGCCCTTCGGACGTCCCAAGGACTGCTGCTGCTGCGCGGATGAACATTCTTCCTTCCCAGAATCTCGGGGCATTTAGAGATTGGGCTGGTGACACGATTGTCCTTTTTTCAAGGCATGACGATCCTCATCCCGCCAAGTTTTTAGTGTGCTACAACCGTACTCACTACTCAGTAGTCTCCTAGTCAGTACTATACTCCCAAATGACCCGTCCCTCGGCTCTTCATGTGGTGGCTTCTCTGGCTTTTCCTCTTTTTGAAGAGTGCCAAGCAGTCCGTTCTTGAAGCAATGCGCCTGATTGTCATCTCATCGTGAAGGGTGCTCCTTTCGGTCTTCCCCCTTTTCCCTCTTTTTTTCTTCTTTTTATCCTCTTCATTTTTTTTTGGGTGGAACTGGATCTGGTGCCTCTCGGGCTAGCCCTGCTAGGTTGAGTAGGCTCCCTCATTACTACTGAGTCCGTGTGTCGTGTAGCCGCGTAGCGTATTGTTCCGCCCTGGAGCTCCCGGACGTCGCATTCGCATTCGTGGCCCCCCCCCCCCCCCCCCCCACTCGAGGACCCAATCAAGATTGGCATCTCCGGGACCCCAATCCCTGACGAGCCCCATCGCTCGGCGTGACCTACCGGGAGTTGAGCCAGGGTGGAACTACAAGACTACAAGACCGGTTCAAGTTGGACTGTTCGACCGTTGCGTCTCCCGCAGTGGGACATGGACATGGTTATGGTTTAGCATGGACCGGTGATCATCTGAGAGGACCTCCTTCGGGACATCTGATCATCCACTCTAGACTCTGAAAGTCTGAGCTTCACAGACCGAGTGAAATCCGACTGTGACTACTCACGAGTTCACAACAGCCGTCGGATCATTTGTCTGCGTTGCAGTCGTACTCTCCACAGGACGGAGGAGATAGAGGGAGTTCTTGGCAATGAGATTGCGCTTGCTAGCTCTTGGTCGAGTTGGTCGAGTTGGTCGAGTTGGTCGAGTCCTCTGTCGAAAAGGCGCTTCGGGTCCTCGTCGGATCTCGTCTTGAAGAGCTGCCATAATGACCCTTACGGCATGCTTGCTCAGTGGCTAGAATTTTAGGCACATACAGAGTCAGTCTATCGATTGATCAACTTCATCTGGTTCTCTGTATTGCCTCGGGAGATGGACATGCACAATTTTCATGAATCATGATATCGGGACATTGACCTGATTACGTTTTCGCCGTAACCGCAATTCACAACCTACAGTCTCCCTGGTCCACCGGTCCACTATGTGCTGTCTTTCCCACTGAGACTATTCCCAACTAGGGATCTTGCACGACTTGTTTGGATCCACTAAGGGTTGGACTCCATTCTTGCCGAGGTTGCAGACAATCCTTTGGATGAAGTGTGATTGGGGTAGTTATGAACTATGGACACCAAGTATCAATAAGAATAGATCTATACCATCTGAACCCGTGTGCGAAGGCTCGTGGGATCGTGGTCACGATGGTAACCCCCAGTGGATGGGCAGAGAAAAGTCTATCCCACTACTAAGATCTGGTATCGTGAGGAGCCATGTCTCTTTCCGTTTGTTTCTTATACCAGTGTCGATGGTTCTTGTTCGGAGGTTGGCAGCATTTCATCCCCTGAGATACTGTACCTCTGCCATGATCAGTACAGACGGGAAGTAGGTGAGCCAATACAACATGTCAAGAAAGCGCTCATCTTTTCGACGACAAAGAAGCCCATGATTGGCGTTTTGTATTCTCCTGCGCCGACTTGATCATACATATATCCAAGTCTTTGCTTGAGCCCTACAGAGGGATGCATGCTACCCTGAGATGAAGAGAGCTCATTCTGATCCGAGGTCCACATGTAGGGATTGCTCAGATACAGTAGGACCAAGACTCAAGCCCCAGTGAGGTCAAATCAATGGATACCACTGTAAGTGCCTGGACTACCTATCGTCTCACTGGACGAACGCAAGAATTGCAGATTCGGAATAAACCTGCTTCGTTGAACTAAACATCGCAACTATTTCGTGTCGGACACCATCTTTTCTCCTACAAGGGGCGGATTTAATGGAATCGAGAATGAGCAACGCATGTCGAATTTCCTATGCCCGTCGATGATCCCCTAAAGATCCATTGTCCCGGCAGTTGCTCGGTAGTAAGTCTGTAGGATCATCATCGGGATCCAGGCCCTCCCACGTCCACTACCACCCTGGCACTTTCTCATCCTATTGATCGGTCGATAACCTGTGTGCAATGTACATCATAGCGTAGCAGTGTGTGTATGTGTATATCTCCCGCCTTCCATCTCTCGGCCTCGTCATTGGTCTACTCTACAGTTTACTCTACTCGTGAACCTACCGTGTATTGGGTCCTAAGCCCCGGATCGGGATGATCGGCACAATGGCTCAATCAGCAGGCTCCATGGCCTGGCCGGGCAGGTGAGGGGACATACATGAAGCAATCAGTTCATTTCTATTTCGATCCATGGGCCATACCTAGGTACCCGGGCAAAGCAACCCAGAGAACTCGCCCAATCGTTAGAATCTACTGCATCTTCTTGAGATGCTATGGATGTCATCTGCTGCGTTGCATGGGGCTCGGTGGACCCGTCCGGGTAATCCTGAGCACCACTGCACAAGTGCACACTGCGGAGCACTATAGTTGGGGACGGCCCCCCCCCCCCCCCCCCCCGGCTCGTGAAACCACCCTGTCCATCCATTAGAGGATGAGGTACCCTTCCAAAAAGGCAACGAAGCGGCCCGCGCCGCGATCAATTCGCACAAGACAGGGGTGAGACGGAGGTGTCATCTCGCACTTTTCGTCGAGACTCTCCGGATAAGCTCCGACGGACAGCCGCGGGAGGTCAGGTTCATAAGCCCCGTACGTACGGCATTTGCAATCACGCACATGATGCGATGATCATGGAGGTAGTACCTTGTCACCTTTTATCAGTATCGAGTATCTACTCGCAATTGATGTCAATCACCTGGAATGTATGGATGACGCTCATGACCCGGAAAAAATGGCATGGGTGACTCGATACATGGTTTACCACAGGATGATTGCAGAATCTAAGCAGTGGTCTGTACCTAACAGCCTCAGCGGCTCGGAGAGAGGGGGGTTCTTCCCCCTTCTGTCTACGCACCTGTGCGCCTCTACGGTCCTACCCAAAGGTCCCGCATGAAACCCCCGCCACTGATCGCGTTGTTTGGCCCAAGTTGCACCGAGTAGTAGTGCACCCCGACCACAATCTTTGTATCAAGGACTTTTGATCATCATACTGGCATTTCAGTTTCACATGATTTCCACATAGTATGACTTCTCGGACGGCAGCGGTCATCTGCCACAGCCATTGTTTTCATTGCCGCTTGGGCAATTTCCAGCACCGCAGACTAACTATATTGACTATCACTCCGTCCCATGTTAGGTTGAACTGGTTAAACTTGGTACTTCCAGGTCCAAAAATTCATGAGCCGTCGCCAATATATTAATGTCCAGATGCGAAAGCCTCGCATCCCAACCTCACACCGAAGACTACAAACCTTCCATTTCCGTGTACCCTAGTCCATCACTCAAGATACCGCATGTGGGATCCAGGATTTGTGAAAGACTAGTAGAAAAAAAAAACATCCTTGTCCAACTGCCAGAGAAGGTTGGATGATCACTTGTCAGGAAAAAAAAAAAGCAAGTTCCCGCCCCGGATCAAATACGGCTGGACGGTCCAAGCTTCTCCTTCTGTTCTGCATTCTTTTTCCTAAATCGGTAAGACGCTCTATCCATAATCGGCCTGGTATCAGCCTCACTCTAGCTTGCCTTGTCGAATCCTGCAAAGGCAGAAGCGGCGGTCGATCCTCGAAGTACACTAGCAAGCGGGGTGTTTAAATGCCATCATTCACCGAGTACAAAGGTCCAGTGTCCCGAATGTGAAGGTTTCTTTGATCGACTAATGTAGAGAGCTACAGCCTAATCCTATGGACCATAGTAGCCTACTGCGAGCTAGCTAGTTGGCAGTCAGTGCCCACTGCCCACTGCCTACCTATACGTATAGGCTAGCGCCTTGTATCGACCGATCGTACAGTCCTTCTCCGCACTCTACAAGAGGTGGAAACTGTAAAGGCCGAGTTCTGCCCACGTCGATGATGCATGCGTTGACTCCATGGTAGATCATCGTGGGAGCCGCAGGGCCAAAGCCCCAAGATAGCCTCATTTCTTCGCCCCCTCTTTTCCGAGCCTGGAGATCGTGGACCCAAAACCCCCGCTCCAAAAAAAAAAAAGCAAACATCGGAAGACAAAGAAGCAACGGAGGGAACAACAAAACTCCTACCCCTCCCTCAAAGTCTAAAGTGGCAAGATATGACACTCGTGACTATGAGAGTTTGCTCTTCCTCTGAACAGACGACGCCAAGACGACACACCCTTGAGCTCGAGATGACCATCTGTCCGTCCATCGCCCAACGCAGGATTCAAAATCAAACTTTGGAACAAAAAGGCAATATCGAGGAGATCTCGCCCTCGACCTCGCCAGGTCGGCAACCCATGATAGCCTTGAGTGGCCAAGGGCGTGCAAGCCAGCCCCCTGGTATAGTTGCAAAATGCAGCCTCGACTGAACAGGCAATCGTCAACGAGCAAGACTCGATCGGGTTTAGTGCTGACCCCTCCCCGCTGAAAGTCAAAAAGAGTGAATGGAGAAACCAGGGCTTCGGGATAAACCTCCGGACGATCATTCCAAACGGAAAGTGAGAGGAAAAACAACAACAATAACTCCTCTTACGTACGACTAGTTAGGAGTGACTTCTGGGGTGAAATAGTAGTGGCGGAGCTTGAATCCACTCAATTTAGTGCAGTCAGCGTCGGGGCTCCTCAGGAGGCCGATACAGCCATCGGTCTTCAATGTTTGCCGTCTCCACTATCGTCACTGTTGCCGAACCCTCCGTTGTCTTCCATGTGCATGAGTATCATCTGTCCTTGTGGGGGCCCGCTAATTAATTACGCCAGTGAGACTTGGATGTGAGATAATATGCGCTAAGGAAAAAAAAAGCAAATCATAAATATGGGATGTCTCGTTGGGCGATGCCTGAAGAAAGCGGGAAGATGACCGCGTCAAGAGGAGAGGCTCAAGCGGATCCAACTGACACAAACACGCAATGCCGTTCTGCTATCAATAATGGCGATAAGGTATAAAGGTACCCATCCAAAATGGATCCCCGTGGTCTCCGACTCGAGATTGAGGAATGACAATGTCCTCTCCCACACTGAGTACAATGACTACGATCGTCACTGTTTCCATCTCTACGTTCAATGAGAGATGGGATTCTTGTTTCATTTAACGTCCAAATTGTGATTCTAGAGTGCCGCTTACAAGGTATATCTACCGAGTTTTTCAAATTCGGCAAGAGTCAGGAATGCCCGGACTGGTATGAACTACGTAGTCATGCATACTTCTTCTCGAAATACGGAAGAAGCTTCTTTTCGTCGAACTCCCTGTCAGTCGTAGGCTGCCAAATCACTTCAAATTTCCCATTGCTAGATGTGCCGCGGGCTATTCGAAACACTTCCAGGGAGACGTGACCCGGTATCGTCGCTAAATTCATGTAGTAGTGTCGGTGCAGATGACAACCCTGAGTTCCATTACCCCAGACCCAAGGTTCTTCCAATCGTAGCCACCCGACTCATTCAATATCACCAAGCGCTACAATTGTCTATCTGCTTCATCTTCAAGACCTTTTTAACGCCAACCCTTCGGACTTTCCATTTTCAGTGCGGCTCTGCAAGACCACAAAAGACATTATCCATGCTCATTTGGAGAAAAATCTCGCACATTGCGTCATCAAGTTATCTTCTTACTTGTCCATTCATCCAGCGTGCAAGGTTGAGGGCTCCTGGCGGGGCCTGTTAGCCGCTCTAGCAGGTGTTGATTGAAGTTCAGTCCCCGAGCGAAGAGCCCACGTTGCCAATCTCGGACGAAGATGCTACTACGCAATACCAGGTATGGCTTTAGAAAGCATCCTTGTTCTCTTACTAGGTCATCAGTGAGCGCTGACTAAACTTACGAGGATTACCTAGGTGGGTAGTCGTATTTGATCACAAGGGACACTACCTGCAGCAGAGTGAAAGACAGCTATCCCTTCTGGGCTGCCGTATAAACGATCGTAGCTCCCTAGCGAAGATTTGGAAAATGCGCCGTCATTGCAACAGGGATGACAGAAAGCCTGGACCACCGGTCAAGGTCAGAGAAGGACGTGGAACTGAACTTTTCTCATCTCAGAATATGTGGCTCCTAATTAGCCGTAGGCTTGTCATTCTCGTGTCCGATTAAACCATCGTCCGATAGATAAAGTACACTCTCGCAATCGTCTCATTCAGAGGTCTGCCAATGGAATGACAAGTGTATGCTGCTACCAATGTCACCCAAACCGCCGCGAGAGATCTGTGGTGAAAGAATAGATGACGTTTGTCGAAAACGATCGACATAGATCGACAGGTGACGATGAGCATGCAGATCGAGCGGAAGGGAAGTCGGGTACCTTTGCCGCTTCGTGCTGCGCTTACGGATGGAACCTCCGAGGAGTCAGACTGAATGTGGGACTCCTACATGTACTACTACTGTCAGTGTCTAGGTAACAGCGTTGTTTCGAGAACCGCTGCGGAAGTTTGTCCCACGAACTTGTTGTCAGATGTACCCAAAAGCTGACCACACATGAATTACCGGGCACCCTTGTCTGGGCATATGACCGGGATTCTGGGCAGTCCCCGGTGAAGGAACACTGGGTCGCGATGAGGATCGTTCCTTCAGGTGGTGATCGATCCCTCTGGTGTCCCGATATCTACATGATTGGGCTTCCGATCCCGAGGGGCAATCTCGAAGGATTCAGGGTTTCGGCGTTTTCCCACTTCAGGAGAGTCCTGAGACACTTTTACTCACTGCTCACGGAGGTACTCCGGCCTGATGACTGGCGATCGAAGCGTGTAGCTTGGTACTTCTTAGCTATGAATCCTTGTCAGTCGGCATCACATATGGTAAGGAGATCGCGGAACGCATCGCAACGGCTGACATGGACACACAGGGGACACGTGACGAGGACGGCACTGACATCGGACTTAGCACGTGACATGGAAAGCAAACCGTCCAAACACGTGAAATTGATTCAACGGGCGAATCCCCGCGCACTGACGCGAACCGCGTCGCGGGCCTCGTGCAGCGGTGAAAGCTGGCGCAAGGAGAACAGGCACCTGCAGGAAACTCACCGCAAATTTGGTCAGTTCTGTCGCATACCAAGGACCTTAGAAGAATCACAGATACCCCAATTGAGCAGATCAATTGACTCGAAAACTTATTCCGCAATACAACTCTTTCTCTCTTTCTTCGCAACGCATCTACTGCTTTCTCGGCAATGACCCAAGAGACTTCGCCGACCGCCACCACACACACCACTCACGAACCGCCCTCCCTCCCCAACTCCCCGCTCGCAAAGCGCACGAAGACCGAACCCACCAACATGACAAACTCCAATGGCCCCGCCGTCACCTCCATCCAGCAGCCTCTGCCGCCGCTGTTGATCAAGAAGCTGGTTCCTTCAGCAAAGGCCCCGACGCGGGGTTCCGCCTTTGCGGCGGGGTACGACATGTATGCTGCGAAGGAGACGGTGGTGCCTGCCAAGGGCAAGGCGCTGATTGACACGGGTATTGCGATGGCCGTGCCCGAGGGAACATGTACGTCTGGTTCCGAGTCCCTGCAATGAATGCTCACCGGTTGGACGTAATGGATGAACTGGCATTAGAGAACGAGGGGACTAATTCGGGTGGGAATTGTTCTTCTTTGCAATTTGCAGATGGTCGTGTGGCGCCTCGCAGTGGCCTTGCCTCGAAGCACTTCATCGATACCGGTGCCGGTGTCATTGACGCTGATTACCGCGGTGAGGTGAAGGTGCTGCTTTTCAACCATTCGGATGTTGACTTCCCTGGTAAGTTCTATAATGGACATACGTTTGTGGAATCCTTGCGTGGATAGAAATTGAACCCTTAAGCTAATCAGTCACGCCAATTACAGTCAAGGAAGGTGATCGCGTTGCCCAACTCGTCCTCGAAAAAGTGAGATTGTGCCATTGGCGAATTCCTCTCGACGATGTATTTCGTGTGACTAATGCCTGTTCCAGATCTATACCCCCGAGGTCGCTGTTGTTGAGGAACTCGAGGAGAGTGTTCGCGGTGCTGGCGGATTTGGCAGCACTGGTGTTTAAAAGGACTTACGATAAAATGATGTGGCATGGAAATAAGACTTGATTATGAACAAAAGGACAAGGTCCACACCATACAATAACGCATTTATGTGGCATCAATCGGCCAAATTGCAGACTTGAGACTTCGCACTCATCAGGCCTTTTCCACTTGGATGTGCAAGAGTGGTCATACACCGATAGAGATATGATTGTCAACATGGCTTCGAATTGATATATTCGTCCAAGATTATGTACATGGAATATCACATCAACAGGCAAAGGGCGAAAGTGCCGTCGGACCTCTAACATCTATCGATGGCAACGTCTTCTTTACGGAGCACTTGCACCTCAAATTGAGTGAGCGGCTCTCTCAATAGTTTAGTGTTGCGAACCAATCGCACTTCAGCAGCCTTGGTCTGACGCAGATGCTCGCGCTTTTGCTGTTCCTCTGGACTAGTCGCTCCACATGGCTTCGAGGCCTCCTTTGCAAGCTCGGCATCTCGAGCCTCCATGGTCCGCTCGAGGACGCTGTGCATGCTGGATAGGACTTTGATGGTCGACTGGGCCAAGGGAAGCTCGTTCGCAGGCACATCGTCAGGGGACACCCAGGAACGAGTGTGAAGAAGATCATCACCTGCATTGACCACAGCCTCGCGCAGTCGAGCCACCGTCAATGCCGCGAACATGTCGCCCGTTCCACTGAAGAAACAATCCAGGGCGGGCACATCCACTTGGAACAGCCGCGGCGTACCGTTCGATCTGGTGGTCGATCCAATGATGGTCAAGAAGTTCTGCGATGAGCTGGGTGACGATTCTACGGTGGCAGATCCAGGTAGTTGTACGGATGTAATGATCACATGCGGCACTGAATAAATCTTATGGATGGCCGTGATAGCCTCCGCCAACGTGGCCAGAGATGTAATCTTGATACCGGAAAGCACTCTAGAAAACAGGTCAATGATCTCAGTATGTCAGATGTATGCAAGCCATGGACTGCAATTGAGACATCACTTACTCGGCTTCGAACTGATTAGGGAGAATCAGATCGGCGTGATGAATGATCTTCTTGTATGCAGGAACCACGTCGTCGTTAACGTACAAACGACCCTGATCGCCCATGACCGGATCCAGTACTATGGTCGTTTATTAGCACACGTCCCCGAGCCGTCCTCGCTTTCCGCGGAAAACAAACGGCGTACCCCAGAAGAAAGAGCCTGGCTTGCTCTCGGCCTTCTTTTGCAGATCGATCCCGATGGCACCGACAGCCTCCACGGCCGCTGCACTTGGAGCGTATCCCGACAGCATGACATCAAAGTCTGTCAGGTTACTCTGACATAGACCTTGATAGAGATCTGTGATCTCTTGTGCGGTCGCACGAGTGCCCTTGAATTGGCGATAGCCAGTGTGATTGCCTGAATATGGACTCGTCAGTGCAATCCATGTACGAATCCGGCGTTGAGAGACCTCTCCCGACAAGAGCAGACTGATTTGCGTAGAAATACTTACTGAAATTGACGGTATTCAAGGCGGCCACCTCACATCCCAAGGACTGCATGACAAACCCCGCCATGGTGTTACCCACATGGCTGTTAGATCGTTAGCAGAAAGGACCACTGATCTCAGACGTTCATGACTCGGTGGGCGTCTACATGCCGCCCTCGGCCAGAAGAAGCATCATCAAGTCATCACATACCCATAGGCCACCTGAGAGATACCAAATCCTAGTCAATCTCACATGCTCCTTAGAGGGACAATCTCACTGCACTTTGCAACTTACATGGCTCGCTACGGCCAGGACTCTCGTCTCCGGAACCAGGACGTCTGACATGATGACGAAGATGGGATGAGGTTCCTTTTGCGATCGTGTGGGGTGAGGGAGTTGGCCGAGTTGACTGTGGAGCGGTTGGGATCTCGCTTCCCTTATTGGTTCCGGAGGAAGTTGAGGCTTTGGTCGGGTTGAGATCGAAGGGATTTGGGTGGAGGATCATCGTTAGCAGAGTGCATGGGCACTATTGCATCTCTTCAGAACAGGGGATATCATATCGAAAGGGCGAAGTTGTCATTGAAAGTAAAAAGAAATAGATAGGACGTGGATCTGCTCATGAACTTTACAACGAACTTTCAAGTGCTGTGACTGCTGTCAGATAGAACCTCTCTCACGTGCCCGTCCGGCATTGCGTGGATGAAAATCCACCCACATCGACCTGGAGTATCTCAGATTCCTTGACATGTCAATTTTTCACGCTACGTGCAATGGCCCTCGTTCATGCTATTAAATTTTAATCTATTCCATCACAATCAACCGCAATAGTTCTCAGCCTTGGCTTAATAGTCGCATGATTATCTGCTCCTCGTGGGTTCTATTCGAGGCGACCGAAACCGTTGGGTCGAGAGGTTTCGGCGTAGCTACCGAATCGAGAGGACTACCCAGAAGCAAAGACCAGCGACGTGTATCACACTGTCCAGTGTCCACGACTTACGTTCAACTTGCATCCAGGGTCGCAGAGGTTGAAAATTGACCGGAGTCACGTCTCCAGTAACCTGACCATTCAGACCAGCCCAGCTTTGATTTGGGACTCATCAACCAGTGCACCGAGCATCCATGGAGGGTACAGTCCCTTCCTCGTGGACTGCTGCCGAATACACAAAGAGTCCTCGTGCAAAGTGGCATCAGCTCGCGGACAACTTCGTATCCTCCGTGGTCATCTGCGATGACACTATTATTACCATGAAAATCCTTTTCTGACGTGACGTGGCTTAGACATGAACAAAGTCCAGCTGCCCCTGAGCCGCTCGAGCCAGAATCAACCACCCGTCTACCGTCGCCGACTCCACAGAACGCTCTAGTCCCCATCAACCCTGCTCCGAGACAGTCTAGTGCACCACGCCGTGAGCGTGGGCTGGGCCTTGGCTGATCTATTCACGACATGGACCACGGCACTTTTCCAGTAGTCACGATTCCATGGGAGAACTCCGTTCAGCCTGTGCTCCGTGCCCACTGTCCACAGCTCGTTGGCGTTGCAGACTTTGACTAGCGGAAACGGTAGGAAGTGAACTAGTCGCCGGGACTCGGTAGATTGATTCAACTTGACTGTGATCTCTGGGCCGGGGTTGCTCATTCTGCGCGCTTGTCTGATGCGAAGAACCAACTTCTCCTCAATCCCGACCACGAGGCGATTCAGCACGTCACCTGCGTCCTATTCCCTACCCTCTAACGGCGACGGAAGAGTCTGTTGAACATGTCGGTTCACTCGTAGCATTCGAACCGCGTTTCTCCCCCTCTTATTCACTCATTTCGTTTTCCTACTCCTGAAAACAAGGGCCGACCACGGCACGATCATTCGCTTGGTCGCACATGAAAGAGAGCCTTGGTCAGTATGGAGACTGTCGCTGGCCCCGATCAATGCATCGGCAGTCACATTGCCAACCACTCTGGCCCGACGCCTACTGTCAACACTCGCTCATTTTTTAAGCGTCGGGAGTCGCATTTCGACCGTCCTCGTCGCTGCTCGATACTTTCGATGACAATCTGCCAGACTCTTTTACTCTGCTTGATTATTCTCTGTCTGTCGCCACAATCAGCGCTCGCCCAAACTACCGTGGGTATCTCGAATTCTTCAAGTAGCCTGGGATCGGCAAGCGCACCAGCACCATGTGGAGAGATCAGCACGGACGTTCCCGCTACTGAAGCCTTGTTGGTATCGATCGCTGAACATGCACAGCTTCACGAACACAAGAAGCACGTCGATGGGACAGAACCAATCTACACGGCGGAAAATGGGGTGTTACTTCTGAAACGGAGTCCATCGTCTGCAGACAATTCCTCCTCTTACCCTGATGTACCCACCGCATTTGATACCCTGTCCAACAATTTCGCCAACGCTAGTTGCGTCTCATTCTTCAACCAATTCCGCTCCAATTCGACATTCACGGACTGTTTGGCCGTCTCCCTCCTTCTCGGGAATTCCAATTCCTTCTTTCACGTCCTCACCTCGGCTGTTGATACATCTCATGTTCTCGACGCAGCGTGCGCACAGCCAGTCGACAAATGTGCCTCGGTCTTGACCTCCTTAGCCAAACAACTCCTGCACGACGATCACTGCGCGCAAGACTATAACTCAGGCAATGCCGTCGTACAAAGTGTCTACCAAGAATTGATCGCCTACGAACCTGTGTACCACGTCTCTTGCTTGACCGACCCAGCCACCAAAAGTTACTGCTTCGTCGATGCGGTGACCAATACATCAGCGCCCAATAATTATAACGTTTATTTCGTACCTATCGGCAGCACTTTGACTGCGTCCGGTCCGATCACCTGCAACAAGTGCCTCAAGGATACGTTCGATGTGTATGCGCAGTGGGCTACGGTGAACGGCCAGTCCCTGGACACGACTTACGTTCCCTCTGCCATCCTCATCAATAATTACTGTGGCGCCGGATTCGCAAACACAAATGTCACAGTCGGCGCTCTAAAAGCCACCGCCGCCGGAGCTGGACAGGCACTTCAGCCGCCGGATTCCCGGCTCCTTGTCTCATTCGCTGCTGTGCTCATTGGCATCGCAATTTCGGGGTCATTTTAGCGGATGTATTACCTCCCAGTTGCATGTGGCCCGAGCCTTTCATATATCGACTCGGAGATAACGACGTAACTTCGACACCTGACAGATCCTCGTCCTGTCGTCTCCCCATCATTTCCATCCTCATGTTCGAGGGTTGCAATTAACGTGCGATGTTAGCGACCAGCGTTGTCCTTTGTCTTCTTGCTTTTCTCCGCGCATTCTAATGTACATTTATCATTCACCTGACCTGTCTATATTAGTAATTAAATAATCTTCCACATTCGTCCCATCGATATAATACAACCAAGCAGATACTGAGTTTTTCTAACGCGTAAGTCCGGTTGCGCATTTGATAAATTTTTCCAGTCATCTGGCACGTTCAAGAATCACTCCACAGAACATTCCTTCTCATGTAGGACTGGAGTACGCAAGGGTTGACTCCCGAAAAATCTAGTGGAATTGGAAGTAGGTAGTAGGTACCTAAGTAAGCAGTGACAGAATTTGTCCGTTTGTGCGAAATATGTGCTAGATTGAATATACTCGTAGCAACTTCTAGCTACCCTTCAGATGCCCAAAAAAAAAACAAAAAAACTCTCCGCTATCAAGAGGACATATACAGAATTCATGAGCTGAATATCGAGAGTCAGGCGTGGATCATGACTTGTCATAACTATGAAAAAGCGAGGAACAGGCATGACTCTTGATCGGTCGTTAATAATGGTGCGAAATTGAAATTTAGGAAAACAGACATGCGCATGACGTGGATTTCCTCAATGGATATCAACAACGGTGATGAATTCAGAGAGATCTTCGATAGATCAAATTTGTCAATTAGCTCTTCCGTTTGATGTTATCTCCCAGAGCCACCCCAACGAGACTTTGGGGCTCGACGCTGAAGCTTGTGCCAGCGTTCGTCACACCGATTGAACCGCCCGGCGCCGCTGTGATGGGACTTTGGGCGCTTTCACGCTCTCGTTTGACTCGGAAGTACCCCAGTTTAGCAAATCGAGTCAGATGAGTCCAGAAGTGTCGACCGGCTGGATGCGAGGAAATGCGGTCAAGCAAGTCCACTGTCGCTTCTCGCACGACTTGGTCAGGGTGGAAAAGACCCATGCTGATGTAAAACAGGCCGGCTTGATTTTCCGGGGTGACGGTCAGCAGTTGACAGATACCGGCATAGTCTTTGACGGCGTGGGCCAGTGCGAGGTAGATGGCGCCCGAATCTGCATGGGATAGTTTGAGGGATCGAAGCCGGTCATGGTGGTGATGGATGTCCGGTCGCTGAATAGGTCGCGCAGGGTAGTACATTGCTGCAATGTCTTGAATGTAAGAGTAATACGATCGAGTGTTTCGCCATCCTTCGATGCGGGAGACGGACGCAGACAATTCTCGCTGCTTGGAGGCCTCGTCAGGCCAGACATATCCGTGACCTCGTAAGGAGGTAGGGTCCAATGGATCCGCTTGATGTCCTGTGGGACTATCGGGAGACAATTCTTCTCCGGGGCCGATGATGTAGAGATTGGAAGCACCATAGACGGCCTCCTCGAATGCGGCGGCGACTCGGGTGAACTTAACAATGTAGGAGCGCCACTTGGCCCGAACAGCGTTCTCACCATGACGCTGACTGATACTTCGGAGGATATCTTCCATGAAGAGATGATCGCCTGTCGGATCTGTCTGAGACGTAGATGTGTGGATTGGCGTCGTAGCATTCTGCTGTTGGAAGAACAAAAGCCCCTCTGTAACTGGAGCAGGCTCGATATGGCTTGATATCTTCATACGTCCTGTGGGCAAGTCGCACAAGACATCCCACCATTCGGGATGGTTGGCAAATGTCGGATTCGTCACACCCGCGATGAATCCAGGCACTTTGAGAAGATCATCAATCTTTGTCAAATCCGTGTAGGGGAAAGCGTGTCTTGTGAAACCGCGCAGAATCCCACCAGATGCGATGGCACACGCCGCAAGGACAGCCTCGGCCACCTCGCCAGAGGGTCGATTATGGCCCAGGAAGATGACTCTCTTTTGGGTGAGAATGGCGTTCACGAGCACGATGATGGGATGTGTGAAGGGACCGCTTGTTGTTAAATGTGGATGATTTGGGAATCCCTGCGGAGCCACTGCATGAGGCCCCGCAAAGGTCTGGATCAGCTTGACGAGAGAAAAGTCTCCAACAGTCTCAGGCCAAATGACGGTAGGAATCTTCACAGGAATCGGGATGTCGTTGTATACCACCTTCGACTCGAACTCATGGGTGTCCCGCGGTAGTACATAGCGGCTCGTCTTTTTGGGTGATGGGGGGGCCTCAATATCCTCAGCTTCCTCTTCCTCCCGTTGACGAACCATTTGCTCGAACTTTTCAATGAACATGTCTTTGGTGTTGCTGGATTGCAGGATGTGTCTCTCCAGAATGGACATGCGCGGCATCAACGATAGATCCATGTTGTTTACCGCTTCATACAATGACGCAAGTGTTTCGGGGTATGGTGATTTGAAGTAATCCTCCAGAGCCAATAACAAGAGCGGCTGCAGGATCATTAGCATCTATGGTTGCATTCCCATCGCGATCGATCTCTCTTACTTTGTAAATATGCAGGAATGAATGCCTCGTACAAATTGCCATGGCCTTGACAACCGCACCTCTGAGGATTTCTGTCAGAGGTCGTCCTCTCTCTCGCTAGTCTGGGGTGAAGGAAGAAAGCTTACCGTCGCACCGTATTGTCTTGTTTCGTGTTGACCAAGTTCAGCACATACATGAGAGGCGGGCCCTCGCCGCCTTCTTCGTCGTCACTGCTGTCCTCGTCCGAGGCTGTGTTTGATTCATTATGAAGCGAGCCGTCTAGTCCGTCACTGTCGTCGGCCTTTGACTTCTTCCGCTTCTTTTTCTTCTTCTTTGTGCCGTCCTCGTCATCCTCATCATCATCCGCGCTCGTGTCCTTGTGAAGGAAGAAGATGGTCCAATCTTGACTGCGCACGTGGGTCTGATCTGGCAGCATCAGCTCCGCGAGCATGCTCTCATCGCCACTAATCGCTGCTGGAAATTGATGCTCCATAATTGGTCCGCGATCGATGTGGAAGGACGCTACTAGAATGTATTCGACGTGACGCTCCGGCGAATCGAGCGGGTATTGAGACTTGCAACGCCGCATCTTCTGACCTGCGGGATAATCCGTTGATTTGCGGCGAAATGAGCCATGTGAGTGGCTCGGTGACCTTCCAATGAAGGAGGCTGCCGGGGAGAGACGAGGGAGGCCATTGTTCTTCGGATTCGAGGTGGACAGCGAGTCGTTGGAGGGTCGATAAGGTAGCGTAGACGACATCTTCCGGCAACACTCTCAATTCGCAGGGTCGCAAAAGGGCCAGACTCAGGCGACAGACTTAGATGACATGCCCTTTCTCCTAGCCGCGGGGGAGCAAAAGGATTATCGATCCAGGTGCTGATGGTGCTGTTGGATGCTGCCAATCACCGTGGGCCAAGAATTGCATGGTTCAGGGGTCGGTTCAGAAAAAGGGCGATTCTCCACAGCGGGGACGATAGGCGATAAGTTGATAACTCCCGCGAACTGTTTACATGCGCGACGAATCTGGATCGAGACTGTCGCCGGGTCTTGAAGTGGGAGTCAATGAGCACACGCAGTGTTTGGCTCATTCTTTCCACCTACATGGTGGCTCATGCCTGGGATGAACCCAGGAAGCTCAATCATTTGTGCGCAGGGACTTTTTTCAACCTCTTATCAGTAACAAAAGCAGCGTGTTTTCTTTGTTGAACGCTGGTAGCAGACGGCTCCGCACGTGCCCGCCCGGCCCGACAGTGTTGCCGGGGCATTGTTTACCGTCTCCAACACATGAGATGACTCCACTCACTACATCACTGGACATACGCAATCAACATGGTGAGCAGCTCGGCTTTATTATTCCTTCTCCCTTGTTGGCGTGAGGCAATACTGATATCCTTGACATGACTCAGTCAAGTGCTCCGACCTTCAAACCTTCACCTCTGTCGTTTGGAGGCCCAAGGGCATCTCCCTTCCGGCGGCCATCTACGCCAAACTCTCCGCCCAATGCGCCTCGCACAGGCGGGACTCCAGGGAGCTCTCCTACTCGAGGTTTCACGCCCATGCAATCACCGAGCAAATTGAATCAGACCTACACAGCTGAAGAGGACAATAATGCAGTAGCTTCTCAGAAAAGCGAACCGATTCCTCAGCCCAATTTCACACGCGAGCTGCCTTCGTCGCCGACGAAAGGAGCTCGATCGCCCACACACCAAGTGCCGATTCTCAGAAGCCAAGCCATTACCACAACAACTGTGAATGGGGCAAGCGCTGATGCTGCCTCAAAACTTCCTGCAAACCAAGTGCGGGAGATCAGAGAAGCGTTCCAAGTCCTGGATCGGGATAATGATGGTCTGGTCAACAACGATGACGTCGCAGATGTTCTGTCTAGTATAGGTGAGTAACGGAGAAGATTTATTGTTCCGATGAACAGAGGCCCGCTGCACGTGTGGATCAAACAGCAATGAGTACTGATGGGCTTGCTGTATAAATAGGTCAAGACGCATCGCCGTCGACGCTTTCTCGCTTCTTCCCAGATCCGTCCGCGCAGAGCATCAATTTTCCCACCTTTCTGAACACGCTCTCCCAGCTGATGTCACCAATGTCATCATCTCAAGAATTAATCAACGCCTTAGCTGCATTCGACGACGACGATAATGGCCAGATTGACGTCGCAGAATTACGCGATGCCCTCTTACATACTCTCCCCGAGGATGGCGAGGCCTCTCTGACGAGACAACAAATCGACGACGTATTGACCGGGTTCACTGGTCGTCGAGCATTCGGTGGGCGAAATGCCAAGGCAGGAACTGTGAAACGGGGCGAGGTGTTCCATTATCATGATTTTGTTCGCAATGCTGTGGGTGGAGGCGAAAACGGCAACAGCGCGCGTGGAGAGACGAAAACTGTCGGTGCTTAAGCGCTGTGAGTATCGCACATTAGGAAATGGGCGTTGGCGTTGGCGTTCGGTCCGGTTCCTGTCTGAGTACTTCATGCAAGCTGGTTTGAGACTTTCCCAATTACGGTTGCATGTCGCGCAACATCTAATACCAAGCCAACTGGTACATAAAGAGTTGGGGATGGTCGATAGAGTAGAGGAACTAGCACTCGTAGAAGGCAGCATTCGAGGCGATCGACGTTTAAGAAAAATGCGGCGGCGGGGATGATGTAGTTGGAGACAGGGCTAGGCCAAGTCGGAACTGAATCTAAGCTCCGCTCCGCATTTAATCTACCGGCGGAAACCCATCAGCTTCCGACCACCAAAACAAACTCTCCGAGTTATATTTCTTCAACAAACCGCCTTGATTATCTTGCGTCCCATTCGACGTACGACGGCCGGTTTCTGGCTTCAATCAATGCTAGGCATTCTGCGTTAGTTGACCAGATGGCCACGCCTCAGCCTCACTGGGGCCTTGGTCGCTCGGAAACACCTTCGTCCCCGCGAACAATGCGTACGCTGCGCAAGATTCAATCCCACCAAGTGCTGTCGACGTCCAGCGCGCTCATCGCCCAGACACAATCCAGTCAGCTCCCGCCGAGCAACCTGTCAAACAATGAGTCATCCGTGCCTACGATAACGAAAGCTACGGGCCGCCGACCACGATCCAACAGTGATGCTGCTGCCCGCGACTCGCCATCTTTTGAGGCCTTGGTTCCTACGCAAAGGCGCTCTGCTAGAAAGACTGGGTCCGGGGTGGGAATCAAGCGGTCGTTCTTGGAGAATCTGGTTCGAGATGGGCCACAGAATGGTAATTCAGAGGAAGCGCTGAAAGAATTGAGGTATCTGGTTTTGTCAACCGGAGTAGAGGCGGATGGGGATGGCATGGTAATCACTCCCGACTCATATCTTGGGATCGCCGTTGTTCTTTCTTGATGAGATTGATGCTGACATGGTTTGAACCTTCCAAGTCCCCATATCGAGTTTACTTGTGGCTCATCTTGTTGAACGTTGCGCCGCTTCCGACCGACGACTACCTTGTCCTTGTTCACCGTGGTGGCTCACCTGCATATGCAAAGATTCGCAATGATACCTTTCGCACCCTTGCAACCGATCCACTCTTCAAGCGCCGGGTCACTGAGGCCAGTTTAATTCGACTTCTCAATGCGGTGGCCTGGAAACTCCACGATTCAAGAGCGAAGCCTCGATCTCGACCTTCATCCTCCCGACGCCTGGAAATGGAAATGCTTGTCGATACACCTCCCAGTATTCAGGAAGAGCCTGAGCTAGGGCTTTCCGGGTCCAGTGCAAAGCCCGTGGTCAACGACCCGGCCATCTACGTGCAGGGCATGAACGTCCTGTGTGCGCCTTTTCTGTACGCTGCACGCAGCGAGGTTGAGGCGTTTGCCCTGTTCCATTACTTTGTGACCAAAGAGTGCCCCGGATACATTCGGGGTGCAATGGACGGAGTGCACAAAGGCCTTCGGCTAGTTGATCGATGTCTAGAGATTGTGGAGCCAAAGCTCGCGGCCTACCTCTTTTCCAAGGGGATGTACGCTGAGCTGTACGCTTTCCCATCAGTACTCACGCTTTGTGCGTGTACACCGCCATTGCCGGAAGTCCTGCACTTGTGGGACTTTTTGTTCGCTTATGGGCCTCATCTCAACATTCTTTGCATTGTGGCTCAGCTGATTCGCATGCGTGATACCCTCCTCGAAAGTCCCAGGTCAGTGGAATCCATTCAATCTTTTGCGCCACCCCCTATGGCTTTGACTTGTTCTGACATCACCCTAGTCCCAATAAAATCCTCCGATCTTTACCACCTCTCGATGCCAAGGGCATCATTGCATTGACTGTGCTCCTGGTTCAAAAGGTGCCCGATGATGTCTACGCCGAGATGGTCACTCACGCCAAATGATAATGACGCTTTACGTAGTTCTGCTTTTTTTTTTTCGCCCTATGTTTTTCCTCCCACTTTTTGGGCCCCATCTCCATTTTCACAAGGGAATGACCCTTTGGACCTGTTTCTCGTACTAGGGGTTCAGCGTGCACACGGCGTTGGGGGCACATACACAGGGAAACCAAGTCTGAAAAGACAGCCGTTCCCCAACGTTCCTAAATATATGAGAAGAGTCCTGGACTGCGAGTCTCACAGATAGTACGACACCAGAATACAATTGAATGAACACACGGAATCGATGTGTCTTGTGGGCCCGATAGATCACAAGTCAAGCCCATAGGACCTCAACCGCGCCTCAGACAGGTTTCTGCAGTCCTTAATGTCGTTTCAAACACACGGGCACAACCGGTGCATCCTCTTGCAGCCTCTCATCAGTTATACCAGTGCGAGTAACTTGTACACCTACCTGTGGACACTGGACAGCCCGAGGATCCGGGCAGGGCTCTATCAGTCTGTCTAGATCTGGAGGGCAGGAGTACAAGTGTGGTTTAGTTGAGGTTCAACTTGAACAACTCCCTTCGATGGGAACTCGCGCGCATGAAGCTTCAGCTGACTTCGCTCTTCAGTCCGTATCCATTTATCTCATTAGTAGATACTCTCTTGATGGTCGCGACACTCGTGCTTTTCTTTTTTTTGGGGGTCGAAATCTCCGCTCTTAGGTAGTATGTATTATTGTCTCAATCAAGTGAGATGGTTTATATGAGAGAATCGTGCCTGTAAAAATTCAATGGAATCGCCTCCGGCAGATGACCGCTGCACGCCTTGAACATGTCAACTTCAATGCACGTACCCAATTTACTGACAAATCCCGTTCAAAAGTACTAGATGCCTCCACCTATCCTGTCCACGAGCTACCCAGGATCCCATAACCCTTTCTCCATCAAAAATATGAAAAAAAAAAAAAGATTAAAAGGAAACCAAAAATGCTCCTACTTTCCACCCATCCATGACTGGATACATAATCACATTCACGCGCCGAATGACTTGGAACAACTCATGCATCAGATTATTCCCATCGTGATAAAGTCCCGCTGCGGACTTCACATTCAACAAGTGCACTTTTTCCGCATCCCACTACCGTCAATGACCAGTGGTCTGGAAAAATCTATTTGGCTGGGCTCTCGTGCAGTTGTAGGATTGACTTTGTCGCAAGTCAAGTCGGGACTTTTCTCGTGCACGGAGGACTCGCTTTGGTCAATGTCCGCTGCATCTGGGTGGATTGCCCAATTTCCAGATTTTGGTGATTGATGTTGATGTTGGGATGGTCCCGGACAGGGTCGAGGGGTGGTTATTTGGACATGGACTTGAGAGTCCTTGAATGGGTGTTCATTCAGGACGTGCGCGGCGTTTTTGGCTTCATCTGCGGAATTGAATATGATGGATGCGGTGTAGGTGTGTGTACTCGTGGGCGAATCGTCGCGAGTTCGACTGGTGAGTAGTATTCGGCCGTGCTCGGCGCCGAGTCCTGCATCTTGCAGGAGATGAGTCACGTCTGCTTGGGTGGTTTTGGGATCGATATTCGTGATCTGAATCTCGGTCTCGCGGTTCGGACCCTGGGGCACGGGCGAGCTGGATGAGCTGGGAGGGGTGACCCATTGCTGATTTGGACCATGGGCACCGTGGGTATAGTGACCGTCTCTGTCTCTCCGGACATTGTCGTGGTGAGATTGTACTGGGGATAGTGGGTACATGGGAGGCAACATGTGCCAGGCTTGCAGGTCGAACATTGAGCAGGGGATCATGGGAGAGGTTGGAAGACATTGATGGAGGTCGGACATGATCGGCAGACATGAGCCATGAGCATGACACATTTGACCTGAGCCGCTCATGGGCATGAAATCGGGGTATGGCCATGTGTGGGCACCGGTGTGATCCGAGCTGGAAAGAATCAGTGATCAGAATGAGAATCAAACTTTGTGACATTCTTTATTTTTTTTCTTTCGCTTCTGCTTTTCAGCAATAGGGGACCACAATCGAATGATGAGCACACTCACCTTGGCGAAATCGGCGACGAGGGCACCATCATACTGGCCTGGGATAGTAGTGGTGGCGGCGTCGATTGTCCGGGCAGATATCCATTCATCATCGCGGAGGGACTCCTTGTAGGACCTGCAACGGGTTTCGTGGGGGCGCTAGTACGTGCCAGAGTCACGATCAAGCTACGGCCCTCCCATCCATTGGTCGACAGTCGATCTATGCGGCAAATGAGATGTAAGCATACCCAGTCAAGAGACACTCAATGTGTATTTCATTCGGGAAGAAGGACAATTTTGTCTCGTACTCACGGTAAGTCCGCCATGCCTCCTCTTCATTCTTGATGATAATTTGACCTAGCCCAGTCGGAACGCCATGATTGTCATCATAAACCACTGCCTGACGGATATGCAACGCTGTTTGGCGTACAAGATCTTTCAACTCTTGCCAGCGACAATGTGCGGGAACCTACCAGTCACAATGAGCAGGAATTCAGGTAACGCGCGCTCGAACAGAATGTCAGTAGGCTTACCCCTTGAAGAAAGAGTACGTATTCGTCATCTGACTTGCGAGTCCTCGAGGATTGACCCTTCTCACGACCAAACGACGGCATTGTGGCTGGGAATCGCCGTTCGAAGATCTCAATCGAAGAGATGCGTTTCTCTGTCTTATTTTGTCCGATGCGTGACAATTGCGCTGTCCACCAGTTTCGATGCCCGGAACTATCGAAATGCCTCTCTGTCCCGCAGAATATTTTGCCCAAAGCAATGAAAGTCTCGAGACTCGATCGCAATTCCAACCTAGACTGCGCGTAGAAATCAAGGACACCCGATTGAACCCGCAGATAGGAAGCTCGATGAGGTGATGTTCTTGTTCCACGAAACGTCGGATTTCCACTGCGTGTATGGGTGCGTGCTTTCAAGAATGCCATGTCAGCTTATAAGCTTGAAAATCAATTAGGTGCGTCAATCTTGACGTCAAGCTCCCCCCAAGGTCGTCCTTCCATCATCAACATGGGTGAAGAGCACTGACGGCGCAGACATCTCGTCGACGATCGCACCAGTCGGCTTTCGACTGAAAGCACAACAGGGTAATCAACTCACCCTTTCAATGGATAATCGACGAAAGTCGATGACAATTGCTTATGCCGTTGGAAATAGGTTGATAGGTATCGACCGCGGTGGTGGTGCACCTTGCAAAACTGACCAGCTGCTCTGAATTCAGACTTTCCCCTTCTTGGGCTCAATGTAATTGTGTGCCACGAGACAAAAATCGGCCGAGGATCTTTATAACAGAGGGAGGTGATTTGGAAGCAGGTTGAGCCACAATCGCATAAATAAGATCAGACCGCAGATCAGGGGAAGGAGATGCACTGAGGATTGAACACGTTCCACCAGAACAGCTTCAGAATTGATATGCGGTACGGGCAAGATCAATAGGTCATTGCCAGGTAGGTAGGTCGATGCTTCCATGTTGTCTGAGCCGAGCATCCCTCCTATGTACACATCCATCTCCCCAATCGCGGTAGCTGAAGACCAGCGTCGACCTGCAGGGTATACAGTAGTACCTGACGCAGCGTCTATCCCTCTTCTTCGCCCATAGGCCCACTGACAAATTTCCCATCCACCCGACCTTTCACAATACATAGCAGGAACTCCAGGCCTACGGAGCAAACTGGCGTTCGAATGACAGAATCAAGGGTCAGTGAAAATCAAGCGTTTCAGCCAGTGAGAATCGGGCGCTTGTGGTTCCTCTCAATGGATTCTCTGGGGACTTTTGCGATCTGTCATTTTCGTGATTCCTGCAACGAAGCCCGAGCTCAGGCGCGCTGGGGCCAATTGCCTCTAAACGCGGACAACGAAGGCCCTGAGCCGTACAACCCCACCGAAGACGCATGATTCAATAGTTTCACACATTGTCACGGGGGACAAGATACACGTCTTGACAGGCAGATGGGTGTATGCACGTATGTGTCTTCAGTTTTGCTTTTTCTGTTTCCTTGTCCTGACAAACTGCACTCTTCATTTCGGATTTGCTTTTTCTCCCCGTTTCGGGTGAACTGGAATGCTTCTCTTCAAGACGGCTGTCGAGCCGCGTTGCCCTATCTTTTCATTGAATTTGAACCATAGGGGGATCTCCGACTGGGATGTACCGTTAACAGAAGCATGACAGTGCTGCGTTAAGATCAACCATCTCCATTTCAAATTCTACTGGCTCCCCCTCAGGGTACGAAAGCCCTCCTCCCACTTGGAGGGGGAACAGCTCGGTACTGGGATTGAGCATGGAGCTTTTGTACAACCCTCGTACAACGCGATTCTTTGAGTCCTTCGAGGGCGCAGATTAGGTAGAGACGTACGGTAGTAAAGAGCATGTTTCACGTTACACCGCCAGATCTCTGTGTTCTTTCCACGACCGGGATAGACCCTCGAGACTCGAGCGACAGGGCCTCGGGACAGATCCAATGATTGATCCTGCGGAGGTGTCTGGTACAGCACCTGAGTACGGTTGTACTGCATGTTCTCCGCAGTGGAGTCCAGTCCTAAGCAGACCACCGGATCCACATGAGTGTATGTGTCTGTTGGTGTGTACTGTATAGTGTATACGTGTGTGCATGTGTCGTGCGAAGGCTATCCTGCAGTGGAATGCGGCGCGGCGCGGGCGTGGAAAGTGGAGCTTGCCTTGCTCTGGCCGAGATGCGGCGCGGCCCATGTGTATTCATCACATTGGCCTCTATTCTTTTTTGGGCAGACTTTTTTTTTCCTGGATCGACGGATTATCGACAGAGGGAGAGAAGGAGGGCGAAAGAGACGCCCCAGGATGCACAGATGCACAGATGCCTTCCTTGGGACCAGTCCAGCCGGTTGGTCGATGTGTACCTCCACTGTGGGTAGGTGGGCACTGGGTAGTGGGTAGTGGGTACATCGTGATGGGCTAGATCCGATCCGATCGAGCTATGGCCCCAGTCTCTGGATGAAGACAGATAAGTGTGCACGAAGTGAGACTCAGGATGGGAGAATGGAAAGGGGAACGAAGCGGACTAGAAACAACTTTTGCCAGCTATCGTGGATTCGCGTCCGACCAAGCCTCAGATCCGAGGGATCTTCGGGCACGTCCTTTCCGGCCCGATCGATCAATGCACTGGGGCCGTGGTTGTGCGATAAAGTCGCCGTCAGAAGAAAATGAGGCATCAGATAATGACAGGGATCTGGTGAAAAGTCGACGAATCATAGATAGAGCTTACGCCCGGCGATCGCTCACTTTATCCCGAACGCGGGCCTCGCTCGGAGTACCTGCAGCCGGCTACAGCACTCTGGCCAGATGTGATGTGGCTGGCTGTGGTGTAAGAGGTACGGTAGCATGCCGGACTCTGGGATCATTGGGATAGGCGACCGCGTCCGCTGGATCTCGTGGATCCGCACACACATGCAGATCTCGCTCCTGTGTACGAGGCAGTTTTTGTTCGGATGAATTATCGAGCATCACCAGACGAAACGAACAGAGAGCTTTGACTCTGGGGCCTCTTGGCAAAATAATGCCAACTCCGGGCGCCAAAATAACATGCCAGTGCCACGACCAAATCGAATGGCGTCGATGATCTGCTGAGGGCACCAGGCTCGCCACGACACCATCGGATTCCATTCTTTGTGGGGTTGTGGCCCTGACCAAGGATGAGTGCGGTCTTTGGGGGTGTCATCTAGACTTGACATCCACATTGTATGGTCTATGGATGTGGCTAGAATGCACCGGAGTGATGGCTCGAATCAATGGACCAGAGGCCATCGACGATTCAGCAGGATTTCCTGCATGTCTATGATCTGTAGGACCTGTCCACGTCCGGAAGTGGCCACCCCGTGCACGGGACAGCTTCATGCTGTGGCTAGTGCGGGGTGGACTGAGTCGATGACGGGTCGGAAGCTTGGACCAGAAGGAATGCCGTGCAGCCAAGCAATAAGAAACTCAGATTCCCAATTATTGATTCCCGCGAACTTTGCCGCCATGAACGAGATGGGAAACCGGAATTGAGGGATCGGTAGAACGATGGTGGAAAACTCTCTTGGCACCTGCCGTCAGCTGCTGCTGCGGACCCGGCGGACGGTTACAGGATTCCTGAGAGAAGGAGACCGGGAGAGACACACGGACGGTCGAAAAAATGAGCCGGCAGGTGATGGAGCTCTGGTTGCTGGGTGGATCCGGTGATCTACCACACTCTGATACTTGCTTGTTGCCGAGCTGCGAGCGAGAAAAATACTAAAATTGCATTGTAAAAAAGAGGAAAATTCAAATGAACTGGGGAAGGGTGAACTGAAGATTGATAGAAAAAGAGAAATCCAGATTTTGACGGGAAAGAAGTCATCGAGGTGGTGGGCTCAAGTGGGTTTAAAGGCTGAAGGCACAGCTTCCGAGTAGGTTTCCAGAATTGAAGAAGTGTCTTCTGGGAGAGGATGGACCTCCATCCGTCATTTCAAAGACATCGGGTCTGGCCCGCTCGTGGCACTGAAACATGATACGGTCAAATTTGGTAGATGTCAAGCAAAGGCATCTTTCAAGTGAGACGGGCAGAAAATGGATTACAGTAGTTGTATGTGCTCTCGTATATGGTACACTCGCTTACATGCCGGACAGATGAGAATCAAGTAACTCCGAGGTCGATGATTGAACGCATGACGAAGAATAACAGCAACGGAATTGACCGGATAACAATACCCGATAGGTAGGCAGCAGATAAGGGAGGATGATCAGGATATACAGTCAAAACGGAAGATGACGCTTGAAAACGGCAGTTGCACGCTAGTTGTAACATTCATGAAACGGAAAACAATTACAGATAAGCATCATGACCGGACTATCGTATACGGTCCGGTCCCTTCAGTTGATAACAGTCAACTCGTCGAGTTGCCTCAGTCGAGCGATAGCCGGGACCAGGGTCTGCGGTGGCTGAATGTCGAGTGCCCGAGTCAATTCTCCCGCGAAACAAGGGGAGTCCCCCGAGCAGCAGCCCTGTGGCCAAGCAGACATTGTCCGGATCGGAGGCTGTTCTCTCGCTGGCGACAGATGAAAGAAAGAGAAAACGCTTGCAACGTAACTCCGCCGGCTCGAGCAGCCCGACTCATCCGCATTCGGAAGTGGGTAAAGGCGCAATGATGTGTCTTGTTCTTTGTCAGGTTGCAGGGATCGGGGATCGCCCAGAAGAGGTCGGGGAATAAGAGAGGCGAGACCCAGTCATGATCCGTCCACGAAGGCCACGTGAGCGTGGATCGCTGATTCGCACGTGAGGGTCAATCGGAAAGAGAATGATCGATGAGAGACGGGAAGGGGGAAGGAGGCGATGGTCAAATCACACAGTAATTGTGAGTGAGTGGTAGATCAAACAGATATCGTGTGTCTTGTCTGTGTCGAACAAAAGAAGCATGACGGAAAGAAACGAGACCTATGACCGGGGCATAGGCACCCAAGCTCCTAAATTATACAGAAGAAGGTCCATCGAGCTGCAGGCGTGTATCGTGGTGGTATAGTCTTCCGTGTCTTCCTGTTCCGTCTCGCGGTCGGTCGGTCGTCTCAACGGAGGAAGCCCACTTTGGAGGCACATCGGTGGCAGTAGTAGGAGTTCATGCCGAACTGAACGACCCCCGAGGCGGTCGAGTGGCTCGCTAGACTGAGCGATTGCTGGCAGCGAGAGCACCGGACAATGTCCAGGGTGAGATCGGGCACCGACGACGGTTCGATCGGACGAGGGCCGGAGGGCGGTGCGGAGATCTGGATGGCGGAAGAGCTCATGATGTGGACAGGGCCGAGCAAGTCACGCCGGAGGGACGAGAACCGGATATACGAGGGAGTTCAATAGCCGGACTGAACCGTCTTTGCGACGAGCGGAGAGAGATAGATCCACGGCGAGTGTCGATGGTGTGAAGAGGTAGAGTGGTCACGAGAATGAGAAAGACGACTCCAATATCTTTGAAGCGTGAGTTTGTGAAAGAAAAAGGAAAAAAAAAATAGGTCCGAGTGTTGGGATTATCAAAGTGCTAGTATCATTACAGGAGGTAGGGTAGTGGTCGATGAGACAGTACTAGGCAACCATGTGAGTGAGGAAAAGAGCCCGACCAGGTCAGGAGGAATGGGGGCGCAGGAAGACGTATATAGACTGCGAACCGGGGAGGAAGAATGAAAGACCAACATGGGCCAGATGCATCGGAAAAAGAGAATTTCAACAATGATAGTCACCCAAACCCGACTAATCATGGAAAAGAACAATAATGGAAGACGAGAAAGGTCGGGGTGGAGTACTGGAGTACTAGAGTCTGGAGTGTCTGGAACGTCTCACCACTCCCCCAAATGGACAAAACGTGTGTTATCATGCTTGACTCAAGCCGGATATCAGTTGAAAGCGCGGCACCAGTCCAGCGCGAGTCGTCCGGCTCGTGACAGCCACCGCAGGCCCGGAGGGGGGCAGCATTCATGATTACTCATTGCAATAGATTAAACACCTCTCCACCCAGGCCACATCCACCCGCCCAGACACTCTCTCGAAAGAGATTGCCACTTCAGCAGGTTGCAGTCCGGCACCGCATCCTTCGGTTTCGACATGCGACCAGTCACCAAGGAGGATCCGGGCCCCAGTAGTCTAATCGTGTCATTCGATCGGACACCCAAGCGACCGGTGTCACAGCCCTGAGATAGGCACCTCGTTGTCCACCATGACCGTCCGAACAACATCCCCCCCCCCCCCTTTTCGACAGATCTGGCTCGCCCAGCCAGATATGCAAGTCTGTCAGACCACAGATCACCGATCATCGTGGACAAAGGCCTAGTCGGGCCTCCATGACGCCAGTGCCGAGACCCTTTTCCCTCGAAAGTGGGAGAGTGGAAGACCCTATTGTATGAGTTTTACAATAGTAACAGTACTACTACCTTACTCTACTACTAAGTTAGTAGCACAGTACGTACTACGGAGTACCTACTATACCTAGTCTACCCCTCACCTGCCTTCGCTTGCCCCAATTCTACATTCTCCAAATATCGGGCTATCCAGGACCTTTCCCAGGGACCAGAACAGAATGAATGTTGCAAGATCAGGTTGGAGCCATGGTAGGAAAACCGGCTTTGGCGAGTGTGAAATCTCTGTTCGAGCTTCGCATGTCCCCGGGCAGTCCATGAAAGTGGACAGCAACCCGAGGACCCCGGTGGTTCACACCCATCTGCTCCGTTAGTCTTCTGGAGTCGTGTGCAACCCGCCATTCGAGTAAAATCAACCCTTGCACCCGGGATCGCGACTGGCTTGTTCATCCTCGCCAAATCAATAATGGACCTGACTAGTTCGACGGTCGGCAGTCTAGAGCGTGGAGATTTGGAGGGAAGGGTGTAACCATGGGCGTCAAGATACACGTCCCACCTGAATCGTACCCGGCAGGACAGCTGCCCGCGGGCAACCCACACTGCTTACCACTGCGTCGGGTGCCCTACCCATGATCTCCGTGCTTCATTTGCAAGCTAACGGGGCTGGCGACCGTAAACAATGATGTATAACGAGATTAAGCATTGCCTTGTGCGAAATTCAAAACCAAAGAATCCTCAAACTTGTCTGACTCCTTCCGCGTGAGAGCGTCTCTACTGATTTGAATCATCACAGAGTCCAGGTCCAGGTCCAAGTTACAGGCCGGTGGTCTTCACTCCACGACCGACATCCGAGGCTCGGCAGGTACTGTACTGTCATCTCCGGTCTCGAGGAGTCGATCGAGTCGATCCGTCTATCGCCGAGTAAATGAGCAATGGCGGTTTGGCTCTCACGGGCTGGTCGTCGAATGTGTACAGAACGATGTAGCCTTGCAAAACAAGCTGCAGTGTCCACAGTCCACAACTCCACACTGCCACAGATGACCGTCAGCCCAGGAACATGCGAGTTCCAGGTGGTGTCTGTCCCACTCCCCGCTGTCGGGCTTCTCTGCCGTGGGAAGAAGGGGGCTAACATTTCTCATCCGCGTCGAACTTCATGTTCAGATGCCAAATCAATAGCTCCTTTGAACCGAAACACCCCCCGGTCGATCACTATCCATGCATGGTGCGGTCAATCTGCAGGGTGTCGTCATGCGGCATGATGCAACCACTACCCGCAAAGAGTCGATCAGCGGTGGCTTGTCATCATGGAAGTTTCAAAGAGGAAAAGGAAGGAAGAAAAAAACAGAAACAATCAGAGTCCCGGGCCCACCCCGTCGAGCGACTGCACTAAAGATTGTTCGGAAATAATTCACATTTGAGACGGCTTAATTCCGTCCGACACAGGCCGACGCTCGTCAGGTGCATCTCTCCTTGCAAGAGCCAAAACAGGTCATGGCCGGTCCCAGAGTCCTAGTCAGAGGACGATCGGATCGATCCATGAGCTGACTCAAGAAGTTCGATTACCGGAAAAGCGACCAGTTAGTTACTACCAGCCTACTAGAGTAGTAGAGTACAGGACGACTCGGACCAACCCCAAATGGTCTTTCAAACCCTGTCTGTGCCTCTGTGGTGCTGTTGAACCCGTGTTAAAGTGTGGCAAGAACGTGGTTTGCCGATCTGGCCCGCTTTGGTGGATGTGAACCATCCTCGGATGCTGCCCTTATCAGCCATCCTGTTTCGGCGCTGTCAGACCGGGGGACAAGGGCATCTCAAGAAAATCACGTCTGCTCGATACCGCAAGACTAGTGGAGGCCGGGTCTGGAGACTGCATATCGGGGACTGAGTCCCAGATCATGACCCATGTAGGATGACTATGAAGAACTTGCTTTCCACCGAGGAATGAGGAGCGTCCTGGCCATCGCATTTCATCAACGTGTGAACACAATGACTACAGATGCGACCGAGATGGCACCGACGGCGTGGGCGTCGACGTCATCTCCCTGCTCGTCCGCTCCCACCGCCGACCTCAGCAGCAAATGGGTGATGAGCAAGAACGATTCACCTGGCAGTCCCAGACTATCGCAATTTCAAAGGTCCAGTCAGACATCATCCCCTGATTGGCAACCCTGAATCAGCTAGAAAGAGAGGGAAACAAAAAAGTACCCCGCCGACCTCTCGCTTGCCTTCTCAAAAAGCCTGCTTTTCCTGGTGACAGCTGGCCGAGGCGGTTTCACTTCCACCTGTCTGCAGCACACAAGCCTCTCGTCGGCTCTCCAACAACCCCAAATTTCCGAAACGGTCAAGCTTCACCGCGCGCAAGCTTTTTACCCGGCGGCCACTTTCCTCGCCCAAACTTCCGGACGATCTTTGCCACTTCGTCATCCCTTTTCACCCCTCCACACTCGACTCCCCCCCCCCCCCCCCACACACCAAAAATCACCCTCCGACCACCGCAAACATGGCCACCACCCAACCCAATCTCTACAGCTTCTCCAGCACAGACGCTCTGGCCAAGGAATTGCGGCCATACGTCCTCCGCTGCCAGAACGCCGCACTTGCTCGTCACGACACTTTTCGCATCGCGGTCTCGGGCGGTTCACTCCCGGCCGTTCTCGCCAAGGCCCTTCTGGCCGACAGCAATGGCTCTGCCGAAGATACACCGCAGTTCAGCAAATGGCAGATTTTCTTCGCCGACGAGCGTGCCGTGCCGCTGGATGATAAGGACAGCAACTACCTGCTTCTGAAGGAGGAGCTGCTGAAGAAGATCCCGGCCGAACTCGGCGAGCCCACCGTCTACCCTATCGACGAGAAGCACGTTCACGATGGAAACACCCAAGAACTCGCCGACGTCTATCAGGAGGCCCTGATGCGCTCGTTCGCCGCCAAGGACAGCGTCAAGTTACCCATCTTTGATCTCATCCTGCTGGGCTGCGGTCCCGATGGTCACACCTGCAGTCTCTTCCCCGGCCACGACCTCCTCCGGGAGAAGGATGCCTGGGTCGCCGCCGAGACCAACTCCCCCAAGCCGCCCCCCAAGCGTATTACTCTCACCCTGCCCGTGGTGACTTCTGCGTCGCACATTGCCTTCGTTGCCACTGGCGCGGGTAAGAAGGACATTCTCAAGTCGATCTTTGATAGCGAGGAGGGCCGCACTCTTCCCTCTTCGTTGGTGAATCACGGTGCTGGTGACAAGGTCAGCTGGTTCACTGACCACCCGGCCGTCGAGGGTGTTGCTTTCCCTCGTCGTGGGAACCTGTAAAGCACTAACATGCCCGTTGTGACATGATACCTCACCGTGACCAGATCTCGTGTGATGATGCAATTGAAGAAGCTGACTTCCTCACGGTCTGACGCCTTCAGGGGAGCAAAAGAAAGTGCGTGTCACTTCTCATGATTAAGCATCTAATTCTTTTGCTGCGATCTAGCCCCCGTATTTACAGAAAGAGAGAGGGATTCAACCATTCGGAAAAGGAAGAGCTCTCGAGTGCTCGAAGACCAGCCGAGGCGGCTATGGCATGAAAAGCAACAGGTCCAGTCAATAATAGAGTATCGGGAATAAATATAGAGCGAGGATCTGTTTACTTTCCGGTCAATCAATTGAGATCAGCTGGATTTTAAATCTCTCGCAAGCCGCCCGACTTTGTACTATGCTCGCCTTATTTCATCAGCTTAAGTTATGTAACATTGCCCATTTCCTAGTCGATCTTCTCGTCCTGTCAAACCGAAACGGTGTCTACAGGTTGACAGGTCCATTCGATGACTTGAAACATTGAATCAAAATACAAATCAAACCCGTCAATGGCGCCTGCCCCTGTTAGAGTTAGGCCGGCTATCGCTCCGGCCCAGCTTTCCCCACTCCAAAATTGAGTTGCGCCGCCGATCGTCGTGTCCCGGCGGATTTGCTCAGGCAGGGTCCCAGTGGAGGAGCTTGGGGGGTCGTCAAGTCCTCTTGTTCTGTTTTTCGTTTATAACGGGGCTCTCACCACCCTTTCACCCCCGTGACTGCCCACACCCAAAAGCCAGAAGCGCTAGCTGGCGTCGCGGTGCACGACTAGCGGAAACATGCCCATCCCCACACGCTCCGTCTCACTACGGGAGCCCCGGAAACCGGTCAGTCGTGCTAGCAAAGCGTGGAGTCGTTGCGCTTTCCCCGACGGGGCAACCTTTCGCATTCTACCTGGCATTCTTCGCTAATACGATCGTGCTTCTTTGCGGAACACACTGCAGGGCTCGAGTATCGCACGACATACATCTGGCAAGACTGCGAGTTCGACGCAAACGCAATCCCCTATTCGGGGGCCGACTTCATCGACAAACGACGGGACTGCTTTGTCGCGAACGAGCTCGTCGGCTGAGGGCAGCGTCTCTGGTGATAATACGCTGTCGTCTCGTGGGCGAACATTTCTCCCCCAGCGCAGTGGGTTGAGCCGCGAAGATGGGGGTGGCACCATGCAGGCGCAGGTCCGGTTTCAGGCACCGGGTACGAGGCTGGCGCGTCGAGAAGGAACCTCGCCGGTGAGATCGTCGCCGCCCCAGCAGCAGCAGCAGCAGCAGCAGCAGCAGCAAACTGCCGTTAAAGGTGATGAAAGGCGACAGGCCCCGTCAACCGCTACTTCAGGTTGTGGTTCGCCAGCCCGTCGACAGAGTATCCGACAACCAAGCACGTTGAAGACCGACTCGACGAAGGGAAATGTTCCATCCTTGTCGAAGGGTACAGTGCCCACATTTAGACCACCATCCCCGCGCAAGGCGCCGGCCCTCCGATCGACTACTCAGAATAGCTCAACGGCCGGACGGCGGGCTGTTTCACCCAAGCGCACAGAGATACTGCCTCCTCCACGACCGGCGCGGTCCGCATCCCTCAAACAGCCACGTGAGGCTGGTGCATTGGGTCCCTCGGCCTCGGTTCGAGGTCATGTGCGCCATCGCAGTCAAATAGTGACGCCGACTACGAAATCAACGCTGTCTGCTGCGTCACCAGCAACTGCCACCCCTCGGGCACCGCTATCCACCGCGCGATCACAAACACAAACGCCTGCCAAAAGGTCTAGCAAGCCCCCTACTCCGACGCCGGGATCTACATCGAGTCCCGATGGGATTCTCATCCCCACAACCTGGCCAGACATTGCCTCCTTACAGACAGAACTGCTTCAGCTCAGTCTGTTTCACTCAGGCTCATTGCAACAGCAAGCCGAATGGAAATCGGCCGCAGAAACCCGCTTACGTCAACAGTTTGATGTAGTCACACACCAATATCGGTCCATCCAGGTGGATGAGCAACGTCGCCAGTATCAGACCAATATGCAGTCCCTGGTGCAGTGGCTCCAGAACTGCAGTGGCCACCAGGGTCTCGATGGCTTCTCCGAACAGATCCAAATTTTTTCACAGGTGCTCCAGGAAGTGTGGGACCTTGGTGCATCGGCGCACGTGAGTGGACAGTACACACGAGTTGTCGCTGCGTTTGAGAAGTGGCTTGATCGTGCGAGTGAGATTTGGAATCACCGTGACACCACTGGTGCAATCGATGGAAATGCATTCATCGATCGCCTCGACCAGAGCTGGAAGGATGCCGTGCGCGCCTTGCAGGTCGATCTCGAACTCTGTGCGCGTAGACTGCAGAGTCTGTGTATTCTGCCTTCTGCTTCTTCTCAATCTTCTGGGGGAGATGAGACATCCGCGCAATCTGCCCTTGCTCGGGTGGCGGAGGGTCTGGCGGAATCCATCCGTCTCATGATGCAGGAGATACGCATGATGAGATCGTTGGAAGAGGAGATCGTCCTGTCAGAAAAGGACTATGTGCGCGACAAGGTGAACGAGTTGACCAGGTCACAAGTGGAGACGGAGATGAGGGCGCCCCGGCTGGCTGCCTGGAGCTCAGGAGGATAGTCTACCTACCGTACTTGGTAACCGGCTGGAGAGAGATAGTCTGAGCTGGGAGTTGCATCGATCCTCTATCACATGTACTGTACTGGTCCGCTCGAGTACTGAAATTAGAGTATACTTCATCATCGTGTTTCAGTCCGTCGCCAATCTTTGTCTTCTCTAGTTGGGCAGTCTTACACACCCCTACCTGTAAGCAGTACGAGTCCCAATCTGAGCTTCATGATCCATGAAAAGAGACCAGATGCGTGGACTTCCCTCTCGCAGCCAAACAATCTCGATTCTCGTCACTTTGCCCACATTGGAATCGACTACCGTTACCAAATACAGTGCGAGAACGGGCCAAGGCGCACCATCTCGCTGGGGGTGTTTCGGGGTCCAAGGAGAACTGCTGGCGCGATCAGAGCCTCAATTCGTATGCGCGACCGCCGCCTGCTGGTTTCGAGGAATCAGGGTTGTGTGTCGAATGGGGGTGCTCTGTCTACTGTCTAGTATCGGACGCGCAATGCTCATATGCCGTCGCTCGACCCTGAGAAGCCATTTACAGCTGCCAATGTCTCGCGTGTGTCAACGCTCTGTTTATTCGATGTGTGAAAGTGAATCACTTTCCGTAGACAACAATACCAAAGAGACACTCTCTGATGGGACATTTCACATGGATCTACTGCTACCAAGGACCAGAAGGGAAGGAGACTGGACGTGACGATGCCAGTATCGAGTGATCATCTCCAATAGTTAGGATTCTGCGCAAGCCTGCCTGATTGATTCACTGCTTGCAAACAACGGTTCAACTCCATGATCGAATCCGTGATTGCTGTACCCGGCAATTGATGCGTTGTAGCTTGGGTCGAAGGATGCACTGAAGTAGGTTTGCCCACGTCCTGGAAGGATCCCTCGATCCGTCCAGAGTCCAGAGCGTACAACGGCCCGCTAAACTGCAAATGGATGAGCAGCCCACGCGATGGGGCTCCATGGCGCCACTCAAGGTTGCCTCCTGTCGGATGGTACATTTTGATTGGTTGTGCGATGGCTCAGGTGGGTCGTGTAGACGATCCACTCGGTCGTCGAAGGATGTCCGATACAGCGGATACAGGGCTCTCTGATTGGTTCATCGGAATGGAACTCGAGTTTAGGTGCGCCCCGTCGAACAGTCTGGGCCCTCGTCCATCCGCGGGTGTTCGTCGGGACTTTGGGGGGAACGACAACTGAACCTTCTTCCGGGTACTCAAGTAGAAGATCAGCATGACTGCGTCAGGGTTCAACTGTCGTGGAACGAGGTACTCTCTTGGATAGGTAAGGTAAGGTCGGTACACAAGTAGCAGTGCCGATTGAGGGGTAACTACTATGGCTGGATAAGGCGTTTACAATTGACAGGTCCGTCTCCGTGACCGGTGGAAGGACTGGACATGGACAGCAGAGGAGTACAGTACACAGGTTGACACCCTACAGTAGTATTAAGTTACCGACTTCCACAACTGTCGGTACTTCCCTTGCTGTAGGAACTGGTTGAGATGGCGCGAGAGCAGGATTTAGTCCTTTTAGCAGAGAGGAGTTTAAGTTAGTAGGTACATACTACATACTACCGCAGTACCTAGTACTACTGTAATCTGTTTGACTCTGGAGATCGACCCTTATCCCTGTCCCTGTCACTGTCACTGTCAATCTTCCGGATGCTGGATTGCTGCTGCAGGCCCATGTTCACTTTCCGCTTCTGGAAAATGGACTCTCTCCTTTCTTGATTTATGATCTTTGTGGTGGTGTCTCCTGATTGAGGTTGAGTGCTGAACTTCTCGTAGTTGCTTCCATCGATGTCCACGGCTGACGGGACTGTCCATAACAGGTACTACTCTCCAGTAGTAGACTACTACTACTACTACTACTACTACTACTACTACGAGTTAGTTGGCCTTACTAGTCGACTTACCGGTACCTTGTCTATAGTCCAGGAGTGGTACAGTACCATAAGTACCTAGTACTACTAGTTCGTAGTAGGAGTCTGAACTCTACACTCTCCAATATACTTGATCGTCTCCCGAGTCCAGACTTATTGCCCGGTTTTGGGTGTGGTCGTGGTGTCGCCTCGGGCTACTCGCTGGCCCGTGGTGTACAGGGTCCGTCGGCCATGCGCCTGTCTATCATGATGGCTTTGTACCGGTAGTCATCCTGTCGTTTTGCCCCCTCGTCTTCGGGTCATGACCGTGGGGGCCCTGGAGGCCGGAGGCTGCCCACTTTGATGACTGTACCAGTACCAGAACCCCCGAGCCCGTCATCCCGTCCCGACAGGTCTTCTTCTTTCGTCGGGTCGGATGCCTGTCTCATCTTCACCTCTTCCCACTCTTCGTCAGTAGTCATCCCCTCTTTGACTGACAAATCCTCTCATCTTCCGTTCTCAAAGGCTTAGTCCTGCGTCCAGGCCAGACGAGATCACTCGATACTCTGTGCTTTCCCACAGTCAACAGTGCGTCCGACAGGCACAGGCCAGTAGATCTGCCGCGCCCTCTTCGACGCTGGGCCCGTGACCACCTGACCGGCCAGGCTGCAACTGACAGGCCTGACGTCATCCGCCCACCTGCCCACTCCCGCGCAGAGACTAAGTCCCAAAAGAGAAAGCCTCCAGACAAGCCCAAGGGGAAGGGGGGGGGGAAAGAAAGAAAGAAAGAAGGAACTCCAACAGGGACAGCCCACAGAAGAAGAGAGAGCGCAAGCTCGTGCAGCTGTGAAGAATAGGCACAGCCCAGTCTCAAGTTCCACCCGTCACCTGCCAAACCAGACGCTATACGCTTGGTTTCTCCAGCGCTTGGTCCACCGCCCATTGCCTCTCCCAGTACACGACGACACAGATAGTACGACCACTGCCACCACCAGCCAGACTACAGTACGAACCACCCTTCCGTCCACCTCCTCCCAAGGCGTCCGTGGATCCATCATGGTTGGTGATCCCCCTTAGTTCAACCGCCTCAAGTCTCTTTGCCTTGAGAATCCAAAAAAAAAAAGAAAATACTTTTTTTATCTTTGGGGTCGTGATCTCTTTCCCCTCCCCACTCGGTAAGACTTTGAAGAGATGGGTGATTCACTCTACTCTCGTCTCTGGCGTCGAGAATGTGGAAGTCGGCCGCCGCGGACCTCCCTCCGCGAAATCTACGGGGCGAGGGAATGGGTGGAGGATCTGGACATTGTGAATGAGCTGGGCGGTCATACGGGATGTGTAAATGCACTCAGGTATGTTAAGTTGGCAGCGATCTTCCCCTCCCCCGCCCTTTGTCGACGCTCTGTCTCCATCCTGATCGTGCTGTCTGTTCCATGTCGCGCGATTGCGATACCATGATCAGCTTCATCCCGCATGCCTGAAGATTGCAGTCGCAAGAAAAAGCCCCATTTGACCTTGGAAGACACACACCGGGACCGTGGTGAGCTAACATCTCCGCAGCTGGTCGACTTCGGGGCGTCTGTTGGCGTCCGGCTCCGATGATCAACACTTGAATATCTACTCATATCAGCCCGACTCGTCCGATGCGCAGTTTGCCCTGCACACAACCGTCGCCACCGGCCACAAGGCCAACATCTTTTCCGTCAAGTTCATGCCGCACTCCAACGACCGGACCTTGGTCACTTGTGCGGGTGACTCTCAAGTGCGCGTCTTCGACATTGAATACTCCAGCGCAAATGGGGGCAGCGCTGCGACCTCGGCACTGGCCGCCTCCGCGCGCAGTCGCAAATTCAACAACTTCTTCGAGGGTACGCGATATCTGCATGCGGGAAATACCAACGCCAGAGTCTATCGCAGCCACGCCGATCGGGTCAAGCGCATCGTCACCGAGTCCTCGCCGCACCTGTTCCTGACATGCTCGGAGGACGGGGAGGTGCGTCAGTGGGACCTTCGTCAACCCTCGGAGGCATATCCTCCTCCAGCCGGGGGCCAGGGCTTCATGGCCTACCGCCCGGGCTTGGTTCATGATGACTCCAATGTCCCACCGCCGCTTATCTCATACAAAAAATTCCGAGTAGACTTGAACACGATCTCGTGCTCTCCAAGTCAGCCACATTACCTCGCGCTTGGTGGCGCTCACATGCATTGCTTCCTGCACGATCGGCGCATGCTGGGGCGGGATCTGCTAGCCGAGAGAGGGAGCCCGGGAGGCTCCACTTCCAGCGCCGGCCCGTTGGGGGAGGAAATGATGGGGAAAGCCACGCGCTGTGTCCGACGATTTGCGCCTCGGGGAAAGCGTCGTCTGAAGCATCTCGACGACGGCCATATCACCGCCTGCAAGATCAGCGACGCGAATCCGGATGAAATGGTGGTGAGCTGGTCCGGTGATCATATCTACAGCTTCGACCTGATCCGCAGCCCCGATGCTCGTGATCAATCTCCGGATCCCCCTAAGGCCTCCCAAAAATCCAATCGTCGCAAGACCGATGTACAGGGTCGTAAGCGTAAACGTCCGAAGCCATCATCCATGTCCTCGCAGGAGGGTGGAGAGCGTCACCGGTCTCATCAACGTCTGGGTGAATCGGATCTCTTTCAGGTGACGTATGGAAATGGCGAGTCCGAGGACATTGTGTTTTCGGCAGCACCCGACGGTGACGAAATGGCCATGGTTCAACGAGCCCGATACTCGATGCTGAATGAGCCTCAACGATTCAGCATGCAGATTGCTAGAAATCTTGTGAAGCTTCGCCAGATCTTGTTCTCGTTGGAGCCCCCAGCCCGGGAGGCTAGTGAGACCGAGGATCAGACGAGTCAGACTGAGGTCCAGCCTCGTGCGGGACAATTCGCCACGGCCCGTTCGCAAGCCTCGGATTTACTCTCGCAAATGGATCGTGTGATGAGCGAATGGCGCTATCCGATGAATCCCTCTGAGGAGACGGTGACTTTCCAACAAACCCTTCGCTATAATCGGCAGGCATCCTGGCGATTCGTTCAGGCTGCCGGTACTTTAGCCTCCATCCTGTCCGGCGAGAGTTGGGACCTTGGAGCCCCTACCAATGCGGCCAAGTTCTCACAGATCACCCCAGCTCCCAACGAAGACGAGTCCATTGATCCTGAAGCTCAATTTGCATACGACTTTCTCAAGGCAATCTTGCTCTGGATTCAAGGTGGCCGTCCGGCCTTGCTTCGGGGATTTCAAATGGACCATCAACCTAGGCGAGTGGAGGGACGGTTCCCCCTTCCAGTCACGGCCACCGATAGTGCGATTGACACGATTTTGCTGCCTTATCTGCAAGGTCTTGCTCGGGACACGCCGGTAGTCAATGTGGACGCCTCACGCTTCGAGCACGACTCGTCTCGCATTCTGTTCCAGACCCAGGTCGCAGCCGTGACCGCGTTTGGAAATGCAGTGCGCCTACCGTTGGAAGAACTGGGCGCTTCAGCAGCTCGATTTGACCGTCGTCGGGTATCGAATCCATCATCTCAAGTCCGGTCCCTAGATCGGGCCTCGGCCACTAGATTCTGGGTCTTTCGTGTGGGACGTGGCATTCTGATGCAAGCAGGAAAAGACGTTACTCATTCTTTTGTGAATCGTGCATTCGGGGGCATTCATACGACCTTGGACGATGACAATTCTAGCGAGGTAGAGGTCGAGAGATCTCAGGACGACATCAATACTGAGGAGGATGACCTCCGGACAAGGGCTCTTGCAGCACACGGAGCATCTCGCTCTGGGTTGATTCCCCCCTCAGATGGTAGTTCCGGGTCTTCGCCCCTTGTTGGGTCCGGATTCAGGGCTGGGTCGGACGCAGAGTGCGCCCTCGACGACTGCTTGAGTGAGAGGGTCGATGACAGCGACGATGAAGAAGCAGAAGAAGAAGAAGCGGAGAGTGAGGAGGACGAGGAGGAAGACGAAGAGGAGGAATTGGACGCTTGGTATATGGGTTCGGACAATTTCTCTAATGCTGACGAAGAGTTGGATGATGAAGAGGGCGATGATCCTCTTGCTCGTGGTTTACGGACCAAGCCTTCCCACGGTGAAGTCGAGGCTCACACTCCTGTTTCGAGCCATAATCAAGTTTACCGGGGACATTGCAATATCAAGACCGTGAAGGATGTCAACTTCTTTGGTCTCAACGATGAATACGTCGTCAGTGGCAGTGACTCGGGTCATGTTTTCATGTGGGACCGCAAAACAGCCCAGCTTGTGAACATCCTGGAAGGAGATAGTGAAGTGGTTAACGTGGTGCAAGGTTGGTCATTGGTGTACATCCGCTGACTGTCAGCGTACGTTCATAACTAACTGGCTTGCATAGGTCATCCGTATGAGCCGGCTATTGCCGTTTCGGGTATTGACCAGACGATCAAAATTTTCTCTCCGGATCGTCACGCTCAAGATCTCGCTCGCAGGGGTATCAACATTCTTGATCCGCACAACCCAGCAAATGTCGCTGGTTCGATTGCACGCAATCTGGGCGGGCTGGAGAGTCGCAAGCGAATTCAGAACAGTTATCGCATTATGAGCCAAAATGACGTTGACCGTCGGGGGGGCATGAGTGAAGCTTTTATTACGGTAAGCGCAATAGCCTTGAGCCTGTCTTCCTATCCAAGTCGCATTGGACAGGCTGACGTTGTTTATAACAGAGGAGTATGCTAGCGCGTCTGGCCGCCACTCTTCAAGGCGGACAGGCTGGTTCCGGTGGTATGACGGCGAGCGGTGATCCTGGTGAGCCGATACCTGTCATGCTTGGCGACAATTGCACTGTGAGTTTTATGAAATCGAGTCTTGAAGGGGAATACCTGCCAGTTTCAGGAAAAACTAACCCTCTTTCAGGTGATGTGAAGGAAACCTTGTTCCAACGACTTACGCTGGAGAGAGCACTTGCGCCCTGAAGCAATTGAACCGCTTGTGACCTTTTTTTTCCAAATTTACTTCTTACTGTTTTATAAGTCTATTTTATATCCACCCACGCTGTGTTTACGATGCATTGGAAGGAATCAGCGGGCGTCTTATTATTGCGGTTCTTCTCTCCCTTCGCTGTCGTTTTGGTAGCTTCTTTCTTTTATCTTCTTCTTTTTTTCTTCTTCTTTTTCTTCTTTTTTCTTTTTCTTCTTCTTTTTCTTTTCCTTTTCTTGTTTCAACTACCTTTTCGACCAAGGGCGTTCCGGTCCTCTCAATTTGACGATGGGCAGTACTTCAGAATGGACACGAATCCATTGTGCTGGAAATTTGGAGATGCACTCAAACTCAAACGACAGACAGAGCAGATCTTGAAATGTCATCAGATGGACTCCATCATATGGATTTCATAACCTGCTTATCACGTTCTAATAATTTAGCGAGGACGCATATTCTCGACTACGTAGGATAGTTCAGGCTGGGTGTTCGCTCTTGACATTAGTGTTGTGTGGACGATATCACCATTCTACCACTCGAGTCTCTTGCAGTACTACACACCATCAATGCATGTAGAGAGGTAGCAATGCTCTTCACCAAGCGAACCTTGACCACTTTATCACCAGGTGTACCTGATATCCATTAGGGCCAAGGGCGCAACTGGATACGATCCATCACTCTAACATGAACTTAAAGCTTCCGGCCCACTTAAGTGGAAGCCCCTGCCAGATGGAAGATCCACCCCGCAGCGAGCCTTAAAATCAAAGATTTTCTGAAGTCTCGGTGCCCCTCCGACCATAAATTCGATCGTAACGCGACGCTTACCTCACAGTGGCCCCATGACTCCCGCTTACTAGAGGCTGCTCGCCATCTCTTTGCCTCGCACTCACCAGCATGACCTCACCCACACCCACAAGCCTCCTCGAGGCCCGCGCCTCCAAAACGACCGAAATCTACGCGGACCCGCATAATCCACACCTGTATCTGGACCGCGCTCGCGTCTACGAGCAATTAGGGTTTCCGGATCTTGCGGCGGCGGATGCGTATCGTGCACTTTCGCTGCTGGAATCGGTGGTGGATCCGGACGGGTGCGAGTTTCATGCGAGAAAGGTTGCGCGGCGTGTGGAGGGGGATGAAGTTGGGAGGAAGCATGACTGGGACGGGAATCAGGATGGAACTGATACCACGGATGAGGATGGAGAAGATGAAGACGAGGATGAAGAAGATGGGGTTCCTATTACGCAGGGCGAGTACGAGGCTGTTATAGGAGAGGTCTATGCGGTTCTGGTTCGCAGTCTCGTCCGATGTGGCTGCTATCGCGATGCTTTTGAATTCGGTGTGCGCGGAAAGGAACTTCTCGAGGAGATGGACGCAGCTAAGCGTGATACATGCGCCTTGAACATCCTGAACGGTCAGCTCGATTCCCTCAAGGGTCTCTACCAATCACGCACCGGCACCAAAGGCGCAATCGACCTGGACGCAATTGACCCTGCCATTCTACCCGCGCAAGGCTTCGCACGACGCATTCTCTACCCGTGGAACGAGCACGAGCCTGATCGCAAGGCTCCCGAGGAACTTGCCTTTTTGAATGAGCGACTGAAAGAGGTCGCCCCTAAGTGTGAAGTTCGTGCCGTGGCTTTGCCGGCGCTTCACGGTGATGTTCCGGATGAGGACGAAGTCTCCGTCCAACTGGGTCTTTTCGCCAAGGAGAACATCGCCGCGGACGAGATCATCCTGCGAGAAACCTCGATTCTTACCGCGACAAACCGATTGCACGACGACCTGTGCGATGCGTGCAATGCACCCCTGCCTGATCTATCCTCGGAGAATCCCCCCGTCGGCTGTGAGGGTGGCTGTGCCGATACAGTCTTCTGCAGTCAGAAATGCCACGATACCGCGCAGACAGTCTACCACGGAGCAATTTGCGGCCTAGAAGACGGTCTCGAATCCATCGGGAAAGATATTCCCGACCCCAAAGATAAAGCGGATTATCTCTATCTTCTCCTGCTGGGCCGCGCCCTCGCCATGTCCGCCACACAAGACATTCACGCCCTCGATCTCCCCGAAGTGAAATACATCTGGGGCGATTTCCACGACTGGGAATGGAAACCCAGTCTTCACCACATGAAGAACGACGACGACCGCAACAGCAACAACAAAGTAGTAGACGAGTCCGCCACCCTCCCATTCTCCTTCCAACTCAACATCCTTCAACCCACGCGCTTCCTCGAAGAGATGGAAATCAACCCCTATACATCCCTAGCTCGATACGACACCTGGATCCTCAACACCCTCTACGCCAAATTCCGCGGCACCGCCTCCGGCCGCCTCTCCACCTGGGACGGCGGGCCCGAACTCTGCGCCGTCCACCCGCTCTGGTGTCTCGCGAATCACTCGTGCGATCCCAACGTCAGATGGGAATGGGGCGGCGAGATCACGTTCCGCGCGCGTAATGACGAAGAGACCGCTGTGTGGGCGCGGACCTTGGATAACGGGCAGATTGAGAGTCGGGCCCCCAAGAAGGGAGGGATCGCAAAGGACGAGGAGATTTTGAATCATTATTGTGATATCGGGTTGGATGTTCAGGAGAGAAGAGGGTGGGCGCGCGGTGCATTGGGAGGGAATTGTCGGTGTGAGAGATGTATTTGGGAGGCGTTGGAGGATTGAATGGGATATTGAGCATTGGGCTGTGGGAATGCATATACATGAGGTTGGGAAACCTAAAGGGGGGGGCGCGTTGGAGAAATTCCAGGAGGGAAGATCTTCCATTTTGGACATGGACATAGACATAGACAATCTGGATTTTTTGTTCTCTGCAATACAGTCTACTACACTATCTTGAGTCGGCTTGACTTGGGAAATACAATACTTATCTTCTACATTCCTTTTTTTGAGCAGAATGTGACCTAAGAGCTAGCACTACCAAGTCGAATATGATCATTTAGAAAATGCACAGCCTTGCACCATAGGTATCTTAATCGTACAACAAGGATATGGGAACAATGAGCCAAGAAAGGAAAAAATAGCGTATCCCGGATAATTCGAAAATTGCTCGTCGAAACACTCCTTTTCATTATTTGCAAGCGGGAGTCGTCTCGTAGCTCCGCAGTGCAAACTTGCACAGTTTTCAAAAGGCTCCATGCAGAGATATAGTGAAGGTGCCGGAGGCTTCTTGTTTTTTTTTTTTTTTCATCGACGCCGCGGCGGAGTCCGCGAGTAAGAACGACCACGTGACTCATCCCGAGCTCTAGCGGGCAGCGGAGATGGTGATCGAGAGTAAGAGACGTCACGGCCACGACGTGGTGGAGGTGATGCAGAGACAGATAATCGCCGTCCGTTTTTCACAGGCAAATCGCGCCGCGGAGGTGTGATAGATCGAGAAGCTGACCTGGAATAGCTCCGACCGCGTCGACTAGATACAGCTGGGCCTCGGCGCGGAGGCGAGACCGAGCGTGAGGCTGATCGACGCACCGGACTCCGACTCCCGCTCTTGGAGTACGAGCGAGCGCGGCTGCGTCGGGGAGGGGTTCGCGAAAGTCTTCGCGACGGCGAACGCGACCGACTGTAGGATGCGTCTCGCCGGCTGCGACGCACAGGAGAGCGCGACCGAGAGCGCGAACGTGACGGCGTGTAGCTTCGTCCACGGGACGACGGGGTGATAGAACGGGAATAGGAGCGAGCGCGCTCACGGCCACGCGAGGGGGAGCGGGTGTAGGAGCGAGACCGCGAGCGGGAAGAGGAATAGGATCGGGATCGAGAGCGGGAGTAGGATCGAGAACGAGATGACCGAGTGTAGGATGAGGATCTCGAATATGATCGGTCGGAGGGTGACCGAGAACCACGGGCAGGCAGTGCGGGCACGGTAGGTCGCGGAATGTTTTTGAGATGCTCGCGCATGTCTTCCGTCAAAACACCCATACCAATACTGGTGAAGTAGTTGATAGAGAATCGAGTGTGGCGGGGATTGTCTGTGGGGAACAAACCCTCGAAGCTGGGCTTCAAGATCTCATCTCTGAAGCGAGCTTGGAGGCCAGTCAGACCCATGTGTTCTGCAAGATCCTGGAACAGAATCTTGATGAAGATACGGCTGCTGGAAGTCGTCTCCTCTTCATTCATGTGGATGACGGACAAAACGTGCCAGCCAAGCGCGTCGTTGCTGAGCATGTGTCCAAAGAATCGTGCAATGTTTCGCAGGCGATTTGTCTCGTATCGGTGAATGGTGTCGTAATATTTGGCAAAGGCAGCCTCGAACAAGTCTGACCAAAGACGATTGATTTTGGCAAACCGCTCTCCAATCAAACCGTAGAACTTGGAGTATGTGCGCTCCTGGGAACAACATTCGATGATCATCGAAGGCAACTCGGGCTCCATGCCAGCAGGGAGATTGATCTTCATCAACTTGTGGCAACATTCCTCGAAATCGATACTTGACATGATTGTCAGGTAAATGGTCCTTCGAAGGTTGACCAGATCCGTGTTGGTTTGATCCTTGATGTCCATCTTTTGCTCCTCGGCATCCGACTCTTCATCGTCGCTCTCATCTTCATCATCCTCGTCGTCTTCATCACTGTCCTCGCCTAGAATCTCGGCCTTCAACCTCCTGTACTTTTCTTCATTTTGTTCCCATTGAGCATCGAACTTGAAGACATTGAGTGTGTCAAGCGTTTCAACCTCATCATCCAAGCCAATCTGATGGGTGATCTGATCTTCTTCTTCCACCAGATCAAGCTCTTCCTTGACGGCCGGGTTATCTTTGTAGCGATCCTTGCGTACTTGGAACAACACCTCAATCATGTACTGCACACGCTTGTCGATGTCGGCTTCATGGAGAATGTTGCGGAATTGGTCGAACACGGCATTCGCGATCTGCGGGTTCATTTCTTCCAAATGCTGACCAACTTCCCGCGTCAAACCCACCGCAATCTCCACGCTGTCATCTGTGGGCTTGTGAAGCAGCAGGAGCAAGATTTGCGCCACAAGCATCTCGTTGGCGACTTGGAAGTTGACGAGGTGCGCAATAAACGTCGTGGATGAAATGCAAACCGCCTTGTCATTGCGCTTGAAGGCTTTGCGGAACTGAACAATCAACCGCGACACCAGCAATTCTCCAACCTGTGGTAATTTTGTGTTCACGATGGCAGTCATTGCCGCGTAGATGGGCGTGAAAGGCAAGCTAGCAGCTTGTGCCTTCATGATCGACCGGCAGAACAGACCGCGGCCTCGCACCAGGTTCTCACCGAAGAGTTCTGGGACGATGTATTTGATGTTGGAGACATTGACCTTGTTGATCAGTCCATTGATAGATTTCTTCAGCGCTTCCCACGCCATCCGTTGATACTCCTTACTCGTTTTATCGGTAATTTGTGCCTGAAGAGCACGAAGACGGGCCGGAGGGATATATGTACCACCGGATCGCATGTTCAACAATTTGTCGTACTCGGCCTTGGCCGCCGCCTGTTTCTCTTCCTCGGTCATAGGCTTGCGAGCGGCCTCCAGCTTCTCATGCTCCCGAACCCGCTCTGCGAGCTGACGCTCACGCTCGAGCGCGCGTTGCTCGTCCATATGGGGGACTTCTGCATCATCGTCTTCGTCACGGTATGAGTTGGCGGGTGGAGAACGACGACGATTGGGAGAGGGCGACCGTGACGGAGGCGAGCGTTTGCGAGCGCCAGCGGTTGGCGAGAAGGTCCCCGGAGGAGGAGTCGGGACACGTACCGCAGACTGTAGAATAACCGAGTCTGACATGGCGAGGTCTCAGAGGCACCAAAGATACCAAGTGAGAAGGGATCGGTTGAAGGAGTGCGAACTGCGAACACCGAGGACGCGGTGGTGAGGTTCCGTGAGCTTGAGCAGTGCCGCGACTGAAGGTTCTGGGAGTCACGTGCCTTGTTATCTACCGTCCATGCCAGGTCCAATTTGGGCGCATCCGTCGGACAGCTCCTCACTTCTGGACCAACTTAAATATGAGAAAGCCGAGGAGTTTTACGAAGAACACAGCCAGTGCTTTGCGTTACCCAAAGCTGGCCAAGAATCGAAACTTTTGGAACATGAGCCAGACCCTCATCCAAATCGTGAGCCAACCCGTGAGCGTGGGCGTGGGCTTTGACGGGCATAATCCAAGGGAGTACTGTACGTACGCTGGGATCTTGGTACCAAGCTGCAGCGGCCCGACGGGTGTTGCACTAGGTAGGAGATGATATCCATGTAATTGCTTCTCTTTGCTGCAGGCCCAGCAATTTTGTGGTAAAGGAGAGGTTTGTGTTGCTGATTCCAATGGGTTCCTCGCTGGTGGCTTTTTCTTGTAATGGCTTGGTTGAAGCAGTATTTGAGCAGTTGCAGCCATTAGCAAACATTCATGGCTTATGCCTTTCATAAATTATCTCATCTCGAGAACTCTTCTTCTCGCCATCCTCAATAATCTCATCAACGAGCTTCGCAGTAACCAACGTTTCTCCATCCTTAAACGTATCTGCGTCAGCTGTAACGCAACGCCAAGGACTGAACCTTTCCCATTCTCTCTTGTTGATCTCAATTCGCGGGACATACTTCTTGTCAAGCTCCGTGAGCGCATCCAGCCTCGGATCAACAGTAAGACCTGAGGTGAAAGTCACAGCACGCACATCCGTCATGTTTACGATTACAATTTTAACTCCAGAGGAATGACTTGGATGAAACGTGGAACTCGTAACCCTCGACTGCTTTCAACCTTGGATTCAAGATGATCATCTCGTCACGTACATGGGCGACGTAGTAATACCTTACACTCGTGAGTTCCAAGATTCAATCTACTTCTATATTGACAATTTCGGTGGCATACCTATCGGCTCAGGCTGAGATGATCCGGCGTCAGGGGTGATAAGTTATGCTGGAACAAACACTTCGTTTCCACCGGAGGTATGATTCTCGCCTGTTCAGCGCGCGGACGGCTCACAGTCCTCATCAGGCGGCCCAGTTCAGTCAACACTCGAACGTCATTAGCAAGGTTCTGTCAGGCCATGTGCGATAAGCTGTCTCAATCGCATATCTTGGAAAGCTCCCTCATTATTTGTGATCGATGCTCCGCTTGGAATCTGTTACACCCGTGAAAAGTGGAGATAACCTGGAAAGCGTGATCTGTTGATTATCGAAGGAATCTACAGCCGATCTGAGTCTTATGGCTACATGCCCCTCCCCCCGTACTAGGCAGCTTGCGCCTATGCTAGCTTTCATCCTCGTACGGTCGACTCACTATTACGATGCCGAGCACTCACACCCCGCACCTCTGTCTAAAATAATGCAGCAATACCCTCATGGTCCATGGATCTGCATCTATACCGACTTGAGGAAGGTGAAAAGGGAAGGCGGTGTGGTGGTCCGTCCAGCGTTTACCTGTCAGGGACCAAGATCCACGGGATGAGCTCCTGAACAGCAGAACCCCGTCGCTATTCCTTTCCCCTGCAATTTGAAGGCTCTCACCTGCCTCCTTTCTTCTTTGCGAGTAATCGCGACCGCTCTTTAACATAATGGTCAGTACTCATCCATTGAATTGCCTGCCGGCTTCGTCGAAGCTAATCCATGATTTTCGTCTAGCTGGGCCAACTCGTCGGTTCCGCCATGCTCTTGGCCGCAACCGCGATCTTTCTGTATTACACGGCGTGGACATTGTTGATGGTAAAACTTCCCTGTCCGCACCATCACCTGATGATGATCTTCCTCAGCTCACCCTTCATTTTTCCCTCTTTAGCCTTTCGTGGATCCCGGCCACCCTCTCCATGACCTCTTCCCGCCCCGTGTTTGGGCCATTCGCATCCCCGTTATCCTGACTCTCCTGGGCTCCGCTGTGGTGGGCACCTTCATAAGCATCGTGATGATCAACAGCAACAAAAAGAAGGCAGCCAAGGCCAAGGCTGCGGCGAAGAAGAAGACTTGATCAGGACAAGACGCAAGGAAGCAACCAGCCTGTTTGCAGGTGGAATCACTTGTTTTGAGCTTTGCGATCGCATAGCGCGGGTGGGAGCAGAAGGAAACCAATGTACCAACAATTTCTCTTTCCTGATGCGACATTTCGAAAAGGACCCTGGGCAGGCCACACGCCTGAATGAAAACTGAACCCCCGACCTTTACAGATGCTGTCACGAAATACACATAAGTCGGGGCCGCGGCATGATGCTCGGTTACCACCTGCACGTACTGTAGGCGGCCAAATTAATTGACGGATCTGCGATCAGATCTGGGTGATCTGGCATCTTCAAGGACAAAATACCTAAGTGGTCGTTTTCTGGAATAGAATTTAGGGATACAGCAACTCAGTAGCAGGTCGGATGATGATGTGCTGCACCGCAGCTTCCTACTAGGCTACCACTGCAGCCCCGACGGTCGCAGATGACTGCATCACTTTCCTTGTTGCTGACAGCCGCATGGACTGACCCCATGCGCCATTGATAGGATCAATGCGTGGTTGTCACGTTGCCTCGTGTGTACCCCGTGACCTGCCCGGACTCGGACTGTCTCCACCCGATCTCCGGCGATCCAAACATGGCCTTTCCTTTGGACCTCACCTCACATCAACGTCCCGGAGATCCGTCCGATGCTCTGGACTGGACGGGCTGAAGTTGACCATCATCCTCATTTCTGATGCATCTTCCATGGTCCGCAGGTGGCCATTGTCATTGCAAGAAGCAGACAATGCCCATTTTTAGTGCGAGGGTACAGTCCTACCGGTAGAGTTCCCACCACGTTTGGGTCGCTCATACCTGCTCTGAGTGTGCACTTTGACGACAGTGGACCATCATTGATTAGGTAGGGAGCAAGGGCAGCAATCACTGATCAGTACATGTATTAGCATCGTCTTTGGTGGTTGACGATTCCTTCTGTACAAATCCAGTTCACAGCCACCTGCAGGTTTGGCTGATCTTCGGATAGGGCGGGGTCATTTAGCCACCGGAGATAGTTAAAGGCCCTGCCCTGATATGTCGGCAACGTCCTGCAGCCGATCAAGCAGGGAAAGCGAGTGCTTTGGCGGAGAGTCCAGAAGCATTCTAGCTGATCATAGTTGATGACTCGATAGTAGCGGTTCTCGAGCCGTGCACAAGACGGGAAGACTGATTCAGGGCAGAGGCTCCGATGATGCAATCTACGTACTGGGAAAAGCTCGTGCATCATGCTCATCAGCTCGTTGTCGGCTGTGCGCCAGTGGTCCTGTCCTCATTACATGGAAGCCACTCCTTTCGGCGTGTCGCAAAGGGGGCGGGTATAATCGGTGGGAATGACGAGGCCAGCCCGTCAGTCCGGCCTGACGATCTGGCGGGTCCAGCGATAGTCAGCTTAGACATGAGATACGCCATGAGGGGAAGAAGATGAATCAGATGGGCCACCACAGTCTCATCGAAAGGGACGGTCATCGCTTGCTCCAGGTTCAGCCGACTCTTCGACCAAGGTTACCGTTCTGTTCTACCGCTGTTTCCGTGTCACTAGCTCATCTCATTCGAGCCCGTATTACCCTCTGAGGCCATCATCGTGCGTAGTAGGTTCCTAAGCCACAACTGGAAGGCACGTACTACTGGTAGGAGGTCACCTTGAAACCACCGGACTGCGACTCGAGGCTATTGTACTACGAAGTCCATAGATAGCCTTCACAAGGGGGGTTGCACTTTGCAGGGAGAGGACATGTACCCCACTTGACTGTAGCTGCCTCTCGCTGGTTTCGGCTTCTGACTCAGGTACCGCATTCCCGTTCCCCTCTTCTTATCGCGTCTGCTTCTTCTCTCCACCTTCTTCCTCTCTCTCACTATTTGCCCCTCGACCTGCATCACTCGCGACCCAAACTCGTGAGGCTCGCGTTTCCATCAAACTCGACTCACTGTCTCCGAAGACACTCACTTGTCGGACATCCTGGTCCCCCTGCAGCCGGTACCGTGCGACGCTCCATCAGCCTTATCAGATCTTCCCCGCGTATCGAGCGCGTCTCCGCTCTAGATACGCCTGTATCGGACCGAAGCCTCCTCGCCGGATAAGCAAGCCATCACAGCCGTGTTACTGAAGTGTTTCGGGTGAAAGGTAGGGAAGAATGACCTGGTCTTTAATGGACCTCGGTTTATTCCAAATCCACATGTAAGGACTGAGCTGACGGACGTGGGCGTTGGCGGCAGGCCGGACCACTTGTCGAGTGCTGCAGCTCGTCATCCCCCCCCCCCTTTCGACTCTATAACCAGTCTGAAGTTCTCCGTTCTCTAGATCTTCTAGAGGATCTCGAGAGCGGCGATTCTGAGATCAAACTACACCTTCTAGCTAGGCCTCTCATCCCGAGGCGATCGGCTTGAATGCCACCAGTGGCCCCTGACGAGCTAAATCATCAGCACGGCAGGTCTATAGAAGACGATCCATCCCTGACTCATCTCGCATCTGTCCCAGCTCACTCGACTCAAGAATATGAGCCCACTGGAAAGTCGAAGAAGAAGAAGAGCAGTAAAAAGAAGAAGGCAGCGACTGAGGCGCCCCCGGAAGATTTGTATGTTCTGATTACCTTCTCCAACAGATGGCCGGTCAGAGGGCTAATCGGGAAACAGAATCATCGAGCCTCCGGTGTCTGAGGAGCTACTTCCACCCATCGAACCTGAGCATGAGGTATATTTAGAGCCAGAACCCGAGCCCGAGAACGAGCCTGAGCCTGTGCCCGTGGCCACACCGGCACGCGGGCCTGTGGCTGCACCTGTCGACATACAAGGTCGTCATGGCGGAGTTATCGAGACTTCGCCATCGCCAGGGGCTCTCGGATCATTTGGCAAGTCGGTAGCCCATGATCTCACCCTTCGGACCGATAGGTGGGCACAGGCAGTGCCTTACGGAAAGAGCCCACCAGTGGATCTTATGGATGGAGATCCGTCAACAGGATCCCCGCTCACTTTCCCAACAATCCACGAACGCGGTTTCATCCACCCTTCTTCGCCGTCCCCTCCCACTCAACCGCGACCCTTCAGTTACGGCAGTGGATATCGAAGTAGCATGCACTCACGCCAGCAGTCGGTCGATCGCAGAAAGAGTCATTCCTATGGAAGTCCCATGAGCAACCCTGCCCCTCCTCATTTACCCCAAGCGCACTTCTATGGGGCCCCGGACATTGATATCCCTACTCGAGCTCGTACAAGCGACGGGGCTTATTCGTTCTGCAGCTTCGACACCCTTCCCAGTACGTCAAACAAGTCGCCGCGAACGGGCACTAATGTCCTCGTCGTAGGGATAGACGGCGCCGTCGAAATTCATGCCATCGAAGATCGACGGTTTCGATTGGTGGGCCAAGTCAGCGGGTTGAACGGCCGGGTTCTTGATGCGAAGATCCTGCGCGAGGTTCAGTCAAGCGATACGGATGCCGCGTCCCAGCCTCATATTGCTGTGATTTTGCATGGGCCACTACCGCAGAGAGAGGATGACGACGCCATCTCTGCCGCTGCTTTAGACCCGAACGAACCGCCGGCGACTACTGTCAGGGCTTCACTGGCTGAAAGGCGAGCTGGGAAAGTCGATGTCATATTTTATCAAACTCGGGTGGAAGTCTACTCTTTGCGTTCTGGTGAACATGTAGCAACGCTGTTCACTAGCCAGCCCGTGCCATCACCAGAGAACGTCCCGGGAGTCCCTTCGCTGGCCCCGAGTCCCCAGGGAAGCTTGAAGATCTTGCATAGTGGTAACCATATCGCCGTGGCGTCTGGCATTAGTGGGGAGGTATTTATCTTCAGGCATACATTTTACGGGGGCTACCAGTGTCTTGGGAAAACCTGGACCAATATTCAAGCTGGCGAGACAAGACGATACTCCACTTCCTCCAGCTCCACAGATGCTGATGGCTCTCACCACGAATCTTCGCGAGCGTTGATGACCGAGCGGCCGCTGGTGACCATTCAGGGAAGGTGGCTTGCAGTTGTCCCTCCCTCTTCTGCACGGAGCACTCTGCACGGAAGCATCCCATCTGATATTTTACATCCCTGGGCTCAAGGAGTCGACAGTCGCAATCCGCCAACCGTGCCTTCCGTGAACTGCGCGACTGATGCAGGCGACGGAGAGACCTTACTCGACAAGGTCGCGAGGGGTGTGACACAAGAGCTCGTCAAAGGTGCCCGCTGGATGGGTGACCAAGGGCTCCAGGTTTGGAACAACTATTGGAGCACGGGTCAGCTTTCTGCTCCCACCACGCCGCCGATGCGTCCCGTGCGAGGCTCAGAGTCTCCTGTGCACCCTCAAGGGCTGTTTCCTCCAACTCACGCGCAAGAAACGCAGGCTACATCATCTCCCGAGCCTGATACCGTCGCGATCATTGACCTAGGCCGGTTCGATGATGGGGTCGACGCTAAATCTGCGTCCCTCAACCCTGCGGCAGTCTTTCAGGTTCCTAACGGATGCAGCTTCTTGTCACTATCGCCCAGTGGACTCATGCTCTTCACTGCCAGTAAGAAAGGAGATGTTCAATACATCTGGGACTTGATGCAACTGAGGCACTGTCGCGCTATGGCTTTCATGACCGATGGTCTCGGTAGCCAAACCGCCAATGTCCGACAGGTGGCCCGATACGCAAGATTGACCGCGTCAAGCATCGTGGATGTCATATGGACGGCTCCAGTCGGTGACAGGCTGGCCGTTGTCACGCGGAAGGGTACTGTGCATGTCTTCGACTTGCCTCAAAGCGCATTCCAGTGGCCTCCCTTCCGACGTGCTCGTCCGTCATCCAAGAAATCCCCGTCGGTCGATCTCGCTGGTGACGACACAACAGGGCCAGCAGGCGCTGGGAATCCACTCTCTGCGGCCATGACTTTTGTGGGCGGTAAGACCCAACCGTTCCTCTCAGCAGTCCGTGGTCGAGTGCAATCCCCAGGGACCGGGTTTCCCACCATGAGCGGTTTTGCTCTTCCCACCGCGGCAAGCATCAAGGGCGGGAAGGTTGTCGCTGCAGGTCTCAGTAAATCCATGGGCGCGGCTGCCAGTGGTACTGTCCAGACCCTTCGACACGTCGGTGAGAACCGACTGCACCTCTCTGGACTGGGTCGCGATCCTGCTCCCTCGCGCGTCGCGTGGATGTTGGCCAAGGGGCACATTTTCATGGGCGTGTTAGATGATGGGCAATTCAAATTGTACCGGCTGAAGCGAAGCACATCCACCAGTAAAAATCGCCAGTCTTATTCGGTTGTTGGCAGCAAAGAAGTGCAGTTTAGATTGCCCACCAACATGCAAAGCATCTGCGGACCCGCGCCTCTAGTACCCTTCGATCCGGAAAAGACTGTTCAGGCATCCCTGGCGCTTCCTTCCATGACACCTCAGTCTGTTGGCCATCCAGGCAAGGCAACATCTCAGCCACTTTCGCAGGCCGAAATTGAGACCAATACACCTTATCAGCCCTTCCACACGGATCAACGTGTAAGCCTTCATGTGTTCTCGTCGGAGAGCGGTGCAAATGTTCCCAGTAGCCAGTGGGTCTTTGGTGATGACATTCCAACCACGAAGCTGCACCTTCGCTCATACAATCCCCCCGGTGACGACCGAGAACATGACATGTATCACGATGCGGCCATCCACGGGGATTCGTTTGGAGCCGGTGGAGAAATGGAGAATCTCATCACGCTGGGAAGCAGCACCGGCAATGTCGAGGAAGTGGTGATTACCACCAGACGGAAGAAGAAGAAGGCTACCACCGCCGCTAGAGCCGATGATGGATTCTTCGAAGATGACTGCGAAGTCCTGGACTTTGCGCGAGACCGAGTTTGAGTCTTGAGGCTGCGGCGTACGACACATGCATCGATTCATGCGAAGCTGCGCACAGTCTCAGTGTTGTTCCTGGCCTGAACCACACTTTTGATGGCTCCTCACTCTTTGCAATATTCCTGCAAGTTAACTTGTCTTCTCATTCCTCCTTTTCTTCCTCCCCTCCGCTCCCCTCCCTTTTGTTTTTCCACTAGTGTTTTTGTCTTTGCTTTTCTAGATTCCATGCTCGTCCGGCGTTGGAGCTTCACCATTGATTCATTTTTATTTCCATGCGTCGGGAACCTTGAAGCCCTTGATGGGTTTCCATCATCTACGAAATCGCATGACAGGCCAAGATATGCGTGTTGATGGCTACTGTTCTGATTCATTGGCTTTGTTTTGTCCTCTTCCGCCCTTTTTGTCTGCATTGGCGGATGCACGCTCTTGCTCCCTACACACTGAAATACCCCCAAATCTGTACCTACTGTAACTTCTCTTCTCTTTGGATTTTCACCTCCTCTTCCTCCTCTTGGGAGGGATTTGCCTCGCGGGCAAACATGCTCTAGACTGAAGGATGCAATCATTTCCTTCCTTTCCATTTGGCGTCACACGGTTCTCTCGTTCACTCAGACTAGCCGTGGCGGCCCTCAGTCTGTCTCTCTTCTTCCGGTTTTCGTGTCTACCCTCGTCAGAATGCTGAGCCAATTGTCCCTTTCTTGTTTGTCTCCGGACATTGGGCCTTTTTGCAGTCCCTGGCGGTTCACCTCGAATGCTGAAAGTCCACACCAGAATACCAGTAAAGGGGCTACAACACCCCAACTCAATCAACATAGAAACTTTTGTCTTTGTGTCAGCTTTCCTATCAATCATGCCTTTGGCGGTCTATCGGTAGCCATGTCACCACTATAAGTTGGAAGGCGACCTTGTTGACCCGATCTATCATATCCATCAAGCCGCCGCAACACTCATCTCCTCCTCCCACCAGCCCCGAAAGACCTTCAATCTCTCGGTACGAGTCCTCGCCATCGCGCGCCCTGTCTCCGTCTTCATCATTCCGTCCAACCTCTCCAACTTATCCACGAAATGCTCAATACAATTCCCCATCTCCCACCCATTCTCCCCCGCAAACTTCTTCCCCTGCGCCCCCCAAAAACGTAAACGTCCGTCCGATCCCAATGGCCCCAATCGCGTCCAGCCGATCCGCATCCTGCACCACCGCCAACTCCGGATACCCTTCCTCCTCAATCAGTCGTCTCACCACCGCCGGATCCTTGCACTCCGTCGTATACGAAACATGCGAAACCACCATCTGTACTTTGGCCGCCAGCTCCGCGGGCGCACCATGCTTGAGCAGAGCTACTTGCACCATTGTCTTGGGATCGATGTTCTCGTGCGAGTGTGGGTCCGCCAATTGAGGCAGATATTTTCGATCACCGATGTCGTGCAGGAGAGCGGCAAGCTTGATGACGGCTGCGTCGAGGGGACGTGGGGAGTGGCGCTTTTGTTCGGCTTCGAGGATGGTGTTGGCGAGGGTGGCGACGCGGTGGACGTGAGCTGGGTTGTGGGAGGGGTCGTGGCCGGCCATGCAGGTGTTGACGAAGGTGAGCATGGAGTGGTAGAGGGTTTGGAACTGGGTGCTGGATACGTCCATTTTGGATGATTTTGACTTTTTTTTCCTTTCAACTTCTTGACTGGAAGAGGCGTGATCCAGTTGCGTGGTGGTGTTGTGTGCGTTTCTTGAATATTGACTCTTTGATCAAGAAGAGGATGAGGGGACTGGAATCGGTGAGATACCGTAGGTAGATGGAACGCGTCGGAGAGTGATCGCGCTCGCGTCAGAGTCCAGATGAGGCTTAATTGCTGTTGATAAGGTTCTGGAGCCTTGGATCCATCGAGCGATAAGAACCTCACCACCTCCCTAAACTGGGTAGCCGGTCCACATTGGAAGCTGTTCCAGTTGGTAAGGTGGTAGTCACGTACTACCTTATACTGTTCCAGCAGGACGATATCGTTTAGTTGGACTAGCTAAGTACCTACTACATGATCACTTTGATCTCAAATAGTACTAGGGAGGCAGATGAATATACGCGGTATACTCCAGCTGTTCCATCAAGGAAAGGAGGTTTGTCAAGTGCAACATTGAGTCCACTTGATGGATATATCATATGGGTGGTCTCCCGTGTGGGGTAGGTCGGCAGTCGGTACCTTACTTATCCGACACCTGGGAAAAAATAGATACATTCACAATAAGAATGGGACACCTTAGCTTAACCACTGTATCTTGTAATATCCCACCTTACCGACCATGTGCGAAATATTTCCCGGGGCAAGACTTCGATCCTTGAAATGTGCCTGACTGCTGTTGATGTTATTCATCCCCGGGCACTGAGTAGTTATATGTAAGGTTTATAAGATGGGTACGCTTTCAGAACTCCCTTGGTAGTGGTGGATCTAAGCGGAGGTGGGCGAGTCAGTAGTACCGATATTCCAAGGGGTCTGTCTGTTCAGACTCGTTGGAGAGTATACGCTCTCAAGCCTGATATGATCGAAGTATATCATACCTGGATTTCCCATCAAAGTGCAGTGGAGTAAATCAATTAAGCTACTAGGTCTTTGAAGTGCCGGGCCTAGAAATGGCTTTGGACTGCATAGCTTACTATCATTGTTGAGAGTATTCATTGTATGGCCCGACCATGAGGATTTAAATTGTTCGAGGTCGACCCGATCTCTTGTCGCGAAGAAGTATTTCTTATCGAAATGGAACCGCAAAGTCATCACCAAAGCGAGAATTTGGCAATCAATGTTTCGCATTTTCATTGGCACAAGGCTCGCTGGATGGTACCAACTAAATATGGTTGTAACAAATAAATCTACAAGGAAATTTCATGTGGTGATACAAATGCAACGTAAGGGTCGAAGGTTTCACCATCGGTGACACCACAGTGAACCTAACATGCTCGACTCTTAGCCTGCAGCTGGTTCATCAGAAGGAATCAGTCCATCACCGGCCTAGAGGACGAAGGCAGCCAGAGCCAGACCAAGAAGGCCAGCGCCGGAAGCACCGCCCTTGATAGGGCCAGCGGCACCCCCGGTCTGGGTGATGACGGTGGAAGTGGACGTAGCAGAGCTGCTGGTTGCAGTGGCTTGCTGGAAGCCTGTGACAACTTGGAAATGGAATTAGTCAGATCACAGGCCCAAGGAGCACAGAAGATAGGGGATGGAGGGTGGTTCATACCCGTGTAGCCAGAGCCAGAGCTGACATCACTGGTGGACTCGCCAGTAGTCATGGCATTGGAGACAGAGTTGCTATTATTGTTGTTGTTGGAGTTGGAAGAGCCAGGGCTAGCGGCGGTTGGAGCAGCAGCAACATAGGTCGTGGCCAAGAAGTGCGAGCTATAGCATCGCTGCTCACAGTCTGCATACTTCTGGGTGTCGGCGGGCGAGCCGGTGCCCTGAGGACAAGCAGCAACGCAGTTATTGGTGTCGTTAGCTTGGTTGTCGCTGGGGCAGGGCACGTGGTAGCACTGGGCAATACAGCACACATCGTTTGCGTTGCCTAGAGAATTGTAGTCAGTATCGGTAACTTGCGCAAGTCCCCAGCTTGTTTCGGGATGGATCTTTTGTTCTCCAGTCAACCCTGCATCTGAATTTCACTTACACTTCTTAGCACACAGGGCCTCGGCAGTCATGGTAACGGTTGGGGCCATAGCAGTCGTGGTGGTGTCCACTGCGGCAGCCAGGGCCAGCAGGGCGGAAAAGGCAACCATGGTCATCTTCATTTTGTTGGAGGATGGAGAACAAGTTTGGAGAATCAACGGTAGTGACTGAATTGATGAAGCGATGGGAAAAAGAAAGCAGCTGGCGAGGCAGGTAAAGAATGTGGTGGTGGGAGGAGGAGGAGTGAGAAGTGGAAGTCATGAGGGGGAGAGAAGGGCAAGTTAAATACGTGAGACCAAAGGTTGAGACCCCGGCGAGGACAGCCTGCAGCGTCAGATCAGAAAGCAAACAACAATGAAGAGTGACAGAGGATCACGAGGGGATGTGCAAGGGCCCCGGTATGTTAGGGATGGGCTGCCACTGCACCACCTCTGACGCCTGGGCCTTTCTTTCTTTGTCATTGAAGGCACCTTGTTCCCATTTGATTCCAGATGTTATAAGTTCTCAGGGATTCAATTTGACTCGAAAAAACAGTATGATACTACCATACCTTTATGCCCATGCTCTTCAAACGGGTGACAGAGAAATGGTACCTTTTGGTTATCATGATTTCAGGTTTCCACTTTGAAGAAGGAAAGACACCACGCAATACGCACATCCCATAGTCCACTGCGGACTGATTGCGCGTAGGAGTAGTTGCCTATTGTCCACCCAAGACCTAGAAAGAGGTTGTGTGAAATGTGCGAATTCGACGATTTCACCAAGCTGTTCAATATAGTGTCCGTGAACCCTGGGGTCTGCAGGACGCGGAGTACCTTGCTTCTTCAACGACATGGGCATACTACTCTTCACTTCAATTCTGGCCGGGCACCTCGGGTACCTGAACGAACTCATTCGAGTCATGTTGCCTTCAAGAGTTACAATTTGCATTGTCGCCTTGCGGGGAGCTACTGAAGATGCTAGCTAATAAGGTTGAGAAATCCACAGTGCAGCTGACCTCGGCCGCTGCGTACTTGATGCAGTAATGGATCACGCAGATCCGGGGTAGTAAACAAAGTCCTCTTCCAGGCACTCCCTTGAATTGCGACTCGCAGATGCTCCGGCTTCGAATTATCCTAGTGAGCAACAACTAGGCCTATGTATGATCGGTGCAACACATGAAATCAATTCCCTGGCTCAGGTGTATTTCGCCTTCTCGTGTGCAGAAAATGAGCACAGGTCAATTAAATGCTCCCTTCTTCGCGCGCCCTCACCGCAAGGGGTCCGCAATCAAGGGGTCGAAGTTTTGTCAATGCAATTTTATTTCCAACTGCCTACTTTGGACAATTGCTTTCCGCCAGGTCTTGCGGGTGGTTTGGATTGACCGTAGGGTTGACACATCCCCAATGTCCGGCGAATCGAGACACGGTCAAGCTGGATATATGGAGTCGGCACATGGAGTCGTATGGTTAGTTCGATTCTTTGAACTTCCACACCATAAACAAGCAAGAGCTCTACGCTAATATTTGCACGTCAAATGCAATGGACAGGCTCGAGCTGCCTGGAGGGCCTTCTCCAAAATCCGAGTACCGGTCAAGAGTTGACGATGTACATGGCCCCGAAAGCCGTCGAATAAAGGTGCCAGCGATATCCCCGGAATTGACGGCGAGTCAACAACCTTTCAAATCAACCAAAAAAAAGATTCTGAGCCATGTGCTACTTTCGCCTGCGATGAGACGACCACCCATGGACACTGGAGGTACTAGGAAGGTATTTCCAGGGTTAGGAGTCAAGTGACTCTATAATTAGAAGATCATAGACAGAATGGAAGCTCCACACGTGAAAATCTGGCCTGCAAGACGCGAAGTCTTGAAGGCAGATCGGGCACATCTAAAGGCCGATGGGATTGCTCGTCAATGGAGGAGCGAGAGAGGCCAGTCAACACGGCTTGATCAGCGAACACAAGACGTGAAACTACAGTAGACAGTAGACAGTAGACAGGAGAAGTAGACGGTACCTAGTTACACGTAATGTTACTAGACAGTGTCACTGTTGTGATGTGGAGAACTCGATCGCAGACCTCCACAGCCCATGACAACTCAAAGTGCATTAAAGGTCACATGACCACGCGACGACCGTGACGCGCCCAGTTGTTCATGCAGACTCTCAGCCCGGAACAGCGCCGAGCAGCGCTCGCTCGCCACCATGTCTAGATTCGGGTTTGAACTAGCCTCTTCAGACGATGACTTCGTGGTCCCCGATTCTCCAAACGGGGAGTCGCCTCGTCGTCCGGCGAAACGACGTCGTGTGCAGTCATCCTTAGGCGGCACAGGTGGTGGCGGCGATGTCGCGTCCGAAACAGACCAGTTTTCGGACTTTGATGACGGTTTCTCGGACGAGCAAAGCTTGTCCGAAGACCATGAGCGGGAAGCGCGTTCAAAGTCACGAAGCTTTGTTCCGAAACAGAGCAATATTCAAGAGAACATCTTCGTCACGCAGCTCACCCAGCCCGACTCAAGTCCGGAACGAATTCGCGGGCCCCGCTGGCAGAAACCCACATCAAAGTCAATACCTGCTGTGATGAAGCCCGTGATATCGAAGAATGGTCCCCATCAACGGAATCGGCAAACCGAAGAGTCTAATGATGACGAGGAAGAAGCTCTCAGAGAGGCCCTGGCTGCATCACTAGACGCATTCGAGGAAGAGCAATCCATGCGACAAGTCATGGAACAAACAGTGCCTAGATCTGATCATCACGCGTCTACTGAGTCACTTGCTCCGATGGATGTATCATTTGAGCTAGAGGACATTCCCGAGGATGCTTTCGATTCTTCACCGTGCTTATCGCCAGTCTCACGGCCCGTTCCGCCCCCTACATTTCCATCGAGTTTCAATCGACCAGTCAATCGACCTCAGTATATGCGGCAGATGACTCTATACGGGATGACCGCTCAAAGCCAACAGTCAGCTCCGCAAGAGAAGGATTGGGCGCCCCCAGACAAAGAAGAGCGTCCGACACACCACAAATTAAACAACGAGGATCTGAGTACGTGGTGGTTCCCCACAAATATAGGGACCATTCGAGACTACCAATTCAATATTGCCCAGAAAGGCTTGTTTCATAACTTGTTGGTGGCCTTACCGACGGGTCTAGGGAAAACGTTTATCGCAGCGACGGTCATGCTCAACTGGTATCGGTGGACAAGGGACGCGCAGATGGTGTTCGTCGCACCGACCAAGCCCCTCGTGTCACAGCAAGTAGCTGCCTGCCTGGAAATTGCCGGTATTCCACGATCAGATACGACTATGCTTACTGGCGGCGCTGCACCGGGTCTTCGAGCCAAAGAGTGGCAATCTAAGCGCGTTTTCTTCATGACGCCACAGACCCTAATCAATGACTTGAAGACTGGAATTGCAGATCCAAAAAGGATCGTGCTCTTAGTCGTCGACGAGGCACACCGAGCCACTGGAGGATACGCTTATGTGGAAGTTGTTAAGTTTCTTCGACGCTTCAATCAGAGCTTCCGCGTGCTGGCGTTGACCGCCACCCCTGGATCTACTGTCGAGTCTGTACAGGCTGTAATTGATGGTTTGGACATATCCCGTGTTGAAATACGTACAGAACACTCACTGGACATTCGCGATTATGTGCATAGCCGTGACGTCGAGATTGAGACCTTCGAAAACTCAGACGAAATGTTGTTTTGCATGGACTTGCTGTCTACCACCCTTCGACCACTCGTTAGCCAACTACGGACAATGAATGCATACTGGGGAAACGACCCGATGGGTTTAACAGCTTTCGGCCTCACCAAAGCCAGACAGCAGTGGATGGCATCCGACGCAGGCCGCAATGCAAATTTTGGCTTGAAAGGCAAGGTGAATGCCATTTTTACCGTCCTTGCCAGCTTAGCTCATGCTATCGACTTGTTGAAGTACCACGGGATCGTCCCATTCTACAGACACATATTGCATTTCAAATCCAATACGGACGGGCAGAAGGGAGGTAAATGGCAGAAACAGGTTGTACAGGACGAGAGCTTCAAGAAGCTTGTCAGTCACCTTGAACCCTGGACCAAAAATCCCGAATTCATTGGACATCCGAAATTGGAATATCTCAAATCTGTGATCTTAAATCATTTCATGGATGCCGGAGAAGGGAAGGAGAATATCGACGGCAATACTGGCCGTGCCACGAGAGTCATGATCTTTGTGCACTTTCGAGACAGTGCTGAAGAAGTCACCCGAGTACTTCAGAGATATGCGCCCATGATCCGACCTCACGTCTTCGTGGGACAAAGCTCAGCCAAAGGCTCTGAAGGCATGGATCAGAAGACTCAGTTGTCCATCATTGAAAAGTTCAAAGGAGGCACTTACAACACCATTGTTGCTACCTCGATTGGCGAGGAGGGTTTGGATATTGGCGAAGTCGACCTCATTGTTTGCTACGACTCGTCAGCCTCTCCAATTCGCATGTTGCAGCGCATGGGTCGAACCGGTCGAAAGAGAGCCGGCAAAATCACATTGCTGCTCATGAAGGGAAAGGAAGAAGATAATTACACAAAGGCAAAGGACAACTACGAGAAGATGCAGCAGATGATTGCCAGTGGTAGCAGGTTTACCTTTCACGACGATAGATCTGCCAGAATTCTTCCTCCGGGGATTCGTCCTGTTGCCGACAAGCGACGCATCGAGATTCCCCAAGAAAACTCCCAGACAGAGCTACCAGAACCCAAACGCAAGGGTAAGGTGCCCAAGAGACCACCAAAGAAATTCCACATGCCGGATGATGTGGAAACAGGGTTCACACGTGCCACAACACTTGAAGAGAGCTTTGCAAAGACAAGCAAGAAAAGATTGACGCCGCAGAAGCGACCTCGAACCCCAACGCCAGAGCCTGTCACTATCCCACCGCTGGAGGACGTTCTTCTCTCCGATAGCCAACAGCAGGAACTGGAACATCTATATCAGAACATCGGGGATACTTCACCGCAATTCATCCACCATCCACGAACAGATGCTTTCCCCCGACTGCAGCTCGTTGAGAGACCGACGAAACTGGTATCCCACAGCTCATTGACCCAACGCATGATCAAGACGCTGCAAAAGATGGATCAATCTGGCCATGATTGTGAGGATCGATACAAACAAATTATCGCACAAGAATCCGAAAGAGTGGCCAAAATTTCCCGGCGATCGTCAGTGAGTGCGGTGTCAAAGCTACCCCGCGGTAGCCCATCTACTGAAGCCTCACGACACGCGGACTCGCTGCGTGCTGCGAATATTGGCTTTAATCACGACGACATTTCTGCGCTGATGTCGCCCGAGGTCTCCGATGCAGAGCCTCACTTCCTACAGCTCCCTTCAAACGACGCTGAGAGAGGCTTTGACGAAGACGATTCTGACTCTAGTTTACCTGATGCAAGCACATTGTTTGGATCGCGATCCAAGGACAGCTCAGAAGACATTCAAGATCTGCCTCAGAAACGAAGGAAAAGACTTGCGATTTTCTCCGATACTGACGATTAGCTGGAAATTACTGGACACGGGCACGTCTCGGTTGTGGGAGAGACTGCTGGGACATATGTACATACTCAGATTAGAGAGTCGTGAATGACAGTACACTAATTTCGGTACACCTGCGCTCGTCAACCGTTGGATGGACGACGAGATACCCGTCGTCAGAGGAGCCTCGGTGGGTAACGGTGTGAATAAGACGCTAGCTCCACGCGGGCCCGCAGAAACATCCACGCACCTCCACCCGTCAACAACGCCCGACTGTTGACCAACTTCAAGACCACAAAAGCGCAACAACCCCCTACACCATGGCCGACGCTCAATTTGACAGTGCACTGTAAGTTAGCTGTTTCGCCTCCAATCCGGTCATGTCGAATCGGCTCTCTAGCCGTAGGGAATAGTGTTTAGTTGGGTCAATGCCACTCCTATTCCCCTCATGACCCCGCCTCGACCGCACGTACTGCCCGCGAGATGAAGCTGACCACACTCGTTGCAGCGATCTGCTTCGGCGACTCAACCCGCGCGATACCAAGGCAAACCTTCAAGCAATCACGAGCATTGTTCCAGACTTGACTGAAGATCTCCTCTCCTCCGTTGACCAGCCCCTGGAGATCCGCCGCTGCCCGCAGACCGGGCGCGACTATCTGCTTTGCGACTACAACCGCGATGGTGACAGCTACCGCTCGCCATGGAGCAACGAGTTCGATCCCCCTCTTGAGGATGGTACCGTGCCCAGTGAACGTGTGCGCAAGCTCGAGGTAGCTGCGAACGAGGCGTTCGACGTTTACAGGGAGCTCTACTATGAGGGCGGTGTCGGCAGTGTTTATTTCTGGGACTTGGACGATGGCTTTGCAGGTGTCATCTTGTTGAAGAAGGGTATGATCATAGAGTTGAAAATCTTGTTTCAGCGGTCAAGCTTGGGGAACTACAATGACTTCCCGGGCCAAAGCAGTGCTGGTGACTGACACATTTCTCTCGTTCAGGTGTGACCGCCGGCTCCCAGAGTTCCGGTGAATGGGACAGTATTCACGTCTTCGAGGCAACTGACCGCGCTCGTATGTCTCACTATAAGTTGACCAGCACTGTGATTCTCCATCTGGCAAATGAGACCGAGGCTCTAGGCCAGATGGATTTGAGCGGTAATATGACCCGTCAGGTTGAGGCCGATCTACCGGTCGAGTCGGACGCTAGTCACATTGCCAACGTCGGGAGATTGGTGGAGGACATGGAGTTGAAGATGCGGAATCTTTTGCGTACGTTATTCACCCATGTGACCAACCTGATATGCGAAAAGTGCGAGAACTAATCACTATCGTTACACAACAGAGGAGGTCTACTTCGGCAAGGCGAAAGATGTTGTCGGTGAGCTTCGAAGTGGGTATTTTCTGTCATCTTGCTCCGTAATTTATCTCTGACATTTGCTCCAGGCCTTGGCTCTCTTTCGGAGAGCAACCGCGATCGTGCTACACAACTCGAGATGATCAGGGGCATGCAGAAGTGACCGTGTTCAAATCATTCAGTCTAAGCAGGCAGATTAGGTGATGAAGACTCTGGCAGTCCATCAGTATCGCACTTGGATAGTTCTTGCATCAAAGCCTCGGCGACAGTGCCGTTTGGAATATCAAGCTTTAAATTTTCAAAATTCTGTAAAATGTGGATGAGAAGCCAGCGCCAATCGAGTCCATCTTTCATTGCGTGGCTTTGTGAAAATTTGTAGCCGGGGTATCAAAAAGGAAAGAAAATGCAAAATTTCAAAACCATAAGAAAAAAAGAGATTCATCCATGGCGCCCGCCCAAGTTGTCAACCTCCATACCCCAACTCAATCAACTTGCATTTCAGTAGACGCAACACTATTATTCGGGGCGAGTTCTCCGCTAGGGGTGCCGGCCAGGCGTTCGACGAAATCTCTTGCCTCAAACCACAGCTCGGCCTCTTTGTCCATCCCCACGGTATCCTTTCGGCTGTTCAGCCAGCTGACATCCAAAGGATTTGCGGCTCCAGATCCAGCTCCAATTGACCCAGCGGATCCGACACCAGCGCCGCTAGGGTCGCCGGGCTTGCCAGCCAGTCCTTGACCAAGAGATTCTTCCTCAAGAGCGTAGATTTGGCGACGTAGGCGAACATCGACAGATGAGACAAGAGCAAAGTATTTGGCCACAGCTTCTTTGAATTGACGCTTGTGGGCTTCGAGAGACCCGGTCATCGAATTGTCATGGTCAGGTTGGTTATTTGTCAGGGCCTGTATAGCGAGCCCAGCCGACTGGATCACTTGAGCAATGTCCTATATGACTATGTGTGAGTACCCAATGAATATTGAAAGCCCGAAAGGTGTTTTTGCAGGTATTACCTTGTCGATTTCGTTGAGTTGGCGGATGCGATCCGCGGAGGTGAATATCTTGTCTGTTGATTGTGATGCTACGGCCATGATGAGCAGCACCGACAGAGGCTTGTGCAGCTTGGAGAATGAAAATTCTTTTGCGCGTGCCTGCTGAACTGTCTGCACTTGTCGGATGGGTGCGTAGCTTGTTTCAACACAAAACAATTTGCGGGGAGATGAAGCACTCCGCTAGAGTAAACAGTCATGTCACGTGACTAGGCGGATGCGGGGAGCGCGTTCTGCCGATGGAAGCGCACCGCCGCTCGCCTCATATCAAACTCACATTTGAACCTCACGCATGCAACGTTAGTCGCACCAGCTCTCCCAGACTCGGCCCTCTCGACCATTCGAAGCATCATTCAACTTGGTCCTGAGAGATCTTCTGTCGGCATAGTCGATATGTCTGCGCCAGGAGGCGCCCCCAGCCCTGCGCCTCGTGGTGGTAGCATGGGGCCTGGACCCGGCAACATGGCCATGTCTTCGCAGCCAATGTCGGGAACACCTGGGCATTCAGCACCTCCCTCAGGGCCTCCGCCGCCGCAGAGTGGTGCTATGTCGCAGCAAAACCTGAACCAGATTGTAGGTTTCACTTTTCATACTTCCTCGTTTTGCCTTTTCCTCGATGTTCCGACCGTCGGCCAATGGAAGGATGGCCAAACGCCATAGCGACTCAGGCTTCGAATCGACCAGGCCTGGATATTTGGTCCAATCTTGCAAACATTGGAGTTCGTGACTTTAGAATGATCAATCCGCTCTCATTTTCTGGAGTCTTCCGTACAACGAGGAGCAAACGAAATGCGATCACCTTGAATCGAGGCACCTGTTCCGGGAAATCTTCTCTCTTTCAATAACCCATGTGACATCGAAACAATATTTTTCAGTCTCTCCAAGAAGGGTTTGAGGCGTGAATCTCGTCTTTTGACCTTGAGAAACTCATCAGCGGCGTCTCTTCCCTCGCGAACTATCTCTGGTCCTCGCACCAACCGCCTCAGACATACCTTTCAGCTCACTGTTTCTCTCAATTTGACTTGAGTCATGGGTTATCAAGGAAGAAGACGCAAGTACCACAAGGAGAGTGATAGTGATGAGGAGTATCATCCTCCGAGACGGCGCACCCTTAAGATCTCAACTCCGAAGCTTCGAAATGAGAGCCCTGACACCCGGGCCTCAGGAGAGAGCCGAGCGCAGGCTCCCGAACAGCGTGCGCCTCGGATCAAGCTTGTGGTACATGGCAAAGCCATCATTCCGCGCCATAGCGAGTACAATGAGACCCCCGACAAACCTGCTGAGCCCCAAGTGAACAAGCGCAATACCCTGGGAAATGCCAATGTCCCGTTGTTCCTGCCACCCACATCCTCACGGACTGCGCCGCACCCCCCACCTGTGATGCCCCAAACATCACGACCAATCCAACCGCCATCACGACTATTCCTGCAGCCACCACGACCAATCTCACGCCCGACAATGTTTGACCCATCCCTATTCGAACGCCGGCGGCTCCCTGGACAGGACGAAGTCCGTTCTTTTTGCTGTCACTTGCTGCTACCATTTAAATTTTTCCATTTTCAATACTAACACATTTTCTGTCTTTAGGTTATCGACTATCTGGCTAAGAAAGGTTACAGCCGCACTGAGGCTATGCTTCGAATGGAGTCAGCAAATCAAGAAATCGACGGCCGACCTCTCCCTCCATTGGGAGAAGATGCTCGCCCAAAGTTTAGAAAGGGATTCGGTATGTTGTCCTTTGACATCCCATTCGGGTTTTATGGCTGTGCTGATCAAAACATTGTAGAGCTACTCAAGGCCTGGGTTGAGGAGAACCTGGATCTTTACAAGGTACTGTTTTTTGTCAACTCTCGAGCCGCGCAGAGATTCGCTATGAGAATATTTGCTAAAGAAACGTCTAGCCCGAGCTTCGTCGCGTGTTGTGGCCGTTATTCGTGTATTCGTTCCTTAACATGATCATCGCATTCTATCCTCAAGATGCCAAACAGTTCTTCGATGCCAACAAGAACATGTTCCTCCCAGAGCACACTGACGACGTTCGCAAATTGGAACCTATCAGTCTACCCGAACATGTACAGGCAAATGACACTGCTAAACTCTACCGCACAAACAAGTATCGCGTCGTCCTCAGCAACCCGGCCTACACGAATTTACTGCAATTCTTGGAAAGCAAGGAGAAAGAGGGCGGCTCGGTCATGAATGCGATCTTGAGCAGTTACTGTACTGTCAAGACTATGGATCGTGCAGCCGATGATCGTTTCAGTTTTGCAACTATGCTACGTCAAATTGGAGCGGATCCGTTCCCTTCTGAAGATGAAGGTATCCCTGGCCACCATCCTGGCTCTGCCTACACAGGAGACAACCCCGCCATGGCTGGAACGTTGCCAAGACTGCGACTTGGTAAAATGCCGATGGAACAGGAAATGGAAGAAGATGTGCGGGCCGAATTGGCGGAGCAGGATGCAAAGGAACCGCCAGCTGCGGGCCGTAACACCCTTGTCCAGGAGTTCGAACAGATGATCAAGAAAGAGGAGGATGAAGAAGCGCCAACCCGCGCCGACATTCCATTCCCTCCATCAACCGCACGCGATGTTGCTATTGAATGCATGAAGGTCCGAGAACATAGAGATCGGTTCAAGATCGAGGGTCGCACGGGTGGTGTTGGACCAGGAGTAAGCGTGTGCATGTTTACTTTCCACAACACCTTTGACGGGTATGGCACTCGGACCTCTTCTTCCCGCTTACATTACTCGCTTCGTGTCTGCTGACCTATCTTAGCATCAATTGTATGGACTTCTCCGATGACAACATGCTCGTTGCCGCTGGCTTTGCCCAGTCGTACATCCGAGTTTGGAGTCTTGACGGCAAGAACATCGAGGCCGCTTATCCAGATCTGGATGATCTGCCTCCGGCCAACTCTCGACGACTGATTGGTCATTCTGGTCCAGTTTATGCGGTTGCTTTTCCGCCCTGTGCAACCAAGGATGAGAATGTTTCCAGCGAAGACTACGTACCCACCAATGCTCGCTTCCTCCTTTCCTCTTCTGCGGACAAAACAATTCGTTTGTGGTCTCTAGACACCTGGGAGTGTCTTGTGGTGTACAAGGGCCACGATCGTCCTGTTTGGGACGTGCGATGGGGCCCGTTCGGTCATTACTTTGTCTCTGGTGGATCGGAACGCACAGCCCGGCTATGGCTGACTGATCACATTCGCCAACAGCGAATTTTCGTTGGCCATGATCAGGATGTTGATTGCGTCTGCTTCCATCCAAATTCCGCCTATGTCTTCACTGCCAGCTCTGACAAGACGGTCCGTATGTGGGCAATCACAACTGGAAATGCTGTCCGCATGTTCACCGGCCACACCGGCAATGTGACTGCCATGGAATGCAGCCGCGATGGAAAGCTTCTTGCATCGGCAGACGACGCTGGCTCTATTTTTATCTGGGATCTCGCTCCCGGTCGACTACTGAAGCGTATGCGAGGCCACGGTAAAGGTGGGATCTGGTCCCTCAGCTGGAATGTCGAATCCACCGTGCTTGTCTCCGGAGGTGCCGACGGCACTGTGCGTATCTGGGATGCAGTCGGTTCTCAGGACTCTGCAAGTCAGGGACGCGTGATCGGCGAGGGTGGCACTGGTGCCAAGCTTGATGCCAGCAATGCCCCCGCGAGTGCTGCTGCAACGAACAAGAAGAAAAAGAAGGGCAAGGATGTCGTTGTCACGCCCGATCAAATCAGCGCCTTCCCTACCAAGAAAAGTCCGGTGTACAAGGTCAAGTTTACAAACATGAACTTGGTCATTGCTGGCGGCGCTTTTCTTCCCTAGACATAGTGAGCACCCATCCACCGTTGCGTTTGGGGCTTGACTTTGGATTTCGTTCTTATATCTATTGGTGTCTTTCGGTGCGAATACCCCCGGTGCCCTGCACATCACCGCCTTTCTACGGATATTCTACGTTTTCTTTTCTGCATGAGGTATACAGCCATGGATCACTTGCGCGCTGGCGGCGTTTTCTCGAGGGGGTTTTCACAGTCATTCTGAGGAGTCTTGGTATGGAGGCGGCGTGCTCAAAAGGGGACCAAAAAGTTCTGCCTCTCCGCGAGGTAGAATGAGTCTCGACAAGTGTCATGGGATTGGCCCATTGTGCACATATGAGGCCTCAAATAATACAAGTAATTATTTCAGCAACTGTCCAAAATAGATACCTGCTTCGTCACACCATACTTGTAGGATCGTACTACAACGAAATGCTCATATTCCTCCTAGTAGCTTGCTTGGTGCTGAGGTGAGGTAACAAAGGATATTGTTCCACATTGTGGATATATCATATGTATTTCGCATCGTTCCACTCAAGCCGTTCATGGTTTCGTTCCAGTCTTGTCCAAGGAACCGGCGCCTTTCTTCATCGCAGCCGCGGCTTGAAGATCACCGACTTTGGGTGGAAGGACCAACGCGCTGCGGTCATTTCTCCTATAGAAGTCCGCCAGCACCTGGGCAGTCTTGGCCGGCTGGTCTTCTTGAATGAAGTGACCTGCTTCGGGAAATACCTGCAGCTGATATTTGCCTGATGACAGGACATGGTCAATATCATCATTCTACCACTCGTTTGGTGTAGACGGAGATTGAGGTTCGTGAGGATATTTACCTTGCATTTGACCGATCATCAACTCCTTGTCAAGTCTGTCTGTTCCAGCGAGGAGCAATAGCTTTCCGCCTCGAGAATCCAAGAATTTACGACTCAGCCCGATGAACCAGTTCTCCCAGAAGGGCTTCGTGGCTGAGAGGTTTGTGCGCCAGACCCACGGACGGGAGGGATCGGCTGGGTCACTTTCCTCGTAAATGAGCGAGGGTACAGATGCTTGAGCGGAAGTGCTATTTCGGATTGTGCGTGAACGAGTACTAAGAGGTGAAGGCTTAGCGAGGTGATGTTCGACAAATGCAGAGATGTCTTGAGGGATTGTTTAACTTACTGCCATTCGATACCTGAAGCTAGGGAAGTGAATCGGGTCGGTCGTGTAGAAAGGTAGGTCTCCATGCTTTGAAGAGCATCCATTGCGGATCCTGTAAGGCTTGCTGAGATCAACAGGACACCAGGTAACTCGGGGTGGATGACCTCAAAGGATCAGAGATGATGGAAGACCAGCATACCTTCCACGACATCAAGTACTGCATATGCCAGTAGCTTGGGTCCCAAGGCTCCCTTCTTGGCTACATCCGTGATGACCGCGCCGCCCAGACTGTGACCAACCAAGACAATATCTGGTAGTGCCTTCCATCCCATCTTTGTCTGTGTCTCCTGGACCACGAAGACCAGATCACGACTGAGAGTATCCAAGCTCAGATCTAGTTCAATCTGACTTTCAACTTCAGCCTGTGCGGCAGCCGCCGTTGAGGGATGCTCTTGATTCAAGACCTGAGTGATGGGACTTGTCACTGTCTGGCCATGGCTTCGTGCGTCAAGTGACAAAATGCCTGCATTAGGAAGAATTCTACGTAAAGCCTCGGCACAAGCTGCGAAGGACAGGCCAGATGATCCTGCACCGTGATGCATGACAAATAACGGACCTGACCCGGATGGCGGTGTCAAATAGGCATGGTGTACAATCCGCATGCCATGCACCTCTTCAGGCAGGAAAAGTTCCTGGCTGAAATATTCGGGCCAAGTATGTGCCTGCATTGGCTGACTGTATGTTGAATGAAGAGTCAGCGAAATAGTAAAGTAAATACAAGGAAAGCTGTACATGCATATCGATGTGTAAGCAAGGAAGACCTTACTGAAGTAATGACCTACCTAGCACTTCTGCGCGCAAAAAGGTTTCTCGTAGGCGAGGGCATCAATGTGCCGGTTGACGAGACTGAAGAGGCAGACGAAGCATCATCCTCGGTATTCTCTTCCGGGATTTTCATTGGATTGTACATGGGGGCTTCTGCCGGAAGCTTGGCCAGTTTGGCCTTTGCAAAGGACTTTTGCAGCTCACTCATCCGCGTTGTGAAAGAGGTTATTGCTGGAGAGGTCAGATCGAGATAGTGTTGTTCGATTCTGCTTAACGATCTGATCCTGTCACCGGTATTGCTCACAGCTAGTGGACGGTCGACAGTGGGGGGATTATCGAGGTCGATGCACAGCTCGACTGGTCTTCAGAAGCTGACGTTTCAATCTCGACTCTATGAGCCTACTTCCTCAGACAGGGTCTGAAAAGTAGAGCCTGGCAAAATTGTGCTTATGATAATTCGTGTGTTTGCTGCCAATGGTATCGTGTTGTTGATCAATGCTAAATGCACTTTTACCTCCAACAGCCGTTGATGTGGCTTATTCTGCTAACTTACTTACCTCCGAGAGGTGTAGCCCCCGCAGTCGCCTCCGACGAATCACATGCTCTTTCTCCGGTCTCCGCCGCTCGAAGTTTGTGTTGCCTCAACTTTAAGGCATAATGCTGGTCGATGTATAAGTGTCACGTGCGTGGTTCAAGGATTTTACTTCTTCAGGCCATACTACAAGAGCGATGATACAAGTATGCCGTAGTGCAAGTTAGTCTAAAATGTGTGCAACTGTGCATCAGTCAGAGCAGTAGTGTACGGTCAGAGACCCAAAAGCAAAAGTCTAGACACTGAAATTAGGAGAGTGAAATACAGAATACTGTTTGTAGTTATGTACTGTGTAAGTGTGTAGCTGTAGCATGTAACTAGTACATAGTACATACTACGTAGTACATAAGGAACATTATACAGACTAGAGTATATGCCAACATACCACTACACGATTGATCTGGGATAGAAACTATTATTATGTTGCTTCGGTCATTAAATAGGTCAAAGTTATCACTAGACCTCACCGTCTTACCGGTCGGATTCATTGTCCAATATACCTTCGCCTTCCTGAATACATATCAGGGCCTTCTCTTGTATCGTGGCGCGAAATATAGACGAAATATCCAGCAAGGCTCATTAACATATGACAATACTTGAAGGATAGATAGAACAGAGATTGATAGAGCGGGTCTCAGCGGAGCTTCCAGGAATTATTGCTCCATGCTCTGGAACCATAACTATAGGTGTGGTTGTGCAAGCCACCTGCTCTATGATCGGCAAGCCCTTCCACAGCCACATCCAAAACCTGGAACTGTTGAAACCCATGAACTCTGGTGCTATTGTGTGGCTACTGGCTGCCCGTATACTGTATCTGGTGCGGTTCCATGACGTAATTACATTTCCTGGGCAAGTGAGCTACAGTATCATCCATTAACAATTCCACTTGTCTAACGTCCAAGTGACCTTGTACAAATGTACGGGCTGTAGCACACAGGTAACAGGAGTAAGAGTACTAGTTTAGTAGTTACTAGTTAGTAGTTGGATAGCCATGACGAGGAAATTGCCGGGCGGTGGAGGCTGGAGCTCGGTTGAATCATTCCAAAGTCCAAGCGTAGGGCGAGTCATGAACGCCTTGCTTGGCGTTCGAGACCGCCAGATGTAATCACGAGTCACGTGCATAAGTGTGATCATACCGTAAAAATCTTTTTGTTGTCAAGCCATGACTTGATTTCTTTTGATAATACAGACACGAAGGGTGTTGTTTGATATGTGACTGGAATTAATCAATATCATCCAGTTGGCTGTTTACCTACTCATGAGCAATAATAACCTTTCATGCAGTCCCATGGACCAGCGATCTCAGATCTTCGAAGGGGCGATCATGTGAATCTGCAGGAAGCTGGTGTGGAGAGCTTCGGCACGTAACAAGCAGACACTGCATGGTGACGTCACTGCTCCCTCTGCCTAGACCCCAGACTCCAGGTTCCCTGCAACCGAAAGAGAAGGAGACAAAGACACCACTACTACACTCTCGCCCCTCCCGATCTTGTTAGAAACCTGATCTACTTTTCGCCCAGGCCACAATCGATGATCTCTTTACCACTCGAGCGTAACCACTAGTGCCACCGCTTGGACTCGGTTGAATTATAAGCTCGGGCCATCGCCCGTCCGTCCCACTTGTTCCTTATTTTCAGTACTTTGCAAGAGTGTGGGTAGACACAAAGACCCCAAAGCAAAGAATCAGTGAAGATGGTCTCGTGGTTCAATAAGAAGCAAGACGATACTGAGGAGCCGGGAGCTTCTCGGTCCCGGTCTCGTGATGACCGGTCACCCAATGCACACGCATCTGCACCTCATTATGAGGAGCCGACGGAACGCACCAGACTGATTCAACAAACGAATGATCCCGGATATCTGAGTCCAGATGACCCTGCGGTGAGTGCAGGAGTGTGCTGGTTGGGCAGAGGCAAATGATACTACACGATTTCCAGAGACTAATGAACAAGCTATATCCTTAGGTCTCCCCGTATAATCTATGGAGCGTTCGTGCATTCCGAGCCCTGTCACTGCTAGCTCTCGCAGCAAGCTTCGTGTGGTGGACGTTCTTGCTGGTCTCGATTTTCGTTAGCCCGCCACTGATACACTCGCGAGGGTCCGGATTCTTTGCATTTGCCTACGTCACTCTCACCCTTGGCCAATTGGCGCTGGGTCTGCTCTTTTTCGTCGTCCCGTCAAAGCCCATGTCAATATGTGGTATTATACTCGCCGTCCTTTTGCTCATCGATATGGGTATCATCCTCGGTGTGGGTGGCATCCGACGGGAAGAAGGCTGGGTCGGTATCGGCTCCATCGTGTGGGCGGTTCTCATTTCGTTCCACCAGGTTTTCCAAAATCAAGTGGTGACGTGGGGCAAGCGAGAGGAAGAGGAGCGGTTGACAGGTCGTGAGGAGACTCGTCGATCTCTTCGCGAATGGATTGCCGTACTGCTGGAGTTGATCATTCTCGTGGTGATGACGCTGGCAGCTGTCTTGTTCACGGCGACATCAATCTTGCGTGCGCGGGATGCGACGCTAGAACCTCTCGGAACCCGCTACTCCGTCCATGGAGACACTTACCAGGTCCACCTTGTCTGCGTGGGAAACCGCACCGAGGATTCTAACGAGCCGACCCTTCTGCTTGAGGGGGACTATGGCCCCGTCGAGCACGACCTGCAGCCATTCATCGACGACATCTACCAGTACGGAACTATTAGCAGATACTGCTATTGGGATCGCCCCGGATTTGGATGGTCCGACAATGCCCCCTCTCCTCATTCCGCGGGCATGTCTGCCGATGTTCTTTCCGAGGCTCTTGCCCTTGCCGACGAAAAGGGCCCCTGGGTTGTGGTCTCTGCTGGCGTCGGCAGCCTGTATTCGCGACTCTTCGCCAGCCGTCATCTGCTGGAAGTGAGCGGCATTTTCCTCATTGACCCGCTCCACGAGTCGTACCTCTCCGACATCGGTCAACCAAAGCGAGGGTTCCTCCTGTGGCTCCGAGGTGTCCTATCACCGTTGGGCCTGGATCGTCTTGCGGGTGCTCTCTTCAAGGGCCGAACTCGCGAGGACAGAGTCATGGGCCGCTCGGCCTATCAAACCGGAAAATTCATCAAGGCCAAGCTACAAGAGAACCTCGTCGCAGTCACCATGACCTCTGCAGAGGTTCAATCCGCCCGGCACATCCAAATGGGCAAGACACCCCTTGTCGTGGTCAGCTCGGGGAAGAAAATGCGCGCGGATTCCGAGTGGGCCAAGAAGCAGGAGGATCTCTCCCATATCACCGATGAATTGTTGGCATGGGATGTGGTTCACGATGCGCCCCATGAAGTCTGGACCGACGGTGAGGGTCGACAGGTTCTTGAGAAGAGACTGAAGGAGATTGTCAAGGCCAGTCGCAAGCCCAAGTTGTGAGCAGAGGCATGGTTTGGATCTTCTCTCGATTGCATTACCCAATGCAGAAGAACTTGTCCCCGTATTACCATCAGCACGTCACTGGGGCGCCGATACCCTTGACATCATCCCATGTCTTTTTTTTTCAGTTACTCACCCTACAGTCGTTAACGCCGAGCCAGGCACCGAGAGCTTGCTCAAGCAAATCGTTGAAGGGCGTTTGGAAAGCCATCCTCAAATTCCATTTAATGTATCAATTTCTATGATCGGTGGGATTACGCATGTATACGCAAGTCTTGGTAATAGTGATTGCCAGGTATTCAATGACCTTTTAATGTTTTGAAATAAATTGATTCATCTCATCTTTCAATTCATATATTTCGTGCTACATCGTTCTCTATCCTTGACTTACGCCACATGACGTCCCATTAAAGCAATGCAGTGACGCAACGTGTACCATTGACCCTTCCGAGAAGACCAGAAAGTCCCCGATTTTTATGAAGATCTACTCATATCTCCAATCTTGCCGGCCTCTTCACCACCCCCACCCCCTCTCCAGGACGATGCAGCCAAGGTACAGTGTGTGAGAAAAGAAGAAATGAAGAGATTCATGAAAGCTATCGTCAGGAATCTTTGCCGGAGTTTCTTTGGTTTCAGCCTTTTCGCTAGACGCTCGAACCACGTATACCGACTTAGACGCTAATCGGAACGAAGAAAAGAGATAGAGACAGAAGAAGAGAAGGTCGAGCTGGAACCCGTGGAGCGGACATCGAATCCGGGAGAGAGAAAGGCAGACGAAGGAAAATACACTCCATTACTCTATCCTAGTTCCCTTGAACCTCTTAGCAAGCTGTTCACCGTCGGATTTGGGAGAGGCAGGATTGGGGACCGCGGCCGTGGGAGGCCACGGGCGCTTGGGGGGCGCTCACCACTCTCCTGAAGTATTGTCATCAACGTTGCCCAACCCGAGGTATTCAGCAGCTGTAGGCCCTCTGTGGTTTCGTGGGTTGTTGCGACGCGGCCGAGGAGGGATTCTTCGTCCTGTAGAAGTGGTATATTGTGTAAGCAATCCATCAACATTCGTCTCGTTGTTTCAGGGAGCATGTTTGAGACAATCCTGATTGATGACAACTTACCTTGTTGAACGTTGAGAGTCCGTGCAGGAAACACAGCAGGTGGAAATCTGAGACGCCTTGCGTGACTTGACCAGCATCACTGGACATGAGCTTTTGTGCCACATGTCGCAATTCCTGGCTTTCTCCGATAATCTCGCGGTTCTCGATCGGGAACGTGCTATTCATGAATAGAGGCTTGGATTCAGTCGGGAATCCATGTGTCAACGTGACCAGGAGATAGTCGACGGGGAAGCTGGGTTTGGCGTTTTCTTGGACGCTGGCACCGTATTCGTTAATTCGACGGTAGAAGACTTCTGGAATGTACCTTGTCTGGCTGCCCGCGTCGTCGTCATCCTCAGACTGCACCAGCATCACAGATGGTTCCGCGGATGGCTCGATGATGTTGGCTCGCACCATTTCGGCTGCGGAAACTGTGGCCTGGTATGCACTGACGGCGATAGCACCGGCCTCATCTCCACTCAGCACACAAGTAACAAAGTCGGAGCCAAATCGTCCACTGCGGCTCCATTTCGTGGCCTTTGGATATTGAGATTGAAGGCGGGCCGCAAAGATAACTTCAAGAGATGACAGGTAGTAGGAGTCAATGTGTCGCTTGCACACAACGGAGCCATCACCTTGGCCTGCATCAAGAAGATCAGTGAAGATCACTCCCACCTTTTGCAGCCCACAGAGATGAGCGACATCGTCGACCTCTTTCTCGTTGTCCCAGTCACGAAGGGTCACGCCATCGATCTCGCCATTCTGAGGTGGCTCGTAAATGGCTTGAACCACCGCCTTGACACCCAAAGGTACCTCGGTATACTCCTCGTAGGTTCCATAGAGGAATCCCAGCCTTTGTGCGCCTGATTTTCTCCAGAAATCCAGTAATGAGTTGATCAAGTCTGGAGACGCAAACTCCACATGATCAACCATGCGAAACTCTTGGGGCTGCAGGCTGATTGCACTAGGCTGGCACTTGGTGCAAATACCTTCCGGCCATGCTGGGTGTCCCGATGGACAATCTTTTTGAACACGATAATATGGCTCATTCAAGGGTGGCATAAATGAGGCCTTCATTTCTGGTTTGTTGGTCGCGGCATTGATCTTTCGGAGATAGGAGTGGAATGAAAGGTGCTTGATCTTCTTTTCGGAAAGATACTTGGCATCGTAAGGCTCAAGTGGCATGCAATAGTCGCACATGCCACGAGGTCCATGCTTGCACATCCTAGGATCCTTGCTCCGCTTGATCTTACCATCTAGTTTGTCCAGGCGATCGTCGAGTGGGGACTGCTGCACTACATCCCACGGATTGGAGATGTTGAGGGTAGGTGAGGTAGGTTGGGCATAAATTGGAACGGTCTGGGTTTGAGGCACAGGGGCTCCATTCAAGCGCCGCTCAGCGGGTGTTGATGAGGTTCCGTTTGTGGTTCCATTTGGCTGACTGGCTGCTTTCTCACGATATCCGAGGAAGAGTTTGTCTCCGTGTCTGGTAATTGAACGGCATCAGCATATGTAGAATTCTAGCCGCGCGATCGAGTCGGGACCTGAACTCACTTGAGGCCAACCTCCGTAATGGCAACACCACCCAGTGCTTCCAACTCTCGCTCTGCTCCACCTGTGCCAATCGGTTTATTCGAGAGAATTATGGATGATGGATCGACGTCCGCAGGAAGATTTTCAACGATCTGTTTGAAATTGTATGTCTTAGCTGGGCTTAAATCATAGAGGGTGTTGTCACGAGCGGGAGTCGTCTCACCTTGTCTTGAAGTGCCGGGAACTGATTTGTAGGGTTGACGGTAAGACGGAACTGGCCGTTTCTGCTTTCAAATCGCAGAAGGATCGGTCGAGACGCCATTATAAAGATCAAATCAGCAGAAGACAAAGATGTAACGAAGGTGACCTGGTATCTTGCTGCAGGTCTGGTGATTTGAAGTCTCAACGCATGATTTGGTGAAAGTGATAATGAATGTTCGTACCAGGCATATTATTGTCAAAGCTCCGGCAGGTCACGTCACAGGATGAAGGCGGTGACATTCTGCAAATGCTCGCTGAAGAGCGGTGAGAAATTCGACGGACCTCAGATGGAGGGGCAACGAAGCCGGCACACTCAGTACAAAGAGGGGTTTAGTGAGGTGGTGAGGTTGTGAGGTATACGATTGCTGGCTACATTTTCATCAGCCTACACGACAATGGCACTGGCCTTGTTGATATCTATGCGGGCATGTTCATCCCATGTCCGGCTTCCTAGTCTAGTCAAAGAAGGCCGAGCTCTGTCTGGATGGTCATGTTCTTTCAGGTTAATTAGAGGCGTCGGCGAGTGAACTGCCGCGCCGCAATAAAATGTACCAGACTTTGATATGTTTTACTACAGATGGAGTGAGCACAAGATAAGTGATGATGAAGAGGTTTCACCCAGTATAAATTAGTGTATCTCTTAAAAGAAGTCTTCTCCCAAGGGGAGGTATTTGTGTATGTTATGTCCATATCATCATTGAAAATATCGAAACGCCTGCAAGAACGCCGCCAGCTGAAATGACACAGGGGAAATCGAGGGAGAAACAATAGGGTTGGGCCTGAAATATTCACATCATTTACATGATGGAACACTTCTTGGGCAGACCACATGGACCTCCTTCATGATCTTTGTCCTGTGCAGCTTGCTGGGTGCCCTTTTGCTGCTGGGCAGGCTGCTGAGCAGCTGCACCTGCAGTCGGGGCCGGAGTCTCGGGCTTCGACTCGGCTCTGCCATGCAGTCAGTTGGCCTTGGCAACGGTCTCGTAGAACCACTTGCCCTGAAGCTCGGCAATCTGGAGCTCAAGAGCGCTGGGCTGGCGAGATCCATCGGGGCCCTAATGGAACTGGTATTAGCTTCATGTCATTAGGGTGACGGGGGATCGATGTTCCCATGTACTCTGAAATCTCAACTTACAGCGAAGGTACCAGCACCCCAGGGGCTGCCACCGTGAACCTCCTCGAGGTTGGTGAGTTGGGGGAAGGTGGTCTTGTAGCCGAGGGGAACGAAGTTGAAGCCGTGGTGAACAAAGGTGCTCATGCAGGACATGACGGTGGACTCCTGGCCACCACCGGGGGTACCGGTGGAGACGAAGGTGCCAGCGTACTTGCCAGCGAAGCCACCGCTGGCCCAGATGCCGCCGGTCTTGTCCCAGAAGGTCTTCCACTGAGCAGGGAAGTTACCGTAACGGGTGGGGATACCGAAGAGGATGGCATCGTACTCGAGCAGGTCGGTGGGCTCAGCAACGGGGTAGCTGGTCTTGGGAGGAGCGTGCATCTTGGCGAGGACATCCTCGGAGAGGGTCTCGGCGATTCTTTTCATATGATTAGCTTAAGAATGCGACAAGGGGTGAAAAGAATGGTAAGAGTCCTGGGGAAGAACATACTGGAAGATGTCGGCCTGGCCACCAGCAGCCTCGATACCCTTCTTCTCAGCCTCGGCCATCTTGACGATGTGGCCGTACATCGAGTACTAAAGTCCGTTCGTGTTAGTTCCACCGTGTCATTGGCCCACGAGTGTAAAGGAAAGAAAAAAAGTCATTGGCACATACGAAGACGATTGCAACCTTGGGAGCCATGGTGAATAATGTGAATTGGGTGTAGACAAGTGATGTCGAAGGAAGACGAGATGCGGTTGAAGAAGGAAAACAGAGAGAAAGCTGTTGGAGCGGGGATTGAGCGGTTAAATAGAAATGTCCAACATGTCTTCTTCTTCTTCTTCTTCGTCGACCAGGTCTCTGAGGGCCTTTTTCTCTGCTTATCGGCCTGCCTCGTCTGCACAGGAGTCGAGGACTCCACCCAAATGGACACCTTGGAGGGTCCGGGACGGGTCCCTCTTCGCGTCATACGTCTTTGGCGAGCCGACGGTAGCGTTGGCTTAGTCAATCTTAGCATAGCTGGAACGGAATTGGCAGACTTGCGCATGTCAACCAGTGGGCAATCTGGCTCGCCCCCCGTTGGTCAACCCGTCGAAGGTTCTTGACAAACGATTACTGTAAATCCGTAATGCGTCTATCAGTCAGGGATGACGGAGCAATGGGGGTCACTGATTGGACTGTGGCCGTCCACGAGAGGATCTACGGATATGGAGGCAGGGTTAGTTGAGTCTGACCGATCTCTGACAAATGACAAATGCACCCGGTAAATGGGTCCCTCCTGGGGACGGACCCCGCTGCATCGTCCACCAATGCTGGAATGCGATGATGACTGCTAATGGGGACGGACTACAATCGACGAGAAGGCGGAGTTGGGGCAGGAGGGGACTCTGTGAATTAAGCTTACTTAAGAGTGTAGGGACATCGAGAGATCAATGGGCTGTGGAATAATATCCTACGAGGTCGGAGCAGTGATGAAGAAGAAGTCCCTCTGGAATATCCCGCGTTGCTGACTCGGACTGGCCCGCCCGTGACAGGAACACGATGATGATGTCATCGACTTTGCAGCGCCGATTGAACCATGTTGGTGCCTCAGGCATAAAAACATGAGTGCCGCAGCTGGTGTCTCAGTCACTGGGTATTATTATGATCTCCAGCACGCAATTCAATGGATCTGAATCAGTCATGCAGCTCAGCACTACTAGTGGGCCGGAAATTGTGATATCCATGACCACGACACCGGCAATGGCCAGATACCCATAAGCATGACTCGAAAACTTCTACCCAGTACCTCAATCACATCGGACTAGGTTACCTAATCTACTGTCCGTCTGACCACTGTACCTGCATGATCGCTATTCTTCGACACAGGCATAAGCTCGGTCAGCAATCGCATGGTCAAGGTCAAAGCCCAGCTGAGGAGGACCAAGGCCAGACACCCGTCATTCTTCTTTAGAATGAAGGTGGACAAAATGAGGCGACTAGGTGCCCGGCTCTGCGAAGCAGGCCGAGTTCGAGTCGAGAAGCTTCCATGACTCTACGAGATTAGCTGCAGGACGGCCTTTCAGAGAAGCAGAATGTGACTCTCATTCATTACAGGTACCCCATTCAGGGTATTTACTCCAAAATATATGTCATTTTGATCAAACATGTCATGAGATAGAAAATTGGAAATCAATGGCCACGATGACAATTGAAGACGCACTGGCCCCACTCGAAGAATGCGATCCCCCCTCCCAACGCCCGACCTCGCCATGAGAATGCAAGAACGCTACAAAGATTGTGCGCTGTGACGGTCAATCGACAGATGTCCAGTGCAACTCTACCCCCGGCCTCGACCGCGATAACGACCACGCATGAAACCGCCCCCGCGGCCTCGCTCGCTCCGCCACTCTCGCTCGCGTTCTTTCTCTCGCTCCTGTTCCTCGCGAATCAGAGCCCGCTCATGCTCCAATTCCTCCTCGGTCTTTTCAGTCCGCATCGTAGGTCGTGGGAGATTCTCGGTCCATCGTGGGTGTGCATTGGCGCACGCTTTCCCCTCGGGACAAAACCCGGCAAGATAGAATAAGCAGAGTTTCCGACGAACATGGCGCTTGGCGCAAAGAGGACCCAACTCGCAAAAGCCCCGATCGTAGTGCTCGCAAGGCGGGAGTCGAGCCTCCTCTCGCACGTGCTGATAGAGACAATCGTCGCCGTTGGGGCAATATCCGGACCGCGAAAAGGATGCGCATTCGGGCATGCGCCGTAGGTTGTATTCGTGTAGGTACTCGCATTTCACGCCTTTCTTGCACAGACCCTTCAGGAAATGTTTGCAGACAAGGGAGCCATGTGTAGTGGATGGGGCCATGCCGGAGGCAGTGGTCGTGGATGTGGTGATGCGCGAGGGCGTGGGATGGCGATCGGGACAAGCAGGCCCTAGGGGGCAGTGACCTTCACCGTAGGCTTTGCAGACGGGCACATCACTGGCGAGACCAAATCCGAAGCTTCGGCGAAGGAATGGTGTGAAGGAAAAGTCATTGTAACTGGGGTCCCGCATAGGCTCTGCGGAGAGAACTCGCGATGCCGCGCTGTGGACATCGGCGGTCATTGTGGCTGAGGGTGGTTTTGAGCGAGCTTCACAAGGAATAAAGTAGCGCGCCGGCCGCTTCTTCAAGAGTGGCGGTTGTTATTGATGTGTGGTTGAAGATGGGGGCAGTGCACTGATCTATCAGACTCGGTAGGTGAAGAAGTGATCGCAAAGAAAAATCCAGGAGGGTGTTTTGTCTAGCAGCTTGATTCGGGCCGCATGCTTAGATGGATATTGAAGGCGGATGGAAAGTTCTGGTGGCCTTAGAAATCAGGACACGAAGGCAATTACTGCTCAGTGCTCACACCTATCCGCCAATCAATAAATTCCCCCTAGTGCTGTACTCTTCTTGGGCCTTGATCGGGAGTTTACTGATGTGACAGAGACAACACCTATGCCTCAGATTCTCAATGAAGTCTCTATCCTGGTAGTGAAATGGGAAGGACTGAAGCCTCAGATGTCGTCCGAGGAAATGTGAACTCGTCTGGGCGGCTCCATGTTAATGGTGAACGTGGCTGGGACGAACCCTCATTTTGTATAGAGACGGAACGACATGGTTTCTACCACGCAACATGGAGTTGGCAGCTCACAGGTGTACGTTTATATTGACGTGAAGGATCACTTCTCACGATGGCGATGAGGTTTGTCATGACCAGCCTCTAAATATTGGATGATATAAACCAAGTGTTGTACTGAGGCAATGTATATCGATGCACAATTGTATACTCACTACCTAACACTGTAAACTGACATAATCACAGTATCTGCGCGGTCCCTCGCCTCACAGCCCATCAACATCAATTCCTTGGCAACTGGCCTATCTAACCTCAACACAAGAGCTTAAGAGACTGATCAACGGTCCATTCCAATAGTGATTGCCTCGGAAATGCACTGAGATGGAAGGGTGCCAGGAGAAAAAAAATTAGATAAATCAACTTGCTACAGCATGGATGTCGATCCCCAACCCTAACAGTTTGGTGGAATCCTGTACACTTGTAACGGGCTTTTTCGTTCGATTAGGTAGTACTTGTTCGACAACTTGTTCGACAACTTGTTCGACAACTTGTTCGACAACTTGTCAGTTGTCACCATAGTTTCCCCCGCTGCGCCTTTGCACTACGGAACGGCACAATACACATTTCCAGTCTCGCCGGACTGTTGGCCTCGCTTAGGTCGACTGGACCACCCTAACATGTAGCTGTCAACCTCACGAACACACGATGTGTGGGAGTATTGGGGGCATCGAACTCTGGAGAACTTCCAGCCAATGGTCCAGGGCCCGGGAGGCGATCTGAGCATCGACAGGAAGAAGCAATTATCCCAGAAAAATTCTCCTCTGCGATAAGTATAGGCTCAGAGGCTGAAGTCTAGGCCAGCCAACACCTGGACTTGCCACTACACTAGCTTCTAGCATGACCAGGAGACCCAACTCATATTGATGAATCTGTTCCGCATGTCTCTCCCAGTGTCGAGCCTGCCTGATCACGCCTGCATCAAACTAAAGCGACCGTATGTGATCCGCACAAGGATCCCGGTCAATCCGGCGAGATCTGGGGCTGTTCGGGCGCTACTACTACTACTGTCAAGCCTGTGCCTTTGCGCAAGGACCTGCCTCTCCTGCATGGTCTGCGAGGAGGCGTAAACGATTATCACCTAATTGGGTTGCGTGCAGCGACTAGCTCCCGGTCTCCCCGCATGTCATCTGGGGTCGAGCAGCGATGCCCCTGAGATATGATATTCGCGATGGACAGGCAATAGTCCGATGGTTTTTGGCAACGACCTTCACGTCCATTCGCGGGCCCTTGGACGACATGATTTGCTTGAAGGTGATCGTCTGTCTGCATGAGCATGCGGCTGACAAGTCAGTGGCGGTTGGCGCTGACGGTGATCTGTAGCTTATTCAATAGCCCCGGCGGAAGTGTCAGATCCATTGTACTTTGTCCGTCTGAGCCACGTCCTATGGCGCCGACAGTCGAACATTGGGGCGGCTCTCTGTCGAAGTCATGTGTTTCACCATGCAAAGCAGGTCTTTGGGCAGCCACAATGGGAGATCGTACTTCGTGAAACCCACTTGATCACCTTTTGGTCTTCCGAGGGCGTGCATCCCCCACACTAGACCGCTGACGTCCTCGGCGGTGCAGGCTCCAGAGTGCTCTTCACTTGACACTTGACACAGTCAGTCGACACTTTCAAGAATTCAACCAACCGAGTGAAATAAGAGCCACAGTGGTATAACCCGGAAATTCTCAAAAACACCCGCCTCATCTTCCTGCGCGCCGCGAGTGATCACCTTTCCAACCGTTTCGGAAGTGACACACGTGACGGATTCCTTTTTAGGAAACACCACTGGACCTAACGCTTCCACGCCTTATTTTGTCCACTGTCAAATCGCCTTCACTTCATCTGTCTACTCCATCAAATATTGCGTCTGTATTCATACTCTCACATATGGTATGTCCATGAGCGAGCGAGCGGTGCTCTCATCAACAGGCTTGGGTGACAAGTGATCATGTTTTCGGGCATGTTTCGGCGGCGACAGGCTTCCGACCCCGCCGCGGCTGAGTCGCCCAGTCCATATCAGGTTCCTCTGTACATCAACGCAGCCTACTATCCGAACTGGCGAATCTACAAGAAGCAGCCGCCGTCGTCTCTGCGCTTGGGCTTTATCTCCCACGTCTTCTACGCCTTTGCCTGGTGGGTCATTGACATTGTGTACATGGAGTGTCTCTCTTTTGCATTCCTTGTCGTCATCCGCTGTTCTGTTTTCCCTCGAATCCACTGTTTCGGCTAGATGACGACAAACACTGACATTTGAAGGATTTTCCTCGTTACAGGGTCAGAGAAGATGGCACAATCTACGTGAGTTTGCTATTGTTACTTCCACTACGTGGATCATGGACGGGGTTGCTGCATTGGATCTAACCGGATGGCAATTAGTTGAGCGATCAATGGGCGGATACGCAAATGCCAGTGGATGGGACGGAGGGCTGCCTTCGTGCCTTTGTGCAGCTGAAACAACAATATTCCAAGATGCGAGTCATTCTCTCCGTAGGAGGTGGTGGCAAAGGCAGCGAAAACTTTGCAGCCGTCGCTCGGAATCGGTCCCTGCTTGATACGTTCGCTCAGAGCGCACGCGGCTTGGTGGATCAATTTGGGCTAGATGGCATTGACGGTAAGTCCACAATCACAGTTTCCTCCCCACCCAAAGCTTGAACCCCGGGATCGGCGGGCTAACGATGCAGAGTAGTGGATTGGGAACATCCCGCTGATCCCCAGCAAGGCAGGGATTATGTTCGCTTGCTGGCCAAATTGCGCGAGGTCTTGCCAGCTCCACGCTTTGTGCTAGCTTCTTGTCTTCCCGCCGGTCAATGGGCTCTCCAGAACATCGATTTGACTTCAGCTCACCAGTATCTGGACATGCTTAATCTGATGGCTTACGACTTCTCGGGACCTTGGAATCCTGAAACGGCCCATCAAGCACAGCTCTACGGCTCCCCAATCTCAGGCTGCACAGCCGTCAACTACGTCTTATCCCAAGGCGTCCCTTCCAGAAAGATCATCCTAGGGATTCCGGCTTATGGGCGTTCATTTTTAGGCAGCAATGGACCCGGGCAGTTTTATAGTGCTTCTGGTGGCGAGGAAGGCGTCTTCGACTACTCTGACTTGCCGCGGCCAGGGTCCGTCGAATACTATGACAAGTCCATTGGTGCTGCATCCTGCGTGGGGCCCGACGGGGGGTTCGTGACATATGACATTCCAGCCACAGTCCAACAAAAGGCCGAGTTTGTGACCTCGTCAAAGCTAGGTGGTCTTTTTTATTGGCATATCTGCTCCGATGTCCGTGGACCGCGCAGTCTGATCGAGACTGGGTATAACACGCTTCATGAGATGTAGTATTTAATCGATTATTGCGGCATAGCCACCCTGAGGATTGCGTTGGTGGGATCGTGATTTGTTCCACTGCTTTTTCGAAGCAGTGTGGAAATTCCGTTCTCTTGATCGATTCACATGCTCTTCTCAGGATTTGCTGTCAAAGGACCGAACCGTTCAAGAGTGGACAAGGTTAAGAAATACACTCTCCACTTCTTGGTCATCAAAAGTGTGATCCATTTTCTGGCCAGCTCAATTTTACGCTACCGCTTTACTCTATTTTTGTTTCCCTGTCTTCCCTTTGCATCGGTTGTCCGAATATACGTGGCTGCATTTTAATGTTGCATCGGTGGAGTTAGCTGGAAAGCCGAGGTTCACTTTCACGGCGGAACGTGTCACTCCTGCCCGTCAAGCCCGTTCTATAAACTTTAAAAACGCCGAGGTTCTACAATGGGACTCGTTGGAGTGATCAACAGTTCCCCGCTGTGGATCATCGGTCGAGGAATGGCTACCCCAGCTTTTGTGTTCTACGTTCAACGGGGGTTTGTTTTCTTCGGATATCTCCTGAAACGCGCGTAGCAATCATTTCTCTCATACCCATCTCACAGCGGACGTGCCAGTACGATATGTCCTCATCGCCACCCCAGCCAGCGACTGCGGATACTGGCTATATCACACAACCAGTCCCGCTTGAGAACACTTACACGACGGATCCCAGTCTCAAGCGTCTCTTGAAATGTGCGTCATGTTGAGTGTGGTGGTCTCATCACCCCATGAACGACTGCGTTGAAGTGACCTGGACTGACAAATTTCAAGGGTATATTCCGGCCACTACACTTGACGCGGTCGAGTCACAATTCAGCCAACTCGGAGCGGAGGCTATCTCAGAGCAAGTACGAGAGTGGAGTGCCGATGCGGAGCGCAATCAGCCATATGTAAAAAGCCACAATGTCTGGGGTAAACGGTATGACTTCGATCGCCTGGTCACTGCAGCCGGATGGAAGCAGCTGGGGAAATGGGGAGCTCGTCGCCGAATTGTATCGGCAGGGTATGACCCTTCACTGGGCACAGATCGGAGAACTGTGCAATATGCATTGTAAGTGTCTGAAATACACTCACCGGTCATTAGAGTACCTGGCAGTGCATTAATTATTCCAAGCAACGCACTGTTCTGACTCGGAAGAATAGAAATTATCTGTACTCGCCTTCCTCTGGACTCTATTCTTGTCCGATCAGCATGACAGACGGTGCTGCGTTCATACTCACGTCCAAGATCAACGACTTGCCGTCTTCTCATCCGTTTCAAGTCGTGTACAAGGGTCTCATTTCGGAGACAGATGATCATTGGACCTCAGGGCAGTGGATGACGGAACGAGCAGGCGGTAGTGATGTCCAAAACACCGAGACATGGGCAACGTATTCGCCTCTACCAGAGGGTTCGGGCGTTGATTCCTTAGGCGATGGTGATTACTTGATCAATGGGTTCAAATTCTTCTCATCTGCGACTGATGCCAATGTCGCCTTGCTCCTAGCAAAGACCCCCTCCGGGAAATTGAGCACGTTCTTAGCGCCCCTTCGAAGGACCGTGACAGATTCGAATGGCGTATCACGTCAAATTTCGAACGGGGTTCGCATTCATCGCTTGAAGAATAAACTCGGCACCAAAGAGCTTCCGACTGCTGAATTGGAACTGCGAGATATGAGAGCGCATTTGGTGGGAGCAATTGACCAGGGAGTTGTTACGATTGCGCCTCTTCTGAACATCACTCGCATTCACACATTCATCGGATCCTTGTCCGGCTGGCGTCGTGCGATCAGCATCACCAAGAGCTTTGCAAAGGCTCGTACAACGGTGGGTGAGCCTCTTTGGCTCATTCCCATGCATCTGCGTCTGCTGGCAGATCAAGAGGTCAAGCATCGCGGTGGAATGAATCTCGGTTTCTTCACGGTGGCTGTTATGGGATTAGTTGAGAATAAAGCGACTCGGCCTTCTGAGCATGCCCATATGCCGAAGCCAGGTCGAGAAGCCGAGATTGTCTTTCGAACCTTGACCGCCACGACCAAAGCTGTTGTAAGCAAAATGGCAGTCTACGGCATTCAAGAGTGTCAGGAGGCCATGGGTGGTGTGGGCTATATGGACGAGGCCGATGAGCCCGAGTTCAATATCTCGCGATTGCTGCGCAACACATCTGTCAATTCGATCTGGGAAGGGACTACGAACGTGCTCGCGAGCGAAATGATCCGGTTCTTGCTCAAGGCGGACCACTGGGACGTGTTTTCTACCTGGGTTCAGCGCCTTTTGGCCTTGGTCCGCACAACGTCACATCATGAAGCGTTGACTGCAGCCTGGTCCGCGCTGACCACCAGATTTGCTCTCGGAAAACAAGCTCCAACGGCGATTCTGGCCGACGCGCGTCGATATATGTTCACAGTGGCCTGGATCCTATGCGGTCTTCTTCTAGTCATCGACGCCGAGCGCGACAACGACCCTGTGAGTAAGGAGATCGCTCGTCGCTGGGTGCTCAGCACCGAGGGTGGTGTTGGCGATATGGTGTTCCATGACATTGTCGCTGTTCGGCATGACGCGAGGGAGCTGCTGGACAGAGACGGGGAGACACATCTCCAGTGGGATTGCAAGATTGCTTGGGGAGTAAATCTTCCTGCAAATCGGGCCTCTGGACATCGATCTCTGCAGGGGACAAGCTCGAAGCTGTAGGAAGCTTATCGCAGCATGACAATAGGCGAGTAGCTTTTGAAAGTCAAACTCTTAGCGAGGGTGCGGTACTTGAGCTTCATTATCAATAACATCGGCAAGATTGTTTCCCTCCAGACCAAGTGTTCCACAGCCGATCACTACATCCTCTCCAACCGGAAGAAACGCAAGTCGACTAGAATGGGACAACTCTTATGTCAGTGCAAATTGTCGCTTGCATTCCAGCGTCGACAAGTTCCTAGAAGCGAGAAGACACGTAACACCCCTTTTGTTTTCTCTTTCTTCTTTGGTTCGCTTTCCTGGACACACCAAGAAGACATCACAAAGTAGACCCACAGAAAGTCATTCCAGAACTTCGAAACGGATGAGCGAGCTCCTTTCAGCTGCATCCCCGTTGATCGCCGGGCCAAACCAACAACCTCAGCGCACGTGCGTGGCTGAGCGCGTTTTAGCGCGGGACAAATGATCTTCTTCATCGTAACCCAAGGAGGGGTAAATTGTATACTTTGATGAGGTCGCATCATTCGCATTTGAACTGTCGCTTGTCTCGCGGCTCAGCTCTTGACCACGTAAACATTATCACTTCTACATCTTGTCACGCAGTCTCTTCCTGGAGATACCTCTACCCTTATCGCAACTTCTCAGCGGCGTCTTCCTGCTGAATCTGACACTATTCCACCTATACCTTGCCCACGTAAATGACCATGTCAACCTTCACAGAAGAGACCACTCTCGACCTCGAGCGGGTCAAAGCCACCGAGGAATTCAGACCATTCGAGACAAAGCTGTTCAACATCCTCCATGATTTAATCCAACCAGGTAACAAGCTCGAGCCGACCGCGGCAGCGGCCCAGATCAACGACCTCTTCCCTTCCAATGAGGAAGATAGCTCCAAGGCTGCGGTTTCCACGGAGGATCAAGATGATGCCGCGACAAACCCGGAGGCCTTCCTGTGGTCTCTATGGGGGTTGATCATTCAAGTGATGCGCCTTGTGCCCCCTCGACATCCTGGCCAAGATCAAATGATTTCATTACTTCAGTCCTTGAGCGAATTACCCGCGAGAAGTCTGGAGATTTGGGGGTAAATCCTGCTCCATTTCGATACTGCTTTTTCCCCCACCAGCTAATACGAGATCTAGAGTGAGCAACAACTTTGGTCGGATTTCCCTATCCTTCGACCTTGTTTAAGAGACCATCTGGACTGTGAGTCAGCATAGTCATCAGTTAACTCTCTCGCACTGAAAGGTATAAGATTGCAGCGTGATTAACAGGCAATTCACCCCAGATATTGGCCAAGCAGATCCCGATGGAATCTCAGAATGGATCAACCAAAACTCATTCATGGCAAGACTCGTGGGCAAAGGACTATTGTCCTGGGACACCTTGATCGTGTGGATGATGCGAGACGTGCTAGAAGATGATCTGCCCCAGGAAGAAATGGTTCAAGACTGCTACATCTCAGTGGCCAGTGAATGGATCACGCACGCCGGTACGACGATCTACAATCAGCTGAGCAGTCAGGAGATGACCGAGCAGCAAAAGCGAGTCATGAAAGGCGGCAAGTTGTACGAGGGTCCTGCCGGCCTGCGTGTGGAAAGATGGGGCTTCTGGAAGTCTCGACTTGCAGAGGCCAGCCAGCAAGCGTCAGAAAAAGTGCGACCCGCTGCAACGGCGGCGGCTGATCGGATGGCCGAGATTGAGGAACAGGCTCATGTTGAGAAGGAGATGCGGGGATAGCAGGGGGGGGGGGGGGGGGGTGGTTCGTGAGTTGGACGAGAGAGGCTTGACCCATGATTTGTGCCATGAAACCTTGGGGATCGAAGATACTCAATGGATAACACGTTGATGTATCATGTCGACGAGCGTATGCGAAATCGGATCTTTCGGGGCAGGGTCGATTGGATGATACACGGCGCGATGATTCAGCTCACGGAATGTTTACAATGGCAGCCTCCAGCCTATCAATCACGCACGGCGGTCGATAGAAGCCACTTTCATGGAACCAAACGTATCATTGTCGAGTTATGTGAGAGGCTGGATACAATAAAGGTTACTGTATCAAACAAACCTTATCGGGAATAGAAGGACCATTATTGACGACATCCTGCCGAAGGAAACTGCCAAACGTAGCCTCATCCGAATGGATAGAACCCTCACGAACCTTCGCACACCTTAGAACACACCTGATCTCTTGCCATGATCACTTAATGCTCACTTTTACCTGCTCTGGCCTCTACTTAATCTCGGGTCAAATCAACGCTTTCTTGATTCATCGTCAGGACTCATGCCCATCGGAAATTCGTAACATTTGAGGTTTCACCTCATCTTCCTGACATAAACGGTTGATTTTCATCCTCCTTCCACCAAATCTTGTCTTAGCACCTAGTTTCCTCAAAAAGTGCACCATGTCCTCGCCTCCGGCAAAGAAGCAGTGTAAAGCTACCAGACCGCGCTCCATGTCTGACGCACCAGCTACTCCCAAAAAAGCGTCCAGCTCACTCCGCCCATCCAGTCGACAATGAAGCGGCTCGCCAGGCTCTCCATATCCCTCTTTTCCAGAACCCGATCAAGGAGGCCAACCCAGAGGCCAGCGAGATGCTCCCTGTCATCAGAGACTTCCCCGAGGCCTTCACGAGGTCAAATTGCCCTACTCCGGAGAAGACAATCAAGGAGGATCCAATCTTCGCTGCCAAGATCTGCCCGGAATGTGAGTCTATCATACGACGGTATGATGCTCAAAAGCGAAACTGGCAGAGACTCACCCAAGAACCACCCGCCAAGGGGCCCACAACGAAGATGATAATCGACTCTCTGCTGGGCAATTGCAAAGCTGCGATGGATGAAACCGGTCACTGGATCAATCAGAGCAAAGGACATCGTCCAAGTGACCATGCATCAAGCGATCCGAATCATGCCGGGAGCGACCACGACAAGGCACCGAGCAGTTAATTTTCATGCGTCAAGTAACGACCATATCCCAATAAATACTGGTCAGAAGCCGGCCGGAAATGAGCTCAGTCAGACTAGTCGTGTGCTTTATTCCCTCCATCAAAGCACATGTGAAAAAGCAGCATGGTGGGAGATGGGACTTCAATCCAACACGCTGACTTTGCCTGATGGAGCCGAGATGCTTCTGCAGTCCGATAAGCACTCCAGCAATGACCTATCCTTGATGCCAAGAACTCGAGCAATATGCTCTTGGGAAGCTAGGGACCTTGTCACGCCCTGCCCGTGAGTCACGCCCATCCATGAAGGTAGATGCAGGTGATGGACGCAGCTGCTAGTCGGCAACATCCTCGGGATTTTGCATCTCGCTCGGTCCTTTTTGCGCTTCGTCCCATTGTCCGATAAGCCCAATTGAACCATACTTGCTGCTGGTGCCGATTTCAGCAGATTTAGATTGGTTACCGTGTTTTGGCGACTCCCAATCAAATGTTCAGCAGCCAAGAGCCGCTCCAATCAAACCCAGATCCCTCCCAACTGTTGGTGAATGCCTCCATACTGGTATCAAGAGTAGGCAGACCATAATCATCCATACTCACGCCTACGTGGGTATTCAGCGATGAGAGGACACCGGCAGGTTCAGCCTCTTGAACCTCAGCCAAGGAGCATGTAGCCGTTGAAGCCGCCACTGTCTGCTCGCCCTCTGTGGACTGTCCAATCAGGCGCCACTGCTTGCATAGCTTCAAATCAAAGCCATCAAAGAAAGAAGCCGTGTCGATGTCCAGTGTTGGTGGTTGACTGTCAAAGAGCCCTTGCTCCCGGACCTTTTCTGTCAATTTGTTCAGGGCTCGTAGTGGACCAACTGCCGAAAGCCATCTCTCTGAAAGTTTCTGAAGGGAAAGCTTGATCACGGTCAACTCGTGCTCTGCTGTACTTTGCAAGTGGGAATAGCGCCAGCTGGAAAGCAATGACAACCCACTGCAAAGAGGGTAAAAAGCAAAGACCGGGCCTAGATAGCGAAGTTCATCGCGCAAAAGAAATTCCTCGTAGATTCCTGCGATAAACGAGGATGCCACAAGAGACACTGCAGGTGGCACGCTACCCGGTGTAGATGATCTGTGTAGAGTGGTCAGGACTACAAAGTACATGACTGACAGTTGCTGGACTTCCAAATGTGAAGTGACCGCGTCTTCTTGTAGCGCGGCAGATGATCGAAGTTTAGGAATAACCTGTTTAGCCCATCTGTATATGGCATTTTCGAGGTCGATTCGTCGCTGTCGAGATATTTCTCGACGCAGATAACACTCCACGGTATCTCCCAAATGGCGAGATATCGTGCAATAGGCCAAGAAAAGCTGTGCCCGGAAGTCCTTCACGGGGAAGTCGGCCATTGATGGGGGGAGGACATCGCTGTCTCGAAGATTGATTGTACGAGGTCTGCCCACTCCAACCGAGATGACATTATCTCGAATCTGCGAAACAGTCAGTCATCGGTCATTTGATCGCTCCTGGATACCAGCATCATTTTCAAGAACCGTACCACGAGAGACCACCACAATCTTCGGCGCAGGCCACGGTCTTGTGCGTTTGGAGGAGGCTCCTTGTGCAGACCAATCTGAAATGCCATGGCCCCCGCCGTTCGAATCCAAAAGCCACTAGTATCCGTCGAGACATCCTCCGGTCCCACCGGATTATACCAGTGCAGCAAGCAAGCGGCCACAATTGAGATCAAAGAATTATTTCGCCCGCCAAAGAAGAATAGCAACTTTGCCCGTCGGTAGAAGACCTCGCTCGACCCATAGTCCAGATGGGCCTTGGATACTCTGCTCCCAGCCAAGAAGATCGATTGTAAGAGTAGCATCGACGGAGGCGAACTTTGATCAAGCCACTTTGGATCGACGACCGGCGTCCAGGGTGCACAGTATTTATTGAAACTCTTCAACAATTCATTCTGTACAGCCAATGGTGGCAATTCAAACGCGCCCTGCTCACGTAGCATCTGCAGATCCGCCGCGGATGCCTTCGTATTCTCGCTGGCGTAGCTCGTTTCATGACCTGGTTTCACCATGTTTTCATCAAACGGCACACTCCCGCCCAGATACTCGCTGCGGCCGCGGTAGCTCTCCTCCTTAACGAAAGGCTCGTCATTACCCGCGGGCGTCAGTACGTTGAGCCCACCGTCTTGCGTCACAGGCGTCGCGTTGTCGCCAAAAGACGACAATCGCGATTGCCGCAGCGCGCCGTCTACAGACGTGTCGGCGGGAGCCTGTGACGCATGGCGACTCGCCGAATCACTGCTGGGTAGACGTCCTGGCGACAAGCTATTTGTAAATCTTTTGCGCTTTCGCGTATATGGCCTGTGATTTTATTATGAGTCTGTTGGAAGATCTTGAAGTACCGCTTTGGAGTCAGTTCTCTTACATGCACTCTAGATCAGACTTGATGCAGTTGCTGCAAGGGCTGCGGGTCGACAGATCGCATCGCACCTGTACGTTCGAAAAATTCGAGATTCAGCCACCTCCCCAACTCGATTGTGCTTTTCTTCTCAGGAGCTCATTTGCCGAATCTTCATTGCAACTAACCTTCCTCTTATGGCAGATGATACACGCGCTCGACATGGCGGTGATCGTGATAAGTGAAAAGGTTGTGCTTGTGGGGCCTGCATTTTCGAGGTTCTCTCGGCAAACCTTCTCGTCGTCAAGTCTGCCTTCCTACTCACACTTCTTCTTGGTCGGATCGCAAACTGACTGGCCCTTCATCACGGGTCTAATACAAGACATGATGTGATTCTATACATGTTACAATGGTGCATCTGACCCCTGCACGCCTGTTAAAAAACATTTTAGAACAGTAATAAGACATGTCACCAAGTCTAGAAGATGGTTAAGTTAAGTAACTGCTTACGGGTCGCATCCGCAAAGCCGAGGTACATCTCCAAATGTCCCCATCTCAATGACGATCCCCCGGATTTGACGTATCCTAGAGGGGGATTGAACTTGATATAGCCACAAGGTAGCTAGGGGGAAGCGTGCTCCGCATCAATACGTCTTCCAACTACTTCGCATTATGTCCGACCACACAGAGCGTGTATTAATCGACACCACCAGCAACCCCAGCATCACCATTCTCACCATCAACCGACCCGGAAGAAAGAATGCCGTGGACCCCGAGACCGCAAAGCAGTTATACGAGGCCATCCTCGCCTATGAATCTGATTCGGCCCAGAAAATCTGCATCTTGACCGGCGCCGGAGGCACATTTTGCGCTGGAGCAGACCTGCACGAGGTGGCAAAGAAGAACGTCAACGCCAACGCCGACGCCGACTCCCAGTCCTCCTCGGCCGAGAACCTTCAACCCGTTGACGAGCGTAACCTTGGACCCATGGGACCTTCACGTCTCATTGTTCAAAAGCCAGTCATCGCAGCCGTATCTGGATACGCTGTCGCCGGGGGCCTGGAGCTGAGCCTGCTGGCAGATATGCGCGTCGTCGAAGAGGACGCCATCTTCGGTGTCTTTTGTCGTCGATGGGGAGTTCCTCTAATCGACGGAGGTACGGTGCGACTACAAGCCATTGTTGGATTGGGACGGGCCCTCGATATGATTCTTACGGGTCGTCCCGTGGGTGCTCATGAAGCTCTGACGATGGGACTTGCGAATCGGGTTGTACCAAAGGGCCAGGCGTTGCAGGAAGCGCTCCTTATTGCGAGACAAATCATTACATTTCCGGAGCTGTGTATGAATACAGATCGAAGGTCTGCCTATTATAGTGCGTATGAGGCGACTTCCTTCCAGGATGCTTTGACGCGGGAGTTCAATGCCGGGTCGCAGGTAATCTCGAAGGAGGCGATTGCTGGAGCCGCGAAATTCAGCAAAGGATCTGGTCGGCATGGGAGTTTTAAAGACTTTGCCAAGCTGTGACGGACTTGAACTGCCGGGAGCAATCGTCCATCTTGAAAAAAGTTCTGACGAGTCAAGGCGAAGGTGACTCGCTGATTACCGAAGAGACAGTCATACGTCAAGGAGGGAACAAAAGAAGTGACAAAATTCAATATTTTACAGGAAGTTTTGTGAAGAGAAAAATGAAGTTCTCGCACCGCCGGAAAAGAAAAGACCTCTTAAGGCGATATGTTAGTGAGCGGTCCCCAAACGAGCCAATACCGGTCTGAAAATGCACAATATAACTAGATGATCCAAGGAACAGTGGCACCATAGCTTAGTTTGTCTTCTTCTCGTCCTCATCTGCGGGTTCAGGAGCGAACTGGATTCGCTTTCCATAGACAAATGGGGTCCGAGAAAGCAAACCTCCCATCGCGTATCCGATATAAGCACCAGTCAGAATTGTGATGGGGAATGCTTGCCAAGGTCGGTCCCTAAAGATTCTTGTGTCAGTCATTTCCTTTCTAGTCCACCCAGTCCAGATCCACATCGCACTCGCTTGCTTGAACTTACCAGTCCAGGGGGATGGGAATTGCCCCGAACCATGCGCCTAACCCAGTACCGAGCGCACTGCCCCAGACAATATCCGCAGGGCGGGCAATGCCCCAAACTTCTTTCCACACCGTGGCGTCGACGCCATGGACGTAGATCAGCGGCGTGGAGGACAGGAGGGCCATGTGGGCGGCGCAAAGGAGGGTTTCCACATTATGGGTCGTCAACGGAGCACCAAATAGGACGAGAAGAATGGCAATTGCCGGAGTAGCAAGAAGGGTAGTAAGCCCGAAAGCGAGGAATGCGGGCTGGAAGAAAAGACAGAGAGTTAGCACTCCGGCTTTTATACGATATAGCTCAACCCGAACGGCTTGGAAGCCATTGACGTACCATCAATCTGGCCCAAACAGACGCCCATGAAATCTTTGCGGAAGGCTTGCGACGCTGCGACGATTTCCCAGGACGAACCGGGGCCGAGGACCCCGTGGACGACCGTGAAGCTCTCTTCTTGTCTTCCGGGCCCGGCGTGACCTCGCCAAACGAGCTGCCAGCTGGCGGCAGACAAGTTATAACATAGACGAATTGAAGGGCCGCAAGCCAGGGTAGATCTCTCAGAAGCTCCCGTGTGGTGCTTTCAACCACTGCCTCAAACCGCCACGCGCATAGCCCAAGGAGAACGAGAGGGTACACCAGCGAGTAACTTTGCGCAAGCTGTGAGGGGAGGACATTGATGGGGGGAGCGGAGGGTTTCTCGGCAGGAGCTTGACTCAATGATCCTGGGGTGGAAGCTGCAGATGATGTGTTCGAAGAAGTCATGTTGCGCGCATTTGAGTGAATCTCGCGCCGAATCCTCTAGATCCTTGTCCCTTTTGATGTATCTCTTGGGGAGGCTCCGGTTTGGCTCGGGATGGGAGACGGGATGCGGCTTGATGGTAAGTGGGGACCGATTTGACACATTTGCACCGCCATGGCGGCCTTGTTTGGCAGGCAAAATTTAAAGGCACTAGCATTCCAACGTTGCGAATGGGGGGAAACGCAATACATGATTGTCAAGATTGAAAGGGTCCTTTGAGATACAAGATTTCAACACTAGCTTGTGCTTTGGGTACTTTCAATATGGCTAATCCATTAAGCATCATCTCTGTAGAAGAGTGGTGTCGAGTCGTTGACAACTTAGACTAGATTCGTAAATCTCTACTAACCAGAATCTACTGAAAATCCTATATTGGAGCTTGAGCCGCTTTCATTGAGCCACCGAGACCGGTTGAGCCATACTTTATAGTAGAGAATACCACAAATAAGGTGGTACAGGGATCAGCAAACACTAAACGGTGCCAGCAACATGTATAACACAAGGTCAGGGCTGGCACGGATATCACACTAAAGAAGAGCAAAAGCAAAGTATCCTGACACAAAAAGGAATTATGAAAGCAATCCTAGCGAAATGGAGACACTAGGCACACCTGAAGGCATCATATTGAACACGTACTGGACTGTTCACGGAAACCAGATAGTGTGATGGACGGGAATTTAAACTCTAGGGGAAAAGGACTGCGTCGCCTTGTGAGATGAAAGTCCTGGTGTCATCAATACACAAGTGGACTCGGTATAAAACAAAGAAGAACGTGGTTCGGAATCGTCGTGTCTCGCGTCGGCGTGAGCGGATGCGTTCAGGCCATCGGTGAATTAGGCTTTTGAGGGGTCGGCTGGCACAGCCGTGTCCATAGGCGCAGTGGACAATTCGCGGGATACTGTTTGCCCAGGTGCTGGCACGTGTTTTGATTCCTCGGTCACAGCCAAGGGAACCTTGGGGCTATGTGGTTCTTCCGGGATGGCTGATGGAAACCCAGCTGCTGGAGTAGGAGACGTGGGCGGCCTTGCTAACCCCTCCCTATGCTGATCTGTAGGCACTTCGACGGAAGAATTGCCATTTGTCTGGGAAGAGCGCGATTGCGGTGACTGATGTGCCGCAATCGAATCTGGTTCTGACTCGGCTGGGCTCTTTGCACGTTCACGCTCATCCTTCACGACTTGTTGCATCTTCGCCTTGAACTTGCCAAATAGGCTTCTCTTCTCGGGCTCACCGCTTTGGACCGAGTTGCTCTGGACGCCCGCATCCAGTGCCAATGGCTGACTGGTAGGATCAAAGCTTTGGTGTGATCCACTGCCCAGTGAGGTGTTGCTCATTTCGGTCCCGGAGTCCACGGCAAGCAATGGAGGCGAGGCCAACCCCAATCCCATCTGCTCATTGCTGCGTTTCGCAGTCCTATGGAACCGCCAGCTGCGACGATTGTCTCTATACTCAAAGCGAGGTCCTTCTTCGGGCTGATCCAGGTCTGAATGATCAGTAAACGATGACCGAGAGTTCATGGACGGTGTGCGCGACCGATGAGGTTTCAGGGAGCTATCAGTGTGCGGTTGTGACGAGGAATCCCCAACTGTAGGTGTCGATTCAAAGGGCGCATCGCGGTTGCCCAAGGTGGCGGTACTTGGCGGCTTCGGAGTCGTGTCACCTACATCCATGGACTTCTGCGACGTGGCCGTCTCTTGAGATGAATCCCAATGTGGATCAAGAGAGTTGGTCGAGCTCTGCGCGCTGATACTGGCACTGCCGGGGATGCGTTTCTTTCTCAGACGATTAGGCTGTCGAGTTTCCCCGTCCGGGGGCGGAGATTTTGTGAAGAAACTAGCCAGCTTACGCTCGCGCGTGGGCGTAACGACCTGGGGAGGTGGGGAGAAAGAATTTGTCAGACCCTGAAGCGGGATGCTCTGTGAGGTAGGTCCTGCGGGTAGCGGACTCCTGGGTGAGCTTTGCGCTTGGTAGGTGGGCAGAGGTGTTGCGCGGTCGATTATGTTCAATTTTTCAGCGGCAGCCAGCGGTATAGGGCCGTGAGTAGAGGTATGAACATAAGTAGTACCAGAACCAACACTCGCAACAGAAGACGTGGAGCCGGCTTGTTGCGGCCCGATTTCCTCACGGGGCGATGGCGCGGCGCTTGGTGACCGGGAACTTTGATGGGAGATGGAGAGGTTCGACGGATTTTGCGTGGCACGTTCTGCGGCGCGAGCGTAGCGAGCTTGAGCTACAACCGGCCCCATTTTAGAGGGAACGGTGTTGCTGCGATGCACACCTCCTCCCGAGACGGACGTAGGTGTGCTAGGACTGGGGGCGTTGCTTGACTGGCGTGAATTGCGCGAGTTACGCGAAGATACGGAAACGTTACGTCGAAGGCCATCGACCCTACGGTGGCTGTCGTTGCTGGCGCTCGCGTTCGAGACGGACCGCCGAATGTTCGAAGCAGTTGAGGGGCGTTGTCCCAGGCCACCCTCCGCTTTGGAGGCAGCGGCAGGCTGGAAGCCAGCTTCGACTTCCTTGACTTGTTGTTCATCTGGCGTGGTGCCACTCATGCCGACCAAGAAGTGATCTTGGTTTTCAATGAGGAAAATCAGAACGTCCTGACTCAACTTGTACTCTTCAGGCGACATGTCGTGTTGGGGGTGAGACAGTAGTCCCGGTTGGAAGATCGCGGAGAGATTGGCGGAGGTCATTCGGTTCTGATCCGACTTGGAAGCAAAGACGGCCAGAAGATCCAAGATGTAGAGGAGCAATTGCTTGTTCAAGGGAGGAAGCTCTACGATGAGGCGCTGGTAGGTCTCTACCGCCTTAGCGTGGTCGAACTGAGTGGCTTCGAGCGGCTCGATTTGGTCCTGCGCCTGTCGTTGGTAGACGCGCAGGGGTTCGCGAAAGCGCTCGTAGAATTCTAGGGGAACGATGGGCTCGGGCAGTTGATTCAAGTACCGACGAAGAACATTGGCGGCGTCGTGCACGGTGTATCCCGACCAGTCCAAGCCTTTTCCATACCGTTCGGGGGAATCGAAGATCTCCTGCAAGTCTTTGATGCGCTTCGCTGATCCGCTGAGACGGAAAATTCCTTCCACATCCGTCGCTGTTGGCCGAGTCATTAGCCGGTCGGCTCGCTCAGAGGAGGAGGCAGATCAATTGGAAAATGCACGTACCTCGATCTTTCAAAAAGACACCGCACTTGGCCACGACAATAGGGACATATCCGTAGATATGACTTTTTCCATTTTCGCCAGTAAGAGAGATAGCAACATTTGCATATTTGATGCTGACATTGAGGGGGACGCCGAAGATACCTCGCGGTTGCTCTGTCGCATCGAGATACGGGTTAGCAGGCGCTCGCGAACGAGTCCAAGAAATGGGTTAGGCCGATATCAACGATAAGCGCCCGAAGACTGAATGACTAGGAAGCAATAGTGGAACCTGCGACGGGTGTAGAACAACGAAGAGAGTGATTGTGGAGGACAATGCAAATTGGGCGAACGGGCTCGATCTTGCGACGACGACTGTACAACTCTCACACAAAACCATACCTTTGACATCGTCTTTTCTTGTATTTCGTTTGAACTGCCTCCACCACGAGGCCAAGTCTCTCTTAGAAGGCGGGGAGTTGGAGCCGGTCGGGTCAGGAGGTGTCACGAGCGGGTGACCAGGCTCCAGGCCCGCCTGCGACTTGCCGGCCATCATGACGAGTCCGCGATCGAATGACTATGGCCTGGTCGACGAGACGTGCGAGGCGACTCAAGGATCGCAGTGGGCGAGTTGCGACTGTTCGAAACCAGAGAGTGGAGGGGGAAGATGAAATGCGGGAGCGTCGAAAGGCACCCTGCGTCACCGCCCTCCGTGGAGGAGATCCCGTGTAAATCCTGGGGCTGGGCCCAGGGTGACAAGGTGGCAAACGAACAAGGGACTCACACTTGTGTTCGCATGCACCGTTGGACGTGATCGAGTATTCCAAGCAGAAGGGGGCGTATGGGGATTTTGTCGGAGCAAGACTGAAGGCAGGGAGAGGTACGGAGGAGTGAGGAAAGAAGGGAAGACGGAGAGGAGGGAGAGGAGGGAGAAATTATGGTTAGAGGGTGAGGTGCGCGACAGGTAGGTCCGAGGATGAAAATGGATGGTCGGGTCGCGGAGGACAGAGCTTTGGGGGGGGATGAGAAAAGGCCATACACATCCAAGTGTAAGTGTCGGTCGTTAGGCACTGAGTCAAGCCAGTCGAGAACGGGCGAGAAGGGAAGGGGGGGGGGGCCGCCGAATGGTCCTTTTGAGCGGCGGAGATTGTTTTAGGGTCCAATTTGGGTTGGAAAGTGGGCACGAGCCACACTTTGCACCTCTGGCGGGACCCAAGACGCTGCCGGTGGAACAGGGATTCGTGAGTCCGAAGCTGCAAGTGGTCTTGAGAGATGACAAGAGTCTTAATCGGGAGACGGAGTAGTCGAGAAGAAGGAGAAGAAGAAGAAAAAGAAGAAGGATTGAACAGATGGCTCATGCGACATTTTCCGAAGATGATGCGATTGTTCCTAAACAAACGCAAACTGGGATGGTCGTCCCAATCATCCACTTCATATGATCTTGTTTTTGAGGGGATGGTGCGCGCAACGTGAGTAGTGAGCAGTGACGAAGGTCCTGTAGACGAAAGCTAGAGGGTCCAGTTACTGCAGTTACCTATTCGATCTGCAGGCGAATAAAGCGAAGCTCGACCGATGTTAAAGGCGAGTCTAGAGTCCAGACAGGGTCGACGCATGGCTTGGACTCCGTACCCATCGGTCACCTGAGGGGCCGACAGGTGAGCAAGTCTTTGGATTCATGGGGACTTGGTCCGAGAACCTTTATGAGAAGCAGGAGTAAGTTGGCCCAAGAGCCAGTATATCAGCTGGTACAAGGGATTGGCCCTACTGGCTACTACTTCCATTACAACCAAAATGTACCTATGCTTGCTTTTTCGAATCGAAGGGGTCAAGTGCGGAGTGTGGACCGGGCACAAGCCACTAAAGTACCAACACCGAGATTTCCTTCGAGAAGCTTTTCAAGGTACATCTTCGCGGGGCGATCTGAACTACTACTGTACTTTAGGTAGTCCCTGAATTAGTACATGAGTCTCACGAGTAGTAGGACTCCTACCTCCCTTGCGGTTGCTATGTTACTAACCTTGCGTAGCAGGTACGAAGGTAGTAGTCTTACTGTCTTAGACGTACTACTACTAGGTAGTTACCTTAGTCCATAAGTTAGTCGGTAGTCTATACTCACGTAGACTTACAGTATTATGGAAATACAAGCTACTCGCGCTAATGCAAGGAGTCAGTTCAGACACTATTTTATGGCGATACATTCACGACGGGGCCTATCTTGCTATGTCAGAGTCGTTCTTTGTCGAGCCACGGCTGTCTTCCCTATTGATCGTAGGAAGCGCAATTCAAGATGACCATTGCCGACTTCGATCATGGAGTGCTGCTGTTGTACGTACATCATGAGGTGTCACCGAGTTCCTCACCCGAGCCATGAGTCTGACAGATGCGTGCAAGAGTGAGTGCACGACATCAGGTTCATGGTTGAATTTCCGGCCAAGTTATTTATAGTGCTCGCGTTTCTTCAGACCCTTGGCTGAGTGTCCGAGTCCAGCGAACGGACTGGGGCCAAGTCGTCTCGACCCAACAACGGGCCTTTACCTAAGCCGACCAGGGAGTGGAGGGTCTGGAATGGGCGCCGGATTCAGGAACCAGCATCCAAGTGCTTCCCGGGCTCCATCGGTTCCAGAGTTCTGCAACACTAAGCCGACTAGCCGACAAGTGGGCCCTTCAGGCACCATTTCGGGGGATTGGTGTACTCTTCCCCTCTGGAAGTTCCAAGGAAGAGTCATCTTCTGTTCTTTCAGCGTAAGTATTTTCTTTGGAAGTGAATGATTGCTCAAGCGTAGACTGAGCCGTCCATATCTGTCAGAGCTCACAGTGTTGACATGAAACTTTGCAAGAGTCTTTCATCCAGGCTTGTCCCATGGGCGATGGAGTGCCTACCGAAGTGCGCGCCGACGATCCATTCATGTCATTGGAGGCTTCCGCTGGCACAATACTTGTTCGATGTATGCCTCAAGAATGAGACATCATGTAGTGATGGAGAAAAGTGGACTGGAGGACGAGTCGGTAGGCTTTCACCACCAACGCCGCGGTGGCCTCGAATACCTGCAACGAGCACAGGGCACCAACCTAAACATAGGTATGCTTTGGTAGCTGCTCTTCTGCTCTTTGTTTATCCATGCAGACAGGTGCTCTACTCAAAGCAAAAGGCATGGTCCATTCTGACAGGATTCGCATCCTGCGAGTCTGGCACCGATGACGAGCGACAAGAAATGAGAATTCTGCAGGGGTGTCGCTATCCGCTTCCGTTTTAAGAAGCTCACTCTTTGGCTGAGCTCAAGCCGCAAGAACCGTGTGGGGGAACAGCATCGAGGGTCAGGGCCCACCGGAGGGGGAACTTTTCAGGCACGTGAAGATAAGATACAGCTCTAATCACGCTGGCCTGTCTCCCATGCACGTGACTAGAATTCGGGTCGGCGGACAAACGTAGTTGCGAACAGCAGCTTCGGAGCTTCACGCTTGGCCGGACAGGTGGTTGATCACGATCAACGAACTAACAATCGAATTGATCAACACCAACTCATATCCTGTTCCGAAACATCGTTTTTCTTCCTCAATCAACATCACATCATGGACGGGTATGCCACATGAATCCCCAAGTTCTCTTGGAGTCTCATAGCCTTCCGATACTGACCGAATGAAATACAGCCTCAACGCAAACGAGCAGCGCGAGTTCGCCAGCCGTATGGAGCGCAGGCAAATGAAGGAGTTTATGACTGTGAGTCAATCATGATGCTTTTATGTCGCCGGTGCCATGATACGCTTCACTCTTTCGAACAAGCACCGGCCTCGGATGAAACTTTTGTTCAACTTCCGGCCTCCGCACCCTTCGCATCAGCATCGGCACTTTCCATCAGATGATCACCCTATATTTGTCCTTCGTACTCATCATTTCCGTCTTTTTTTTGCAGATGTATTCCAAGATGGTCCAACGTTGCTTCGATGACTGCGTCACCGATTTCACCACCAAGTCCCTCACCAACCGGGAAGAGACATGCCTGATGCGCTGCATCGATAAGAATCTCAAGAGCTCTCAGCGCCTGAATGAGCGATTCCAGGAGCAGAACGCTGCCATGATGCAGAGCGGTCAGCTTGGCCCTAAATAAACGTGACAAATCACAATGGACATGGGAATGACAAACGTAACGTCCCCCAAAGGAGAACTCTGGCGGGGGGAGGGGAACCTTTGACGCCATGGAACCTGACCGGGAATCATGTTGGCGATCAACGCGTTTTTTTCTATGTCGACGGGGTCCAATTGTTGTGGTCCCGACTATTTGGAACCAAAGCGATTCCGGTGTTTTGTCCGAATGGCATGAGCAGTGAGCACAGTGCCTCGTGCTACTTTGGATGCGGCTTGAAAAATTACGATTGAGTGCGTTGCACTGACTTCAACAATCAAACCAGGAGAGCCCACTGGGGCCTGTGATCTCCGGGGAGGTAACCTCCTTATCATGTACTATAGTATATCAAATGCGATGGATCAGGGAAAGGTTCCCTGTTCTTGTCTACTATCTCTTGGAGATCGTCACCGAATCTATATAAGAAGGGCATTGCCTCCGGACCGGACTCGATGCTCAATTGCACTCTGCCAGCATTTTGGGCTTATTGGTTTTCTGGTCTCGAGCTCACGCCAGCCCTACTTGATCAGAGGGGAATGCGAGGCAGATTTCCCAGGTCAGTTCCTGCGAGAGGTCTCCATCCTCGACGACACCGAGCAGTCTTCACCTTGTGCGCGCATGTCGCAGTCTTCCAGTGACCCATTCTGTTCTCTCATCGTTCCTGTAGAACGTGCTCTCTGGGTGGGTTCCACTTTATTCTTTACCGCGAAGAGGCAGGATACGTGCTGTAAGCCCGCTTGGGATGGTCTCGGGAAAAAAGACACTCCCCTCGTTTGTCCGTCTCTACAAAGAAGTCGTCTCACATGATATCTCCTGTCTTGACATTAAACAGTGCTTTACAGTATTAGGCTTGGCCCACCAAACTACTTACAGTAACTGAGATTGTCCCAACTCCCCGGGTCCTCCTCAGTCGATTGAACACAGCACAAGTTGTTAACAACTATATAGTAGACAGTATACTATACACTATACACTATACACTGTCTAGTACATATACAGTGATACACTTATGTTACCGTCACACGATCAAACTAAAATGCTGTTTCCCACGGAAACCTTTGCTCCTTCGGGACTTGACGATAACAACAGCCGTGATAAGACTCGGGAGCGGTCCCGTCTCCCGTGTTCCGGCCTGGGCTGAGTCATAAAGGTTAAGCTTGAGACCAATGAGGGGCTTGTCAAGGTGCATTGATCGGCCACACGAGCGGCTGCTTCTGCCGGTACTCAGCGAGTCAGCAGTGAAGCACTGTAGCAGCTTGATACATCAGTTATGCAGAAGTGGTCGCGCTTCGAGATTCAACTCCTCGAGTATAGTCATGTACAGTACAGTCAACAGTGAGTATACTGTACTGTAAATTACCCCTCGTCTCCATCCCGCCCAGCCTCAATAGTTCGTGCGGGGTTCTTTTTTGGAGTGCGTGAGGTGGTATGCTCCTGACTCGGACAGGCTGTTAGAGTCGTACTTAGTACTCACTACTCAGTGCACTCGGTATTGCCTCTATTCAAGGGATTCAAGGTACAGCGTCTATAGACCCCAGAAAAATTGTATGGGTACCCTGCACTCGTAATGGAAAGATAGTGTAAGCATCCCCTTCATATGCCTTTACCCGGAAACCTGTAAATCCATCTATCTTCAAGAGCTCCTAAGGTTACAAATGTCGTACAAATGTACGATATTTGTAATGCCTTTGTGGGGACTGTGACGAAATAACGTATTAAAGATTGCGATGTGATTATGAAGCAGTAGTAGCTTTGTATCCATAGTACTAGGTACTTTCGTCCGATGAAGGTAACGTCGTCAATCCTACTTTTTTCCACACAGTGCCAGTCATGACTTATGAGTGCATTCAAGAATCCCTCTGTGATAGGTACTAGACCTTGGAGGTACAGCATACAATAGCATTGAGATCTGATGCATGCCATCGAGTTACAATTCACCTTGCCCTGACTTTCTCCCGCGGGTCCCAGTGGAAAAGTTGGGTAGAGAACTCGGGTGAGGGCGGACCGGCCGGCCGTTGCGGACGATGCCCCTCATCCTCTTCTCCTCATTTGGATTCCACTCTTGGGGGTTTCGTCATGGATGTTTGGAAGTGTATTGTCGTACTGATATGTACTGGGATAGGTTCATAGTTCATAGTTGTATGTTGTTTGCAGTTTGCACCGGTCCATTTCAATCTTCGCAGCAAGACTTGGAGAATTGGCACTGTCGTTGATAGGCTCTGGAGCTCGTACTTCGTAGCTACGTAGATGTAGCTCTACAATCATGCTCCTGCGCCCCTAAATAGTATTGTGACGCAGAACCCTGGCAACGCCATCGTCCGTTTTCGACTGATAGCATTATACGAACTCAACCTGCCTTGTCCACTCCGACTGCCTTGACTCTGTAATGCTATAAACAAGGACATGGTTGCTTGTCAAATGATACATCATTACAGGACTGTACAGCTGTCCATCTCCTCAGTGACAGTCACCTTCCCCCCACTCTCCTCATTGCGGCCTGCTTCATTTGCCGCTCCACTTCCGTCGCCCGGGACTGGAGCAAGCCACCTTCAAAACCTCACCTTCGTCCGCCTTTTCTCCTCTCCGTCTTTACATCGTCGAGAGGTCATTCTGGTGAGTCCTGTGCTGTGCGACTTGCTTTCCAACCCTCACTCTCCCGATTCAATTTGCATTTTCTTCCTCTGCCTTGACCACCTCGAACTGACCGTGCTGCGATCTTGTCGCTAAAAGGACTTTTGTGTTGAAGAAGACCATACTTTCTGCTTCCATACCTTCAAGTTCTTGCTTCTCTAAACATGGCCGATACCGTCGGAAAGGTAAATTGCTCAATGGCTCGGCCAGAGATCTTCCAAGTCACTTGCAGGACGAGGCGAAGCTAACGACGTGCACGATAGACCATCACTTGCAAGGTAAATACCATCGTCACCCCGTTGCTAGCGCGGGAAAAATGACGTTTTGGTCGACCTACCCCGCGGTATCCCGCGACGCCGCCGCGGCGCGCCACGCTATGCGCCGCACCATGCTCCGATCGAGGATTTACCAAGAGTCGCGAAGCATTGGTCTACTGCATTGGGTATGGAAATGCTGATCTGTCGTTTTCTTTCTTCATAGGCTGCTATTGCCTGGGCTGCCGGTGAGCCTCTGTCTGTTGAGGATGTTGAAGTTGCTCCTCCCAAGGCGCATGAAGTCCGTATTCAGATTCACCATACTGGTGTCTGCCACACCGGTAAGTACAAAGCCTGTCAGAAGGTCATCGTGAGGAGAAGCATGATGATGATGATGATGATGATGATGATGATGATGATGATGATGACCAAGCTGGCAATGGCCACCCTGGTGATTGAAAATCAAGTTCACCTGAAAAAGACTGACTCTTTCAAACTCGCGGTGTAGATGCCTACACCTTGTCTGGAAAGGATCCCGAGGGTGCTTTCCCCATCGTCCTGGGTCACGAGGGCGCCGGTGTTGTCGAGTCGGTCGGAGAGGGTGTGACCTCTGTCAAGCCTGGTGACTATGTGATTGCTCTCTAGTAAGTCTTTCTTCTCAACCTGCGGCAGATGACGGGTTCTCTGTTGGGCCTTGGAATGGACTGGGACCGAGTGTTCCTCACCGGGCCATCGGCCAGGTCAAAGTCCCCTGAGCTGACTCGTTGCAATCTGCCACAGTACCCCCGAATGCCGAGAGTGCAAGTTCTGCAAGTCCGGCAAGACCAACCTGTGCGGTAAGATCCGTGCCACTCAGGGTAAGGGTGTCATGCCCGATGGTACCACTCGTTTCAAGGCTCGTGGTAAGGACATTCTACACTTCATGGGCACCTCCACCTTCTCTCAGTACACCGTCGTGGCCGATATCTCCGTCGTGGCCGTGACTCCCAAGATTGCCACTGACCGCGCTTGTCTGTTGGGCTGTGGTATCACCACCGGTTACGGTGCGGCCGTCGAGACCGCCAAGGTCGAGGAGGGCTCCAATGTGGCCGTCTTCGGTGTCGGTTGTGTCGGTCTCTCCGTCGTGCAGGGTGCCGTGCGCAACAAGGCTGGTATGATCATCGCGGTCGATGTCAATGACGGCAAGGAGGCCTGGGCCCGCAAGTTCGGTGCCACTCACTTTGTCAACCCCAGCAAGCTGCAGGGCAAGACCATCCAGGAGCACTTGATTGAGATGACGGATGGTGGCTGCGACTACACCTTCGACTGCACTGGTAATGTCGGGGTGATGCGTGCTGCCCTCGAGGCTTGCCACAAGGGTTGGGGTGAGAGCATCGTCATCGGTGTGGCAGCTGCTGGTCAGGAGATTTCCACTCGTCGTAAGTTTTTACAGGCCTCCCCCTTTCCCCCTCCGGTTTCAGGTGATTCTTCTCACGGGTTGATGATTCATATGGCTGACATGTTTCATACTTCTATAGCATTCCAATTGGTCACCGGTCGTGTGTGGAAGGGATGCGCCTTTGGTGGTATCAAGGGCCGCACCCAATTGCCCGGTCTTGTGGATGATTATCTGACGGGCAAGCTCAAGGTGGATGAGTTTATCACCCACCGTGAGCCATTGGCCAACATCAACAAGGCCTTTGAAGAGATGAAGGCCGGTGACTGTGTCCGCTGCGTAGTGAGCATGGATTAAAGGTGATGTGAGACTTCATGATATGGATGATGAATTTCCTAGATGTTAATTCTTTTTTTTTTTTTTTGGTGAAGAAAACAAAAGCTCTTTTAGCTTGCGGTTGAAGCACGTTCAAGAAATCGAGACCTTCTTTTTCCAATCTTGACGTACGAAGGGAGACAGAAAATCCAAAGGGGGCTGAGTCCGATAAGTATTTCCAGGTAGGGTACCTAGTGGACTGCACTGGACTGGATTGGACTAGTCACCAGACTAGTCTGAATCGGCGTATAAGACGAACGTGCAGGAAGCAGTGGCTCGCTTTCCATTCTTCTTGAAATTGAACCTTTACACCAGACTACTCTTGACGGCTCCCGTGAGTCGTGACCCGTCCACCTACAAGCTTATGCGGATACCCGACCCCTACGGGCCCTACCCATCTACATATTGTGTCTCGTCAGAGACACCACAACAATAGACTAGGCTAACTTCTTTGGAATATACGCTTAGACGCGGGGGAGGGGGGACATACGATAGTCTTCTCTAGTTCCCTTATTCCCTGGGGGGGGGAGAGAGGCGTTCTGCTATAGCGGTCTAAAGTACAAATCAAATGACCTCAGACCTACAGACCCCAACCTTACTTTTTTAGGACCGACGCTAGCCTATAATAGGGCTAGATTCGACAGATCTGGATCTGCCCACGATACTGGTGTACATCCGGCTGGAATGCTAGCCCGGTGTATAGACTAGACTATAGAATTCAAAATGTCATTGGCATCGAAGCCTCGGCCACCGTCGAGACGAATCGCGCGCAGATCTTGCGCATTGCGAAACAAACGGCCGCCAAGACCGGAGTTGATCGAAGAGGACTTTTCCGACGCGGACGTCATCCTGGATGATCGGTTCCACGCGGGCACGTATGGAAATTCCCGACAAGAGAAGCTGGGGGGCGATCGAGGATGCGGGTCGGATGGAGGCGTTCGTCACGGATCCCGTGGACGAGGGGAAGAGCTTTGCCGGCATGATCGACATGATTTGGAACGGGGAGACTCGGGGTGGAAACGTCTTGTATGCGCATTTGGGTGGGCAGTTCCGCAGTTGGCCTTGAATGCTGTTCATCAATTGGGGAGATCCAAGGTGTGAGAGTTAGTCGGTAGAGTATAGGTCCATCACAGACTCAGACTCACCCACAGAACCATGAGAATGCTATGATGGTTTGACCGTCTACTGGAAAGCAACACATCGACCAATATCCTACATACCTAGTAACCTACCACTACACTCTACAGTAATACAAAGTACCTGACAAACTATGGTGGACTGTCGAGTATAGACATCAGAGTCTAGCGAGTCCAGTCTTGAAGCTCTACGAGAAACTCACAACGCAGTCTCAAGAGAATGGCGAAGAGAGAAGAATCACGCACGTTCATTGTGAAACGAAGGTCAATAGTTGGTAGTAAGCGGCGTCAAACCACAGTCATCTGCAGCGGCGGGTCCATCATGGCCTAGAACAGCTTGTGCTCCAAAGTCATCTCCGACTCGGGCTGCAAACCAACACAGGCACGGAAGATGTTGATCAACGCCGAACGCTGCTTGCCCAGAGCATTGACCACGGGGGTACCGGGAGGGGTCAGAGGAGCCTTCAGCATGTAGCTGAGCACGCTCAGCACACTGTGGAAGCCCTTGTACTCGGCCGACTCGCTGTCGGCCTTCCAGCTGACACGGGTCATCATCTCGGCCAGCACCACCAGATCGATGATCAGGGGCGAAGCCAAGAGCGAGTCCTCGCAGATGTTGAACAAGCTGATGGTCTGGTGACCACCCATGAAGATCTCGGCGTAGTACTCATCCAGCGCACGCTTGTTGTCCCCGACGGCAGGCATGTACTTGATGACCACGGTGTGGTCCGGGTGCTCATCCTTCTCGTACAGGATGTGGTTGGCCGCCACCATGTCGTCCACCACGTTGGACTTGGAAATCTCCTTGGAGCGGAACTGCCGCTGGGAGCTCAGGTTCTTGCCATCGTTGTTACCCAGGTGGTTGTAGCTGGCAATCGAAGTAAGTTTGATGCCGGCGTTGATCAGGAAATCGACCAGGGCGGACTTCATCTTGGTCTGACCCGACTTGAAGTCGTCCCCACCGACGAAAGCGCCGTGCTGCTCGGCCAACTGCAGCGCACCGGGCACAAAGGTGTTCTGGGGCGAGCCGTTGATGAAGGGGGCATTCTCCAGGATACAGGCCACCGCAAAGACGGTGGAAGGAGAAACTTCCTCATGACCGTTCTTGATGGCGTTGAGCAAGTTGTCGGCAGTGTCGTTGACGCCGGGCACCAAGTCCGCATAGCGTTCAGTGTTGGCGGTCCACATGACAATGACCTTGTCGAGGCCATTCTGAGCCTTGAAGTCACTACCCAGATATCAGCACGAGGGACCAAGATGCATTTGGGGGGTTTCTGCCGTCGGATGCGAGACTCACCGAATGTCCTTGCGGAGGTGCTCGACGTGAGCCCACGAGGCCTTGGTACCCTCGACGACATTGTCGGCACGATCCTCCTGGTTGGCGGCGATAAAGTCCGGGTAGTAGATACTGGGCAGGGGCTTCATCTCGGCCATTTCCTTGCGGACCATGGCCTTGAGGCTGGGTTCCAGGACCTGAGCACGATCCATGGAGGCGGCCAGATCGAGGCTGCTGATGTCCCAACCCCCGATGACCAGGTCATTCGGGTGGACCATAGGGAGCAAGTCCCGGAAGGGGATGTTGATCTCCTCGCCGGTCTGGGCCTCGGTACCCAGCTTGACGGTGGAGCCCATGACGATGGAGCCATAGTAGTTGGCCTTCTGCTTGCCTTCCCGGGTCTCCCAAGCGAGACCGCGGCGGTTGGCAATGATACCCGCGGTCACGGTGGAACCGTTGTTGCCACCCCAGCCGACGAGCATCATCCCCACCTTGCCGACCTTCCGGTCGACCTTGAAGTGGTAGTCGATGGCCTTGGGGGTGGCCACCAACTTGTTGTCGGCGGTGCGGGTGATCTCGGTGGTCTGATAGGCATAGCGACTCTTGATCTCGTCGTCGGTGTAGACCACGTTGGGAGACTGCACGGTGAAGAGGGGAGCCGCCTCTGGGCGAGCCGACCCGTTCAAGGGAGCATCCGAGCTAGCGTGAGGAGCCATTGCGTTCACCAGAAAGCGGACGAAATAGCGGGAAGGGTGATTTGATGGGAGCTCTGGATGGATTTACTCTTTACTGCGAGAATAACGCGTAATCTGCCGCCCCTCCACGCTTGGAAGTGCGTCGGCCGTTGAACGGGTGGTGCCGCCTGGAGTGGAAGAGAGTATGTGAGTATACGGGTCGAATGAGATGGGGCTTGGACGACGAGAGAGCCCAATTGGAGTACGTGGGCTCCGGCGGTGATTTCATCGCCCTTCTGGATCTCCCAGGCATATGACGCCGGAGGCCAGTACGGTAGGGGGGAGGGGGACAGTGATGCATCTTCCAACGTGCCAGGACAAGACGGGACTTACGAGTTCAGCTGTGTGGCGAAAATTTTGACGGCTGTATGTGATCACTGTCTCGAGGAGAAGTGATCAAACCTACTGACAAGGCTTATACGGACCGAAGAAATGGGAAATGGGAAGGTTGATGATTTTGCAATCAGGTAGGAAGGACGGAAGCGATGGTGAAGCAGAGGCGAGGAAAGAGGGGAAAGAGGGAAGAAAACCAGCGTTGTGGGCAGGGTGGACAGGACCAGGTTAAATAGTGTCCAGTGTCAACAGTCCACTGGACTACTCGTCCGTCTTGGTTGAGGTATGCCTCGTGCCCAGTGCCCACCGGGTCTACATCTGCATTGACCGGTCTGTTCACTTCTCCGTCCCCTTTGTGCAGTGGCCCACCGGCATCGAGTGCATGATGATGATGGTCGAGTCCACGCCCGACTGGGAAGCTGGGAATCCACCGGAGACGAGCTCCGCCTGGGTGGGCCTCCGGACTTTGGCGGTGCGGGAGTACCTCATTCCTCACTGCAGTTACTCCGGGAGAAAAGTACCCAGTCATCCTACGTTCAACGTTGAACCAGCGGAGTCTTCTCTGGCTGGGGGGGGTTCTCTGCTTGCATCCCCAGTTCTGCCCGGAATTGGGCCCCTCTTTTTTTTTTTTTTTTTTTTTTTTTTACTGGGGTGGTTCGGTTTCCCCTCCTCCCCCCTTTTTTTGTTTTTTGGTTTTGAGATTTGAACGTTCTCTTGATCACTTTGGATCTTCCAATGGGTTCGATGCGAGGTGGATATCGTGTGCACAGGACCATTCTGCCTACATTCTCGTCCCTCGGTTAATTCTGCAAAAGGGTATCCGAGAGGTGAGAAACTGAGAAGGCTCACGGGCGTGCCCGCAAAACGAAAGGTGCCAAAGGTCCCCGCATGGAGTTGTTTACTAACTCCGCCGTGTCATGGCCCGTGGGTACTACAGTCGTACTGTACTACAGTACCAAAGGACTACAGTAGTACCCCCCTTGACCGGTACTCATGAATCTCGTACCTCCAAAGGGCGTAGTCCCTCGCACGTGAAAACAGTTAGACGAAGCGTGGGCGTGTCCAACTTCCCGTGCTTGACGTCTCCACCCTCATCAACCGACGAGACTTGTTCCGTCGGGTCATCCAGACTTTTCGTCGTCGGAAGAGTCTCTCGCGCCGGTCCATCGAACGCCTCTCGCTTCCTGGGCCAACAGACGCTTCGTTTTGCGGCGGTCATTGGTGACGACGGGCACGGGGTGTACTGGACTGAACAAGTGCATAGGATTAGGGATTGACTTACTGAGTTGGTAGATAGGCGGGAGGCTTGACTGGTCCCCCCTTTTTTTTCTTCCTTTTTTCTTCCTTTTTTCTTCCTTTTTTCTTCCTTTTTTCTTCCTTTTTTCTTCCTTTTTTCTTCCTTTTTTCTTCTTTTCCCCCATGCTGCTCTTCGCGACCTAAATCTATGAGCTATTTCACCATCGATCAAGTTGAGAAGAGTTGAACACGCAAACCACGGCTCACCCGCGTCGACGGTCGACCTCCTGACAGGACAGGACATCTCCGCCGTGGAACAGGATTATCTGGTGCCTGGCCCATCGTCAGTTTCAAAGCTCTCGCGGCACACATCGAGACGCGAACCAGCGGATGATCCGTGCTGGATGCATCCGCCCAACTCAAACCGTCGAGGCGCAATCGGGACTCGCACCAGTCCCCAGTCGCTGGTCGTCCGGGGACCCATCCGAGAGGACCGAGACACACGAGCCTGGACAGTCGTCCAGGGGTCAACCCGTCGGGCTGTTGTTCATTCGTTCCCAAGCAGACGAGCGGCATCTCGCGGGGCTGTCAGAAAGGCGGTCTGCAGGCTGCAGGCTGCAGGCTGCAGGCTGGACTGGTGCCGGCGGAATCCATGTCTGTTCTCAACCCGGGAAAGGGTCTTGAGCAGAACACGAACACGACGTTTCGAATTCAATATGTAGCCGCGTACTCATGAGCAGGAATCGCAGTCGCATGCATGAGCTGCGTACTCATGAGCAGGAATCGGAGTCGCATGCATGAAGCTATAGCAACTTGGCACCGGTATACTACTGGACAAGTGGACAGTTACTGACTAGTAGTACTGACTAGTTATACTCGGCTTTGTGCCCGAATCGAAAATCAAAATAGTTGCCTTCTAAGTGATTCTCATACTTTCGAGTTTCCACTCTCCCCGAGTAAGCCAACATGGTGGCCCTGACAAAGATATACTCCGTCTAGGAAGATCAAGTGCCACTGATCTGATGGGTATCTTTCGAAGCTCCCCGCATCATGGAATGACTCCAGTCTGAAAAGCATCATCTGTCCACACCTCATAAGGCTGGACTTGGTCTACTACCTCAGAAGGTACTGTACCCTACCTTAATCCAAATCGTACACTACCTAATTCAGCCCACTTCCAACGGATCATACCAACACTGAACACTCAACGAGCAGCGCGACCAGAACAGGACCAGCGACCAGGCATCACTGTGACATGGAAAAACAGCCCTGCATATCACATTCGATCATGAACACTACATCCCCGACACAGTTCATAAAATGCCGGAGTTGACGATTTCCAATCCCTCTCACGCCAATCCCAATTTGCTTCTCCTCGATCTTATGGCTTCCGATCCCGCCCAAAAAAAAAAGAAATCAATTTTTTTATCAATTAATGTTTTACCCCCCCTCTTTGCAGATCTTTCCTGGAGGACAAATTTCTTGATCGCCGTCATGGTGGCTGCCGCTATTCGCCCGATATCCCTTCGTCTATTCGTGCTGGTCCTGACTCCATTTAGCCGGGTGTCCTTAGGTTGGCCACCTCGCTAGCCTGGGTTTACTTGCAGGCCTGCTCATTCCCCAACTTCTGCCCCAGTTCTCCAAACAAGATCCCGGTGTCTCGTTCCTCACGCGCCAACGCGAACCGACCACCAACGAACCAGCCGAACAGCCCAACCCCGAAGATGCACCCACCGAAACAATGATAGCCACCCCGACAAGCCCATGCGGCGCAGACGCCTGCACCAAGCCAGGAACCCTCGCATGCTCGAGCTGCGAAAAGCCCAAACCCCAATACTGCAGCGCCGCATGCCAAAAACAACCCTGAGAGACGCATAAGCGCCACTGCGCCGGAGCCCAAATGTACAATTGCTTCATTATCCGCGCGGCTCCGCCTACGGGGAACACCAACCCCGCAGATCGCATTGAGAAATTCTCCTTGCAGGCCTACGGCACCGAACTGGGCGAAATGGCAAAGTTGAGGCGGAAACGGAGCTAGCCCGGTGCTCATGAAGCGGGCAAATTCTATTCTCATCAGCCGAGGGTGGATAACTGGTACTACTACTGTACTACATGTACAAGGTCCTCGGGACGGGGCTTGCCCGTGAACGATCATGTGACGCGATGCGCGCAGAATCGGGAGGTGATCCGTGGTGATGTTGCGGTGATTAGACCTGGTCCAGAGGACTCTGATGCTTACGAGGAGGTTTTTCACCAAGACCCATCTTGCAAAGACGTTGTTTTTACTATCAAACCGAGGACTCTCGGACTGTCTTTGAGGTACGAGAGCGGTCCCGAATCTCGAAACGAATCGGGTTCCCGCCGGGTTTCTTAGATGGAGTCCCTCATATCACGATCTGACTTGTCAGATACAAAACAGGCTGACGCCTATCAGTCACGACGTAGGTCCCCTAAGATGTATATTACTCGGGAAACTGCCGAGAAAAAAAAATAATTCAATGAATATAGATCGCTAAAAAGCAAGATTCGAATACATTTCATGAAATCATGAAAAATGTATGGGCCTTGCATTGACCATCCTTGGCCATATCATCCGACGTAGATCTACGATTATAACAACCAAAGCTCTTGTCTTGGGGAAAGAACGCCATGGGACATGTGCCGCCGAAGCTCGCTGACAAGACTACACCAGACAGGTAACATGTATGGCCATCACGGAGCCTGATCAGAGTGCCTTACTCCGGAATTCGCAACACCACACGACCCTCAATCTCGGAATTCTCAAGACGCTTCAGAACGTCCACAATGTCTTCGAGATCATAGACATCGATTCGAGCCATGATATCGCCCGCCACCGCCATTTCCATCAGTTCGTTCATCTCCTCTTTGCTTCCGGCCGAGTTGCCAATAATAGTCAGACCTATCAACACAGATCGTCAACTTCAGCACGCCTCGGGGCCAGATATAAGTATTCAAGAGAACTGTGGAAACAGTGCTCTGATCATTTGAAATTCCACTGCACTCACCTTTCACAATCATTTCGAACGGCGTAGCCGGTAGTCGAAATGGAGAATTCGGAATCCCCACGCACACAAGGGTCCCCAGACGACGAAGCATCTGCATGCTCTGTTCGTAGGCCTTTTCACCATTGGCGGTGCAGATGACGGCATGTGCACCCAGCCCAGACGTGGCCTTTTGAACGGCTTCGACAATGTCCACTTGTCTAAAGTCGAGGAATTGGGAGGCTCCGAGCTCGAGACACAATTTGCGCTTTTTTTCGCCGCTGTAATGGTATCGTGGTGTGAGTTTGGTGGAGGTGGAGGTGGTCCATCATACAAGCAGAGGATTTGCATCTTGGGAAGGGGTTCGGAGGATGGAGACTGGGACCTGGCTTTCCACTGACCTGTCAATAGCGAGTACCCCGAGTCCTTTCTTTGCTGCAATTTGAACGCCCCTTTTGATGTTCATGGAGCGTGCGGTTAGTAGACAGCACATGAGCATGGAGCAAGAACTCCTTGTTCTCAGCTTACATGTGTCCCAGTCCCCCGCCTGCTCCTAGAATCACAATAAAGTCACCTGGGCGTGCTTTTGTCTTCTTGATCGATGAGTACATGGCAATGCCAGCTGGATGAAATGAGCATACTCAGGCGGAACAACAAAACAATATCCCAATACGAGGTCTTACCGCATAGAAGGGGAGCCGCTGTGTCAGGAGATAGTTCTGCTGGGATTTTTGTAGCATGCACGGCTGGCGTGACGATGTATTCTATAAATGAGGATGCATTTCAGCATTCCTTATCTCATTGATCTGGGGCTTTTGCACGTAGCATACGCTGAAATGTTCCAGGAACATTCTGAACAAGAACAGATTAGCTCGTCTGAATATCAGAAAACCGTAATGACCAACACGACCTAGCGTTTCTAACAGCCAGTAGATGAAACCAGGGCTGCGATTGTGGTGGTTTGCAAAGCATCCGATACAGAGGTGTCTGTGGCCCAAGGACTTACTGCTCCAGCATTCTTCTGAAGTGGACAAGAACTGTGATTTATCTCACAGATCTCGCAGCTCAGACAAGAACTGTATAGCCATCTAGTATGTATCGCAGTCAACAACTGTCTGAGTCTTGCAACGTAGAATTGGATAAACTCACCGAATTCCCAACCTCTGGCCAATCCATTCCTCCTCGTTCAAGTTACCTCCAACTAGACAGAAATACCATGTTTAGTACCAAGATGCGAAAGCCTGGGCCTCTTTCATGGAATCTATCATGGTCGAACGACATCCATATTCTCGTCTGCAATGTCTTCCTCACCTGATACTACCTTGCCCACTCCTTCATGGCCCGCAACATCAGTCAACATTGGAGTGTCACCACGAATGCTGTGGACATCACTGTGGCAGACTCCAGAATACTCCAACTTGACAAGAACCTCTCCATCACCTGGCTTGGGAACCGGGTGCGTCTTGCTAATAGTAACAGTGAGAGACCCATCTGGCCCCGAAGGTGGAATAGCGGCTGCAATCTGAGTAGACGGGATAGTCATATTGCGTACGGAGAGAAGCTCAGTCCGTGTTTGAAGAGCAAATTTTTTGCACGCTGAAAGCTAGCACAACGAGTGTTTTCCGCGGAAATTGACGAAGCAATAAAGATAAGTAAAAGTCAAAAACGCAGGAATTGTTATTCCTCGTTGAAGCACTAGGATCAAATCCTTGGTCCCATCTACATGCGGCAGAATGCGGGGGTTACATGGCGCTTATCTTTTGCAGGGCAAGATAACCGAATATCAGCCCATAGCCCCATTATAGTGACCACTCAAGATAAAAGCCTCTGTGACCATGTTCGAAAGAGCGACTCGCCTCTTATAGTAGAGGCTATATCTTCCTTATAAGCGTGATTATGAACATAGCGCTTAGGACCTGCCATACCGGCATTTGTATTAATTACCCTGTTCGTCATCTCTTATCCACAAATAAAAACACAATAGCGATATAAGACAAGGTCTTTGTTCGTCCGATACAAAGACGAATGGAAAAAGTGACACGGCTCCTCAGAATGCAGCAAGAACACATGCGCCGAACCATAAGCGGCGTGGAGTGCAAAGGTATATCAAAATGGAAAATCAGGAGAAACTCTAGAGCGAAGGGAACCAAACCCCTTACGCGTTCTCAGCTTCAATCGTTTGCTAGCGAAAGTGATACGAATCAGTGGGTGCCCATTTGAAAACGACACGAGAGGCAGAGTCATAGGACCCCTTTGAGAGTACGGGAAAGACATACCACGAGCCAATCCATGCCTTCATTGATACCCTTGCCGTCAATTGCGGAACAAGCCACAATACTCCAGTTCCGGTCTCGAAGTTCACCTAGCTTCAAGGCCTCGGAGATTTCTCCGGCACCTTTGGCTCCTGGCTGGTCTTGCTTGTTGGCAAAGACCAGCAGCGCAGCATCTCGTAGTTCTTCTTCGTTCAGCATAGCTGCTAGCTCGTCCGCCGCAGTCCCAAGTCGCTCGATATCTGTTGAGTCGATGACGAAGATGACGGCAGCTGTGTTGGCATAGTAACACCGCCAATATGGGCGAATCGATGTCTGACCACCAAGATCCTAGCATGAAAGGCCTTATTACAACCAGTTCAAAAGACGGGTTCGAACCATTGCAATCCGCAGGGACTTACCCAAACATTCAGGTTCAAGTTTTTGTATGTAACTGACTCGACGTTGAATCCAATTGTCGGTATAGTTGTGACAACCTCGCCAATCTGCATACACACTAATTAGTCATGATATTGGGAAAGTAATTCACTTGGACTTCACGCGGAATGTTGACTGTAACTCTTACCTTCAGCCTGTAGAGAAGAGTTGTCTTTCCAGCATTGTCCTACACCCACGAGAACACTGTTAGCTCTTTCTCTGCGTCTCGCATGGTCGCCAAAGCTCCGACATTCTCCTGACAAGGGTCATAGGATGCGTACAAGGCCGAGAATCAAAATCCGAATCTCCTTCTTCGACCAGACAAGGGACCAAAGGCGTGATAAAGAGCCACCCATCTTCGAGCCGTGTAAAAGTTCCTTTCGAGAAATGTCGCGATCGCGAAGCGCGGGGAATCGACGTCAACACTGAGTGCAGGGTATAGCTCTCGCTCGTCTCAAATTGAGCGATACTGCTGTGACGGAGAGGTGGGGGAGGGGAAGTTCAGGCTGCGTATCGAGAGATGGTAACAATGTCACTTTCGCACTGGAAACAAATCACGCAGCCAACCTGACATATGAGTGCTGCGCAGGTGGCGATCTACTTGCCCGTAGACCCTTTGCCTGTGAGCTCGGGCGGTGAATCGGAGACACGATCAACTAGCGCCGCTATTCATGGATAAGACCTCGCGCCTCCCGGCTCCAACAACCCAAATTCAATTCAATAGAGCATCACTCTCCTTGTCCCTGTTGAGGTGACGAAAAGTGTGGCTGTTTCACGAAAACTTTCAATTTCCCCGTGACAACGTCAACGAGACCATTCGACAACGATCAATATTCGAATCCTCGCCGGCGCATTTCGCTCGCCGCGGACCATTAGCTGGGGGCACGCTTGAATAACCATCAATAGCAGCAAGTCGCTCAAGATGGTGGGCAAGAAATCGGGCAAGGCCCTTCGCGACGAAGGTAGGCAAGCTTGTCGCATTCTGTCTGCGAGTCAATATTCTGCGCGAAATATACCTAAACAACGTCCATTTAGGCCTGGAGCGAACAGACAACAATATGCCTCTGACGAACTGGCCGCAGGTCGCACCCATCAACCAAAAAAACTACTACACGTGAGTTTCCGAGCCAGTTTGTTCGTGGTGTTGAGCTGCCCCACGAGATATGGCTTGCCTTATCCCCCCAGTGCCCAGTGCCCAGTGCTGATTGCTTTGTTATTGCTAGCGAATATCTCAAGAGAGACGATCAGTTCCTTGCCTTTCGCCTGGCCAACGAAGAAGCGCGCACCAAGATGACCAAAAAAGCCAAAGATCGTGACCGCGCCCGTGCGATGGACAAGTCGACCGCCAACGACGAAGCGGACGCAGAAGTTGACGCCGATGCTGACGAAGATGCAAACTCCGAAGATGAAGACGACACAGAAACTGAAGCTGCAGGATCTAAAGTAATCGTGATTCACGTGGGCAGTCAAAATCTGCGGATCGGGCTATCGAGCGATGCGTTGCCAAAGACCATGCCTATGGTAATCGCGAGAAAGTCTCAAATCAACGAAAGCGACGAGCGAGAAGAGCCGAAGCCGAAGAGACTAAAGCGAGATGATGGAACTGACGAAGATCCCGAGCGAGCATTTGGTGAAGAGGTAAGTTCCTCATGTAAATCTTGTCCCGCGCAGGTCCCAGTCTTGCTTACTCCAACATAATTGTGACAGTGGTCCTCTCATTACACCAAAATGTCGGCAGACCTCAAAGCCCGTATGAAGGCGAACAAGAGACGCATGCTGCCCAACCCAAAGGAGGGTGTTATCAACTTCAATCGCAAACAAACGCCGGATTCAATCTCAGAGCATAACGATCCCGAGCGAGTTGATTGGACAGAACTTGAGAACCCTGCGCCAGAGTACATTGTTGGTCAACCCGCCTTAAGGATTCCCGATGCCTCCAAGCCCCGCTACAAGATCAGCTGGCCCATTCAGTATGGATGGTGCAATGAGCGTGACTACAACAGCAAGCGAATGCTCTTCACTGATATCTCTGTCATTATCGAAGAGGCCATCAAGACTCAACTGGGGCTTACTCGAAAGAAAGAGTGGTCGCAGTACTCCTGTGTCTTCGTCATTCCTGATCTGTATGAAAAGTCATACGTCACACAGATTCTGGAGATGCTGATGCGCGAATTCTCGTTCGCTCGCGTCTGCTTCATTCAAGAAAGCTTGGCCGCGACCTTTGGTGCTGGATTTACTTCCGCTTGTGTTGTTGACATCGGAGCGCAAAAGACGTCGATCTGCTGCGTAGAGGAAGGCATGTGCATCGAGAACTCCCGAGTCAATCTGAAGATGGGCGGAAACGATGTGACGGAAACCTTTATCAAAATGATGCTGCACGACTACTTCCCATATTACGACATTAACCTATGGCGACGATACGATTATCTCCTGGCCGAGGAGTTGAAGAAGAACATCTGCACCCTCGATGAGGCTAAAGTCTCCCCTCAGGCATATGACCTCCACCTCCGCGTTTCGGGTCATGACACGCAAAAGCACAATTTCAAGGTCTTCGACGAAGGCCACTTGGCGCCAATGGGCTTCTTTGAGCCCACAATCTTCGACAACCAAATGAAGCTCACAGGACGACGAAAATTGATTGAAAGATCCACGGACATCTACGACGGCCAGCCTAACGATCCTACTTCCGCCGCCCAATCCGAGATTATGACAGCTCTTGCGCCTCCGCTCGCTCCCAATGAGAAGATGAATGGAGAGTCCGAAAGTCAAGCTGCTCCAGCTCGCCCAGCGCTTGGTCGGATTCAGGAGCAAGATGCCACTCCGCGGTCCTCGGTCGCCGGATCTCCTGCGCCGGAGAACGCCGGAACTCCTCAGGCTGGCGGAACCACCGCGCCCGCTTCTGTACCGACGACTCAGTCCGCCCGTGATCCTGTCGAATACCGAGATGATATTCTACCTATCTTCCCTCTCGACAATGCCATTCTGACCTCTATCGCCCATGCCGCTCGCTCGGATGAGAAAAAGATGCGTGATTTTATTGGTGGTATCATGGTGGTTGGAGGTGGAAGCCTCACGAACGAACTACATGCTTTCCTTGAGGCACGATTGAAGGCTCTTCGCCCCGGTTTCTTGAAAGAGATCATGATCGGCGTGCCGCCTCGTGACTTGGATGCCCAGGTGGTCGTTTGGAAGGGTGCAAGCATCTTCGGTAAACTGGATAACACGAATGACAGCTGGATCGGCCAGCTTGAATACGATCGACTGGGCCATCGTCTACTGACGCACAAGTGCATGTGGGCCTATTAGACTTTTGGAACAAGTCTACAACTACAGGTACATTTCGTACCCACGCACTTATCAGGCTTTGATTAAGAGACTTGGTGTTCAGGTGCAATATTGGAGGGATAGCGTTTCATCGATATATTCAATTAATTGTGGTCTCTCATGTCACCGGCGTTTTCGCATCACATGTCTGTCTTCTGTGGTATTACCTTGGAGTGCTGTCTCAACTTTGACTCCGCTCATCACTCATCGAAAGCCTACCTAAGGTGCTGACAAAGTTGACTTGAGATGAATTGCCCTCCGAATTACTGCAGTGGGAGAGGGCTTCATTACGTAAAGGAAGGCAGCAAAGAGACGAGAGCAACAGATCGAATCAGAGCAACGCCCATTTAATTAAACAATTCGATTCTGCTCAATAGGCGATCAAGTAAACAGAGGCAACTTCCGTCAATCCAATTGTGACTGAAAGTGGTTCAATGGTTTCATTCTCCCACAGTGCTAAAGACCTTGGTCCACATGTTAAGCAACGAGGCGGCCTGACACGGCAAAAAAAGGGCTTGGACAAACACTTCGGTCCGTCAACGAGCATCTCGTAGGCGGAGCGCACCGCGGTATAGGGACCAGAGGACCCCAAACACTTTGGCCGCATCCAACTTTTCCTCTCACGCTTTCCAACTCTTTTTTCTCTTACAATATCCCTTTTTGGCCCTTATTACCAAAACAACACGAATCGCAGCGAGCCGACCTCGAGTTTTCCATCCTTGCGACTGATCTTTCTCACTTCCTTGGTAAGTCTGCGACAATGGAGCTTCGCGCGAGAATGGATAGCTGATACTTGCTCTACTAGCTGAAGGTTCTGATACATCTTCGTGCGCATTCTTTCTATAGGCTCAGAACCGTACTCATTCAAAACTTGCCGTGATGTCGTCCAAATCTCGGGAGGACAAGTCCTCCGGCGGCTTCCATCAGGATTATATTGCGTCCCTCCGTTATCGCAATGATCTTCCTCCGCCTCACATGCCCCCAAAGCTTCTCGACATTCCTCACGATGGTCTCCACCGCTTCATCACTCCAGAGTTTGCCTTCAATCTCGCGCGGCGAGAGGAGCCGAACGTTGACGTGGACGCGGAGGGTGGCATGCCCATTGACCTTGTTGGTGTACCAGGACTGCACTTGGGAGATGAGAGTGGTGAGTCTATGTGCCAAAGAACGCAGTATTCTAGTGATGAAGTTTAATACTAAGATCATCCCAGCTATCATGGCCCCCGAGCACCCTCAACCCTTGGACCCCGCCGACCTTCCGCTTCTCATGACGCTCGAGCAACTCCGCAACCCGGCTCCTAGAAACACGAACGTCAGCTTCCTGCGCCGTACCCAGCACATTTCCGTCGATCGTACTACAACTCCAGGCGGTGGTGTGCCTGGCAAACCCTTGAAGAGCCGATTTGTGAAGAAGACAAAGGTCTCCGTGGAAGACCCGAAACATATCAAAAAGTTCATCATGAAGGGTTTCGATCTTGCCTATCCTCATACCAAGCACGTTGGTGAAGACTCAGAAAGCCAAGTCAAGGGTCTCTCCTCGACCAAGGCGGAATTCGATGCATGGGAACGTCCAGTCCATCCAGACAATCCGAGACTGAAGCCAGTCGGTGTTTACCCGCTCATGCCTGACTTGTCTGGCTACCCTGATCCCGGTGGTTTCGTTCAATTCAAATTCGACAAGGCTCCAGTGCCGGCTGTGGGAGGCAAACGTGACAAGCGCATGGATGTGGCTTTGCTCCACCCATCGGCACCTGAAGAGCGCGTTTGTCAAGAGCACGCGTCCAAGCAGGCTCTTCACAAGTCCAATCCCGAGCTCCACCCTGACCCCGGTCCTGTTCCCTTCGACTATGACCTTCACTTGCCCGAAAAGATGGAGCATGTCAAGCAGCTCCTGGCAAGCATGGATCTGAAGAACCCCGATAGGGATAACGAGGATCTCTACACCCACGAGAGCGCGGAGGGCACAAAGTACCACCGATTCGATCGCGAGCGCACCTTTGCGACCAGCGCTCAAGTTCTCAATACCGATCCCAAGCTGAGAGACATTGCTCTCACGCTGTACAAGGCGGAGGAAGGCGACAGCAAGCAGCAGGCCGCATACTACTATCCCATCATCAGCAAGGTGCGGCTAAAGCTTGAACGTGCTCGCACAATTGCCCAAGTTGGTCTTGCACCTGCCGGGTCGCAGTTGCCGGAGGAAAAGATCGACCAATTGCACATCACTGTCCGCGACCCTGACGAGGCCGAGAACTACAAACGGTCTCTGCATCGCGCGAATGTGGACCCCAAGTTCGCGCGGACCTTGCCACCACCTCCTACCCAGGAAGTTCCCCAGGAACATGGGGATGCCGAAGATGATGATACCCGGATGAGCGACGATTGAAGCGCAAGCCGCATCACCTCTAATCATGAAGATCTTATTTGCGACGCATCGATTGTCTCGAGCAGAATATTTGGAGCTTGGCGTACGGCGATGAGAAAGGGCTCGATGTACTTTAATTCAATTGAAGCGTACCTAACTGATGAATGCAGGGAGCCCCAAATATGACCACAAGCGCTGTATAAATAGACTGATGCCGTCAGAGAGTATGAATATGAGACACCTCCTCAGTCGAGCTCAAGGTACCGAGAGAATTCCCGAGCAAATTACTCCGCAGTATGTACGACAAGCGATCTGACATGATTGCGAGGCGTACTCAAGACGTGCAGCAAGCCTTTTAGTCGAAGCTGATGGATCTTGAGTCCAGCATCTTCATCATGCCGTACATGTCCTTACAGTACAAATCCCACATGGAATTGTTTGGAACCCTGTTTTCGATCACCGCCGTTGCAAAGGTTGATATTTGAATGGGTGACTCTTCAAGGGCTGTTAGGGTATTCTCTCCCTGCTTTTGCGGGCACCTGTCCATCCCATCCCCGGTTCCACTGAATTGGCTGCGGTCAGAGTGACTGCACTGCGTTTGAGGCGACCGCCTTGAACTGCAAGAATTATTATTCACCGCCTAATATTTGGGCTAAGCGGTGGCTACCACACTCCGTAGTATAGCAAAGCATCTACTCGAGCAGGTGATTTTGCGTCGCATTGATTTCGTCAAATGTAATTGCTCTGATGATGTTTAGCTTACCGCTTGCTGCCATCATAAGTGATCCAGTATGGGCATGTTTTCGTGCGGCACCTGTCAGCCATTGTAGTCAAGTTTTGTAGTCTTCCCGACACTCGGGTTCTCTCGCTATCGGCCTCCGCAATTTTGATTCAGCGGAACACTCTCGAGTCTCGACTAATCTCCGAGCCAACTTCCTGCCGACGTGCTACCTACAATAGGACCCCCCAAATTGAGCGCATAGAGACTGCGTTGAGTCTCTGATGTCCTCAATGTCTGCTTCCATGGTTTGGCGCACCGGTCTTCGGGCTCGCGCCGCCCCAACCTCGCGCCTGTCCTCGCGGCCCACGTCGCTGCTCCCCAAGCGCTTTCCTGCTGCCGTCCGATACGCTTCGGAATCAGCACCTGTGCAACAAGCAGTTTCGGAAACGGTGAAGCAGACATCAAAGGAAGCTCCCAAGAAAGTGGCTCGTGGCTCACGCAAGCTTCTGTACGGCACTTCCTTGGCCACCATCCTGTTTGTCGGCTACATCTACGGGACAGACACGAGGGCGAGCGTCCACCGTTACCTCGTTGTTCCTCTCATTCGCCAACTTTACCCAGATGCAGAGGATGCGCATCACATTGGCGTGGATATTCTGAAAGTCCTCTATCAGTATGGCCTTCACCCTCGCGAGCGAGGCAACCCAGACAAGGATGGCGCATTGGCTACCGAGGTAGGACGATAGGACGGTATTCGGATCAGCAACTGAAGCAATTGACCTTTGACTGACCTTTTGGTGTCTCATCCTTGGTATGGATAGGTCTTCGGTTACACCCTCGCCAACCCCATTGGCATCTCTGCCGGTCTTGATAAGCATGCCGACATTCCCGACGCGCTGCTCGATCTCGGCCCCGCCGTTGTCGAAGTCGGCGGCACCACTCCCTTGCCGCAGGATGGCAATCCCAAGCCCCGTGTCTTCCGTATCCCCTCACAACATGGCATGATTAACCGCTATGGCCTGAACTCCAAGGGCGCAGACCACATGGCCGCCGTTCTCAACCAGCGTGTCCGCGACTTTGCCTACGCTGCTGGATTCGGGGAGCATGAGCTCGCGGAGCAGCGTGTCCTGGACGGCGAGGCCAATGTTCCCCCCGGTAGTCTTGTCCCTGGTAAACTGCTTGCAGTGCAAGTTGCCAAGAACAAGCTTACTCCCGATGGGGACATCGATGCCATTACCCGGGACTATGTCTACTGCGTGGAACGTGTCGCCCGCTACGCCGATATCGTCGTTGTCAATGTCTCCAGCCCCAATACTCCCGGTCTCCGTGACCTGCAGGCTGCTGGACCCCTTACCAAAATTTTGACCGGGGTTGTGAGTGCGGCCAAGAACGTTGAGCGCAAGACGAAGCCATATGTCATGGTCAAGGTGAGCCCGGACGAGGACTCAGACGAGCAAATGACTGGCATCTGTGAAGCGGTGTGGAAATCCGGCGTTGATGGTGTAATTGTTGGCAACACGACCAACCGTCGACCTGGTGCGCTTCCTGAAGGGTATGATCTGACCGAGAAAGAGCAACAAACCATGAGGGAGATTGGTGGCTATTCGGGTCCCCAGCTCTTTGGTCGTCTCGTCTCGCTTGTTGGCCGTTACCGGAAGATGTTGGACCAGGGACCTCCGTCCGGTACTGGACCTGACGGCGAAGACACGCCCATGAGCCAGACGGGCCAGCCCCGCAAGGTGCTCTTTGCCTCTGGCGGCATTACCACCGGACAACAGGCGCGCCAGGTGCTGGACGCCGGGGCCTCTGTGGCTATGATGTACACAGGCATCGTATATGGTGGCGTGGGAACCGTGACACGAGTAAAGCAGGAGCTTCGTGATGAAGTGGCGAAGAAATAGGTAGATTTCGCATAACTTCAAACTTGATACGTGCTCAAACATGAAAAGTGAAGGTTTAGACGAGCGATCGTTTGTGATTCTTGGGCAAAAATTGCCTCCCATTCTACACGTGGATGTTTATACAAATATCAGACGGGCATGGAATTCCAGCCTTTGCTACATAGTCCACCTGGCATGGACCAGAGCTACACCTGATATTCTACAATTGCGCGGGAAACAACTACACACAGCCTGCCAAAGACAGACTAGCCACTGGTTCAAATGCAATTTCAGAAAACATGACATCTTTGATTGTCAAATGCTTTCTATAAACATCCGATTTTTCCCGCCTAAGTTGCCCGAGGGTGATGAGAGCTCCTAGGTACTACACGTACTACAGTTCAGCCGAGGCTGAAAGCTACTCTGAATCAGTCAGTAGACATCCAAATGAGCATTAAGCTACTGGGTAGCAGTTCTGAGATAATCAGGAGTGGATCTCGGAGTTGCTGCGAGGATTGTAGGTCTCCTTTTTCTCTATCAGCATGGCGCTGGGTAGGCTATTAGTACTTGTTTGTATGGCATGGGATACTGCCGCCTCACCGCTTCCTATAGCTTAGGTAGAATCTCTCCCCCTTAGCAATCTTACTCCTTATCCCTCTCTCACATCGATACTGCTACCCCTACCGTAGCCGTATCTTATCAGGTTATGAGCCCTGTCTGGCGCGAAAAGTGAGGTTTTTTACACTTCCTCACTGCCTAGGCACTAACTTGTAAAATAACCGATTTAATACACTATATACGCAGCTTCGGCGTATAGCTAATCCCTAAGGCGTAAAGCCGCCTAGGCCTCCGGGCCCTACGTACCGGTGTATAACGGCGAACCGGCGCTTATAAAAATTAAAAATACTAAAAATTCCTACTAGCTATACGTAGCTACCGATCCGCAGAGGATTCTTCGAGAGATCTATAATCGAATTAATACCTTCGATTAGTATTAACTATAATATACTATATTCGGTTAATTTGAGCGTAAAAAAGCGTATTATTTTAAGTATAATAAACGCCTAAGAAACAGCCGAAATAGATTATTTCTGTTATACGCGAGAATGGAAAAGCTTTAGAAGGACTCAGAAACTTTCATTCAACTTGGCTGCGTGGTATCAAGAATCTCAAAGGCTAAAGAGGAGAAAAAGAAAAGGGAAGAGGCTACAGTCCATCCTAAGTTTTGAGATAGTACGCGTGGTATACGTAGTAGGCGTAGCTCACGCCCTCTATCCTCCTATATCCTATCCTTATCCTAAGTTAGTCCTACTATACTTATAATATTACCCCCTCCTTTAAAGGACTAGCCCTCTAGGTCTTTAAATTCTAGTACTAGTAGCGTTAGTTCTATATCGTTTAATTAGCCTATTTATCGTCGTCCTTATAGTCGTTATTAATTTTATCCTTTAGCGCTATCTTAGCCTAATTTTATAGCCTCTTCGGTAGTCCCGGCTAATCAGGATACTCCCTATAGAATTCTATAATCCTTTCTAGTAAATTTTTAAAATTCCTCGCGGGATACTAGGTATCGTTATATTTATACCCTTTCTACTTTACTTAATACTATAACTTTCGGTACCGTAGCTATACTACGAGGATCTTCTCGACTTCCTATTCCTACTCGCCTTTAATAATCTCTAGCGGTAGTTCCGGATCCGGTAGTTAGTCTTATAGCGATTCCGATTTTAATACTTTTCGTAGCTTATCTAGTAAGAATATCGGATATATCTTTATAGAGTCCGGTAGTTCGATCTTATACGTATTTCCTATCTTCTCGAGAATCTTAAAGGGTCCGTATACCTAGTAAGCTAATTTATAGCTAGATTAAGGAGTTTTCTAATTTTTCGAAGTTATATAGACTATATCTCTAATACCGAAATCTTTAGGTCTACGATATCGATTAGCGTATTTCTTATACTATTCCTAAGCTATAGTTACTTATTATTAGACTTATTCCTAAATCTCTTTTAGGTTACTTATATAGTCTTATACTATTTAAACTTCCTCTAAAGGATCCTCTTAATAAAGTCGAGATCGAATATATTATTACTAATTAAGCTTCTTTAGCGTCTCCTAGTCGAATAATACTCTAGGTTTATAACCTCTTTCTATATAAAAGAGTAAGATACTAGTTATCTCCTATAGTAGTACTATAATAGCGAAATCTACTATTATAAGATAGTCGGACTAGTCGTCTTAATAATAACTTATAAAGGGCTATAGGCGTTAAGCTATATATTAATTCGTAATCTTACTTTAACTATCGGTTTATAGGTAGTACGCTATTAATAGTTTCTTCTTAATATTAAGAATTCTATAGAATTCTATCTAAAATTCGGATATAAACTAGCCTCTATAGTCTAAGATAATCGAATCTAGTATCCTAGTCTAGCGATAAATATAGTTAATAAAGATCCGGATAGTCCTTTTTATATCGATATCCTTATAGTAGGAGATAGAGATTAGTCGCTGTATTAGTCGATTAATAAAGACTATAACTATATTATAGCTATATTTATCGTAAGGATAGGAGCGGTAATCTATAGTAATATACTACTATAGCCGGCCGGGAATCGGAAGTAGTTTTAACTTACTAGGTATTTTATTCTTCTATATCTTAGTTCGCTTATATAATTAGTAGTTATTAATATATTATCTTATATCCTAACAGAGCTCCGGCTAGTAGTATTATAAAGTAGTTATTCGATATATTTTATCTTAACTAGGATAGATAGTTAATAGTTAATAGTAGATCTTATTAAGTAATCTTATATATAAATTACTATCCTCGGGAACTATAAGTTAAGTTCCCTCCTAGAGGAGATAATCTTATCTTAATAACTACTTACTTAAATTATCTTTCGCGTTCTCCCGATACTATTCGAGGCTTTTATAATTCTTATTCGCTTAAAGAATTCGTTCGATAATATTATTTTAGACTATATTAACCGATAAGACTATAGGATAGACTTCTCTCTCGAGTTTCTTTCTTAGGATTATAATTTATTCGGGCTAGTCCTTTATCTTTAATATCTTCTCTTTCCTTAATAGTATATCCGTAACTATATTACTCCTACTATTACGATATTTAATAATAAAATAGTATCGCGATAGTATCTCGGCCTAATATACTTAATAAGTATTAAGCTTCTTATCTATTATAAAGTATTATAAGAAGTAATAATCTATCTAGATTTTGAAGGATTAAACTTATTATAGACCCTCTAGTTCCGCCCGCTATTCCTTAAGTACTTTAATAATACCTAATATTTCCTTATTATATATATTATATTTTCGTTAACCTTAATCTATCGTCTTCGAAAAGAAAGCTACTAGATACTATATCCTATTAGTTTCCTAGGATAGTACTATACCTAAGTAACTATCGGAAGTATCTATCTCTAGGTATATAGGTATATTCGGATTATAGTAGTTTAATACTAGAGTAGAACTTAAACTTATTTTTAACGTTTTAAATATAGATTAGTAGTCCTAGTTCTATATAAAAGGCGTTTCCTTCCTAGTAAGATAGTAGAGTAGTTTCGCGATACGGCTATAATTTCTAATAAATCTCTGGTAGAAGTTATATATATCTAAGAAAGATTATACTCCTCTAATAGTCTCCGGGGCTATCTATACTATAATTATATCTACCTTTACTAGATTAACTCTAATTCCTTATACGCTAATAATAAAGCTAAGGAATTTAGTCGCTTATATATAAAATTCGTATTTATATAATACTACTTATAAGTCTACTTTTCGTAACCGTTATAATACTATCTTTATATATACTTAGTACTATCTTAAGTCGCTCTCGGTATAGATTAGAATATTATCTATAAATATAGTATAGAAATTATTAAGATAATCTCCTAAAGCCTAGTTAATATAATATTAGAATATAGCCGGTCTGTTAGTTAATCTAAATAGTAAGACTTTATATTTATATAACCTATATCTTAACTTAAAGGTCGTAAGATCCTCTAAGTCTAGATATATACGAATCCTATAAAATCCTTATTAAATATTAAGTTTAGTAAACTACTTAGTCTTACTAATCTATTAAAATAGTTTATTAATTAAAGATAAAGGGTATTAGTCCTTCTTCGTTAATATATTTAACTTATAGTAATTAACGCAGAATCTTACTCTACTACTAGGCTTAACTACTATTAAAATTAGTAATATATATAGTACTAAAGAGGGTATAATAAAACCTTTTACTAGATTCTATAGTATATACTACTTTATAAAGTATAGCTCCTCTTCTATTATTTTATAAAGTAGGTAGTTAAGCTACTTAAAGAAATTATTTTTAAGCTCGATCCGGTAATCCGGTATTCCTCTTAATAATAGTAGTATATCTAAGATAATCTTAGAGAATATATCTATAAACTCGTAGTATTCCTTCGGTATAATCTTCTTTATATCTAGTATCTTAGATATAGTTATCTCTATTACTTTAGAGTTAATAATCTTATTAATTTAAGCTAGCGATATAATAAAGGATTATATTCCTACTAATTATATATAGTAGTAGAATCCTAGTCTACTAATAGTAGCGATATTAAGACTAAAGTCCGAAGTTTTCTACTCTATTTTCTTCTTATATTCGTTAATTTAAGATTTATAACTTAAATCCTTCTTAGTCTTTTCTTCCTATTTCTCGAAGTATTAATCTCTCTATTCTATATCCTTCTAATATTATAAGATATCTATAATCTTCGGTCTCTATAGGATAATATAAGGGACCTCCTTCTATATAGCTTATTAAATCTTCTCTCTTAGGATAGACTAATCTAGCTATACTAACCTCTAATTCTTATAGTCTAGTAGGATATTATACTCTACTAACTATACTCTTCCTAAGATTATATTATTTCTACTAAGCTTAGTAATTAATATTAGTTACTTAAGCTATATATAGCTATCGATTATAAAGATTAACTTAGTTATATAGGTAATAGGTTCCCTTA